AGCGGGCGCGGTGTGCTGGAAGTTTTTAAATAATCTCAATTATTATAATTTCTTTTTTCTATAGAAGACTAAAATTATTTATCGTTAATTCGTATAATTATAATAATATACTTATTAATAGTATTAGGCCTCTCTTCCCTATATAATTCGTTCTTTACCTTTTCCTTAAAACTATTATAAAAAGTTTATATTAATTTTTTATTATTAATTTCGTTATATAAATTATTAATCTTAAATTAAATAACGTATTTTATTACCAAACGTATTTACTATAAGTTCGTAAATTTCTTTTACGCGTACTTACCTTTATTATATTTTTTAAATATTTTTTTAAACTTTACCTCGAAGGTTCGGTAATTCCGAAAATATTAAATAATAATTTCCTTTTAATCCTCCGCTATTACTTTATAATAATCGTTAAAAATAGGTTCGAACTAAATAAAAGCTTTATTTTTAAGCCGGGTAGTTACGTATATTACTTTCGATTCCTCCGTATCGAACTATTCTAGGTAATAACGAAAGTAGGTTTTAAACTTGTTAGCTGGTAAGCCCTGATAGGCCTATAATATAGAACCTATATAGGGTTGCTGTAAAATACAGCAGTGCGCAAGCGGAAGCGGGAGGATACGACGGCAGTGCCGAAGGAAGGTAAAGCACTGTAATACAGTGAGGTATAAGGAATAAGAATTGCCTTTATTACCTTTAGCCTTGGCTTTTGGCCTTAGTCTTAAGCTTTTGCCCTTTAAGGAAAGAAAGAAGATAACTATTCTACAGGAGAGAGGAGAGGTTTATATATAGGCCTTTGTAGGCCTACTGTGGATCCTGTAGGCCCTGGAAGCCCCTATACCATTTTAGGTATTTAGTGGGCTTAGGTGAGTCTACTGTAAACTTACGGAAATCTATCGAACTTTCGGTAGTAAGGGTGCCCTGTAAATCATGCTATTGTGGCGACTTACTACGTAAGCCTGTAGCCACTTTAGAAGGTTCTAGTATCCTGTTGACTAAGCCTTAGGCCACAGTAGCCCTGTAAGCCTTTAAGGGTCCCTTATAAAGAATATTCTAAAGGGATCCAAGCCGGGAAGTTCCATTACTGCTTATAGCAGTACTGCCCACTGTAATATCAATCTGTAGGGCAGTAAGTAGGGCACTTAGTAGTACCCACATATTAATAAAACTAGATTAAGAAACTTCTAAGTTCTACGTTTCCGCTTTTATAGTACTCCGGTGCCGGGAACTTAGTTATATACGTAGGCTTAACCGCCGAAAGAGCAAGAACCTACTCCTTAGTCTACTAGGCTTCGGCCTTAAACTTTTTAATACGATCGATAAACTATTAAGCCGTAATAACCTTAGACTTAGCGTTTACCGTAAAAGGTCTCTCGATAATTAAGCTAAGCGGGACGCTTCCTATCTAAACGTTCTTAGGTTAGGCTATAGTAATAAAAAAATACTTTTAACTTATTTATAATAGAGTTAAAGTAAGTATATAACGTATAACGAACCTCTATATAGAACTTCTAAAAGGGATACTAATTAAAGGTTACTTTTAATAATTAGTTCGGTATAGCTAAATAGTATATAATAAAATACCGTAAATATAAGTTATAAATTATATATTACGGAACTATCTATCTATACTAGCCAGTTCCTCCGTATATATAGACCCTATGCTAAGCCTAGCACTATCCTGGATTGATTGATTCGACCATCGATCCTATCGACACTGTCCCTTTTGGGATTAACTTTTCTGGATCGATCCTCGATCCCAATAATCCTACTCTAATTAGTCTTCGCTCCTGTACTAATAATTGGCCCGTAGTGCGCCCCGCGCCCCACCAAAGTGTCAAGCCGTGACATATAGCGATCGGGTGCCTCGAGCTTAATACGCTTTCCCTTTTTACATAAAGTATTAATCTCCTAGTAAAATATAATATTTTCCTGCGCAAGGATATTGTAAGAAAAGCGTAATTTATTTTTAAGTTTTTAAATATAAGCGAGAAGTTAGTTAATAGTAAGCTAGATCGAGCCCCTTTAAGTATTAACGTTTCCGGCTATAACGTTATTTTAATACCTTTAATTTATCTGTAATAGAATTAAAGTAAATATATAACGTATAACGAACCCCTATATAGAACCTTTAAAAGGGATACGGGTTAAAGGTAACTTTTAATAATTAATTCGGTATAATTAAATAGTATATAATAAAATGTTTTAATATAAATATAAAATACTGTAAATATAAGTTTAAATTGTATATTGCGGAACTATTTATCTATATTAGCCAGTTCCTCCGTATATATAGACCAGTTTATTACTATTATCACTAGTAATAATATCGATTATCACTCGTCGTTCGTCGAAGGCTGGTAATAATCGTGATTATTACCTTTAGTACTAGTGATAATCCGACTTCCCTACTTTTCCGTTCTAGTGGTTGGACGGTCGCGCCCCGCGCTCCCCACTTATGTCAGGTCCGTGACATACTAGGAGGTTGCAGAAGAGTCTGATTTAGCTGTTTCTAATGTAATTATAGTAGGTTAATAGTATTATTGTTTTGCAATTAAGGATAGTTATAATAGGGTAGTGGAAATCGATCCACTCACTTATCCAATCCGCTCGCTTATCAAATACGTTATAGCGTTTTCCTGCGTAAGGGTATTGTAAGAAAGGCGTAACTTATCTTTAAGCTTTTAAATACGAGTAAGAAGCTAGTCGATAGTAGGTTAGGTCGAGTCCCCCTAAGTACTAATGTTTCCGGCTATAGCGTTATTTTAATACCTTTAATTTATCTATAATAGAATTAAAGTAAATATATAATATATAACGAACCTCTATATAGAACCTCTGAAAGGGATACTAATTAAAAGTAACTTCTAATAATTGGTTCGGTGTAGCTAAATAGTACACAATAAGATATCTCAATATAAACACTAAATACCGTAAATACAAACTAAATTACATACTGCGGAACTGTCTATCTACACCAGCCAGTTCCTCCGTATATATAGACCTCGTGCCAAGCCCTGATCATAGTGATCATTCCGCTCGTTCCCAATGATCATAATGATCGCTATGATCCTCCGTGGCTCCCTATTGGTTGTGTTGCCGCGATCACTGTGTCTTCCCAGTCCTGCCTGTTTGGCTTAACTGTGACATTACTATATAAGAGGCATAGGATCTACTGGATCAGAAGGCCGTAGATAGGGAGGAAGTATAAGAAACGTAGCCGGATAGTAGTAATGCAGGGGGAGATCGTGCGATGGTTCGGTGCTGTGGTGTGTGCGGCAAGCCTGGCCACAACGCGCGCACTTGCCAGGAGGCTGGGGAATCGTCTGATTCAGCCGTTTCTAATATAATTGTAGTTGCTTCCTAGTATTGTTGCAGTATAATTGAGGATAGTTTGTTACGGTGTGGTGGGAAGTGGGTCACTCGCTTATATGGGTTACTCGCTTATAATATACGTTATCAGCTGTCAATCAAGGCTTGTGGCTGGGGGACACGACGGGTGCATAACAATCGAGTGTGTTCCTCGGCCAGGTAAGGGTAATCAACACATCATTCAACTCAACTGCTGCCACCACCACTTCGTCCACTGCTATTATCTACCATCAAGACGATTCGCACCACTCCAATGCTCAATCATCTTGCCGAGTTGACCTACAGGCAAATAACCATTCTTATCGTCACCCACATGATTGTTCGTCTGCAAATGGCGCATCGCCCACAGCCTAGGAATGTCCATGGCAAGCGGAATGTCGTGCACCTCCCCGTCCTCGACATCATGCCTGGGAGTGGAAACCTTGATATGCTGGAAGCACTCGCGAGCTTTCAACGGGACATCCTTCCCTAGCCGCCAGGCAAGTGCCCCGATTGCCTGCAGCAGGCGACCAAAGAATGGGTATATTTGAGCGCAAACACTCAACCTGACACAACCGTTTATGAAGAGCTCACGGGTGTCGGACCCGGTGTCTTCAGGGTCGAGTAAGGGGATGAGGGGGACTAGTGAATAGTACAGGGCGAAACCGATGTGATAATGTGGCCTGTTGTGAGACCACTGCAGTAGGGCATCGACTGTCTCTGATATAAATCGAGCATGTTGTATGAACAAATCTTTCACCGTCGTTGTGACAGTGCTCTCATCGGGAAGGGTGAGCTCAGCGGGAAGGGGATGGAGGACTGAGAGAGCGACTTCGCTTTGTTGTAGGCTGGAGTGATAAGTAGGTTAGCAAGCGTTTCAATGTGACGACAGTGGTGGATTTAGGAAAGAGATATAGGGTATAGGCCGAGATACCCGAGCCCAGTTCTAATCACCTGATGTAGCAGCTCGACAACGACGAGTTGGTCTCTGCCTGAAGCTGATTTGAAAACAAACCACACAGCACCCTCCACCGCAGAAGGATGGATTGCCGTATCCCAATATCCTCCCCACTACCCACACCAGTGTTTTGTTCAGCCTCATGCATGGCAATGGTATATTGGATTTCGGCGAGGCTGCACAAGGCGTCCGTCAATCTTCCATTCACGTCGCCGTCGGCATCCGCCATCGCTGCATTGCGAGCATCATCAGCACAAAGTGATGTCTGGATGGGGGTATCCAATTCGAAAAGTCTAGGTACCATCGGCGGTCGTACTAGAGGGGGTCGGTTGTAAAGCAAAAAGGTTCGACTAAAGAGAGACTATACGTCAGCATATGCTCAAGCCATCCGTTCTGTGCGGGACATACCCTAAGCAATGCACATAACAACTTACCTCTCCGCCACGAAAATCCCCCATAGAGCTTTCGACAACACACGCCGTTCGAGAGCCTGATCTGGAACATCGTCGCGCAAATGTTTTATTCTTGACTCCAAATCCAGGTATTCCAACATGTCAAGGCTCGTCCGCCGAAAGTGTAAGCCGGCACGGTCCCTGCCCAGCAAGGTTGATATCAGGTATAAAAGGTATAAAGCGAGAACCGTAGGCAGAGAGGGTCGGCCATGTTCTCGCTCGAGGATTGATTTCGCTTGGCTCAGGAAGAGCTCGACAAGACCGGAGCTCGAGGTCAACTCAAAACAAGGCATGGCGCAGACAGCATTGGCAAGAAGAGGTGAACACAACTTGGACGTTGTCAGATTCTTGGCTTGCATGTCGGAGACGAAGACATCTCTGTCAATAGCCGGGAACAGCTGGGAGCCAGGCGAGAAGAAGCGCGACACCAACCTCGAAACAACAGCATCGTTGACCAGCGTTGTCCACGGTCGAGCTGGGACGTGTATGTCTATGATTTCATTCGCGTCAGACGGAGAGGGGAGCTTGGCCGGGCTAGAAGAAACAAAAGGCAGCAGCTCGGCATCCCTCAAAGACTGACACACCTCGAATGGGTCGTTGAAAACGCGAAGGCGGGCAAAGATGTTTTCGGCTTCGCGTTGGGGCTTGTCACGGATCGAAGTAAGAAGATGTAACAGGTCGTCCCGCTCTTTCTTGTATCGCGCCTTCTCTCTTTTATCAGCCTGGGTCAGCGTCTCATTGACCTTGGTGGTATAGGTGCACTGGACGCCGTTGCTTAAGCACCGTCCACAGGTCGGCCGTCGGCCGTCGCACTTTGCTTTCTTCTCCCGGCAAAGCTCGCAGGCGGCTATGGAGGCCGATCGTCTCGGTGGCAGAGGGGTACCGGTGGGTGGCGTCTTCAAGCCGGCGCGTGCTTTGGACGGTGGGGGCGCTGGAAGGAGAGGTCGCGGCGGTGGCTTATCCATATTGTCGAGGCTTGAAGAGGACGACGGGACCTGTAATGAGAAGGATGCGTGAACGCGGATGGCCTGGCTGTCGGGCCTTTCCGTCGCTTGGGTTAGCTGCGCGATGGGGTGGCGAGGGTCTGTCACTTTGTTGGGCTTCAAGGCACGCAAGATATCAGACGGATACCTTGGGTACCGGTACGGGGAGTGGTCCGGAAGGGGGGCAGGCTCAGTCAGGTGTCGGTTGGCTGGAGGCGCACAAGAAGAGAGTCCAGACTGGTCATGCTGTGCTAGAACGGAGCGGTATTTAGCCATGTTGGCAGAAGCTGGGCATCTGGTATAGGTCGTAGTTTCTAATGTATGGGGCAGAGAGAGCGGCACACGGGAGAGACTCGAGTCCAGGTTGGGGATTTGCGAGCGTTTTGGGAAGGTTGTGGAGTCTTAGGTAGGTAGGGGTGCCGTTATCGACTCGTCCTTCAACGGGTAGCAGGACTAAGGTAGCGTAGTCTTGGAACCAAGAGACAAGGATTCGGCTTGGAGCGGTCCTGGGTGGTTCTACCTATATACCTACGTCCGTTTAGGTCTCGCCGTCCCTTGCCTCCCCCAAATCCTTACCCAGCCGTGACATGCCCCGGGAGTTGGAACGACCGGGCCCAAGACAAGCTCAAAAGGAGCATATGCTCCCATGAATGAAATAATTGTGATAAGTTGTCACAGTCCTTGAACGCTTCATCAGACCACACGTCCGCAGACTCCAGCATTTTCAATCGTTATTAGCCCGAACCCCCTCAACCTAAGAAGCAGGTACCGGGCAACATGGTCCGGTCCGTCCCAAGAAATATCCAAGTGCCATCCCAGCCTGGCGTTTCCCTCGGGTCACATAAGCTTTGAGCATGTTGCTTGCCACATCGGAGGGGTGTCCGGGGCCGCGACTGAACGCTTTAGAACCATTAGATGCATGAAGCAGCAAACTTTTTTTTCCTAATCACCACTCACGGCGGTCGCTCCGACCCGCGACTGGAAAATTTCATGATATCCGCTCAAGGTGGCACTGCTTCGATCACGGAGCTTTCTTCGGCCCATCCCCTGTTCGCCGGCGGAAATTACTCCGATGTAAGGTACTTCTGTTGGTGTTCTGGACATTGGCCGCCGCACCAACATGGGGAGGCTTCTTCCTACTTCAGTTGACAGGAACACCAAAGAACTAGGTTTCGCCCCCCAAATTAACACGTCTGACCCATCACTAGGTAGGTTCTCATGACTTTGCCAAAGATAGGAACGGAACAGATCCTCCTAATGACCGGACGACTTGTCTGAACCATGACAGACCGGAACTTTTCTTACGAGCCATATCCCTCGAAAGTTTAGACATCTGCAATCATCAGTGGTGACGCAGCACTGGTAAATAAGGTACCAAGGCACTAATGCATTGGACACCCGGACCCGAGGGGTTGTTCGGACTTGGAGGTTAGGGGTAATGTACATGCAAGGTCGCAGGCGGGCGGAAGCAAGCAGGTGAACGAAGATAAGCAGTCTCGGTTTCAGGGTGCTATCATATTTGGGGGTATTTCGAGATCATAAAAACCGTCAGACTTGAGAAGCTAATCCACCAATACCAGTTACATGCTATACGATGCTCATCGTGTCCTCCACGCTATCCCTCCGAAAAACATGCAAACTTCCTTCAACTCCGCACCTAATGCAGTCCGGTCTTGGAGTCACCTGCGGGCGGCCTGGTCCCCTGACCCTCCACATATGCAGGAGGGAGGTCCTCTGGCTGCTGCTGGGTCCCACTCGGAGCAAACTCCGAATAGGACGGCGGTGGTGGACTGGAGGGGGACGCAAGCTTCGCCTCTGCGGCGGCCTCGGCAGCCTTAGCATTTACCGCCGGCGTTGTGGGTCTCGGGGCGGTTGCCAAGCTGGAGGAGCTTCCGACATCAAGACCCCTCACACCGGCAGTGACATCGGCAACACCAGACGTGGCCGCTGCAGCGGGAGGCGGCACACCAGCCCCAGGCGCAAGGTTGGGCGTTACTGGGCTGGAACCGCTGTGTCCACGCCACCCGGAGGCACCGCTCAACACCTCAAAGAGTGTCTTGGCTGCAGCAGGTGGTTCTACCTTGCCATCCAGAATCTCCTGTACAGTGACTGGCCGGCCGTAGAATTTGGAATTGGCGGTATCGCGGGACAGAATCACAGTACCGCTGATTTGAACGCCAGCATACACACCGTGTGACTTGACATAACTGTAGACCGGTTTCCCAATGGCCTCACGTAAGGCACTGGGCTTGCGTCCCTTTGTGGGATCTTCCAGGGGGTCAGTCAACTCATCAGGGGAAAGCGGCGCCGTTTGGAAGTGGGTGTTATCGGCAGAGAGCGGTGGAGACGTGGCCGTTGGAGGGTGTTGTGGCGAGGTCTTCTCCTTCTCTTTGCCCTTCTGGTTCGCCGGAACGCCCCAGTCAAGAGAACCACCAGCGCCAAAAGGACCGGCAGTAACCGCGAGATCGGACCCGAGGCTCATGCGAGTCTTTGTGAAGAGGTCAAGAGCTTCCTTGGTGTTGATGACGACGACACAGTCGTAAATCTCTGCGCCGATAACGAAGCCACCTCCCACGCCCCCAACCTTGATTCCGCTGGGTGGAGACCAGCTGCCATCAGGCTTGCGGGCGATCAGGATGCCACTACCGCCCGAGACGGTTCCCTGGAAACCCGCACGGAAGGCCGTGAAGATAGCCAGGCCCTGGGCTTTCGCAATGACCTTGGAAGGTATCGTGAGAAGTACCTTGGGTTTCTTTGTCTTGGCAGAATCTGTGTGTTTGCCATCGGTAGCCGAGGCCTCGCTGTCCGTCGCAGCTGGTGCGGGTGTGGGTGCTGGCGTCGAAGAAGGTTGCTGCGCTGCGTCGACATAGATGCCGTCCTCTGGAACATTAATGTTAGCGGCTGACATGGAGGCGCAACCATGGAGCTGTACTTACTGCAGAATGCCCTCAAGATCCTGGCAGCTTTTTCACATTCCTTGTCCAGAGACTCGGCAATGAAGCCTTCAGCGCCCGTCTTGCGGGCCATCGCGTTGACTGCCGGGCCAACATGGGTCGTCAAGCTTTCTGAGGCCTTTTGGTAGTACTCCTTGAAGGAGAACTTGGACTTCTTCTTGGTTTCGCCATCGTGGTGACCATCTCCAGACGGCGGGAACTGGGGCGGGTGCTCGGATGTCGGCGTCGCGTTGTAGATGTCGTCGTCGGCACCACCTGTGGGCGGCGCAAACTGAGGATGCCTCGGGTTGTAATCTGGGATAGGGGTCTCGTCAGGATGCTTTGGCACCTGTGTCTGTGTGGTCTGGATGGGCGGGGGGCCGGGAGGCGGGGGCGGAAACGACTGCTTGTCTGCAGGCTCCAGCGGCGGCTTCTGGTCGGATGAGCTCATGATGATGATTCGGTATTTCTGACTTGGAGGAGACTTGGAAGATGGTCGCAGTGTAAATCAATCTGGGTTGGGCGGGAGATTGGCAGATCAGCGGCTGTGTCAACTCCTACTGGTGGGTTAGTTGCCGGAATGTCCAAGAACGTGGAAGTTCCAAGAAGCGGGGTGGTTTGCTTGCGTGCTTGCTACTTTATACTCCAACGTCTGAGATGCTGAGATGGTTCCAAGCACTGTTGCCAGGCGGAGGGAACACGAAGCTTGTGGCTTTGTATCAGAAGGTCGACCTCGATGTCCTTCTGTTTGCATCTATCTACAGTATCGTGATTGCACGGCACGTGGGAGTGCTCCGGCACTGATGTCATAATTGAGGCTGAGCTGTGGCGTCCGTTGCCATCACCCTTGCACGCGTGGCAGGCCGCGAATGCATGTCGACAGCCAAAAATTCTCCGATTGGCTGCTGTGGCTCAATCTGGGCTCCCTCAACAATTCCCATCTATTCAGTATCTCGGACTATAGGCATCTACAGATTTTCCGACTCCGCTCTGACTCCTACTCGTTTCCAGGCTGTGTCTTGTTTTGGCCAGCAAGCCACTCATCGATATTGACCTTGTTCTTCAACAACTCGGGCAAGCTTAACACACTCAAGCTCAGCTCATCAGGCCCGCCGTCGAAGATGGCCGCGCCGAGAACCATCAGGTGCTCCGGATACTTGTTGAACACATGCAACGCCCTGGAGTAGGCACTGGGTTGGCTGCAAGGGTGCATCTCCCACTTGTCGGGATCACCACCAAACTGGTTCGAATATAGCTCATCCCGATCCGCGTCACTCACAATGATGGTGCCGTTGCCGCCGGGGTAAGGCGACCAGACCACATAAGGCGACGCGTTCGGCGCGACCTTGCCTTCAATGACAATCGGAATCCCAGGCGCCTCGTCGAACTTGGTTGGGTCCGGTGCAAGACGGTAGTAGACGGGATAGTTGACGCCGTGGGATGAAGAGTTGCCAACCGGGAACTCATACACTAGAATCCACTGTTTCAAGGGCGCGATGTAGGCGACGACAGTCATGCCGGGCCGGGCCAGATACTCGTCATACGCAACGTCATTCACCACAGGACCCCATGTCTTCAGATCAGTTGATCGCTGGTGAGCCAGCTTTTGGCCGTGAAGAGGGTCGCGCTGGTCCGAGTAGTAGACGATCAGCTCGTCGTTGTGGACCAAGAGGAAGGGCTCCCAGATAGGGTCAGCACCGTTTGTGGTGTTCGGCCTGCCGCCAGCAGCGACATTTGACACAAAGGACCTTGCGAATGGTGATGTCAGCATTGGTCCCCACGTTGACGACAAACACAGGACCAGAAAACCTACCAGGACCGAGCCTTGTCTGTCGACGCATACAAGTCGATACGGGTGCCGTTGGCGCTCCAGCTGTTTCCTGACGCCAGAATAGTGCCAGCCTCGAAGCCAGCCAAAGGAGCCGTCAGTTCAAGCAATGCTGGCTGAGCAGACATCCCCCAGCCATTGACTTGGTCAGTGATGTTGGAGACCCATTCCCAGTTCACGCCGCCATCCTTGCTCTCGAACACGGGGAAGGCTGCAGAGGGGGTGAAGAAGTTGGACCCGAGAACTGTGCTAGTAACCAGGAGAGTTCCATCCTCTAGTTCGATATGTCGTGGGTACGAAGCCCTGTGGCCCTCGGGGGGGTCGTAGATGATCCGTTGACCGAAGGTGGTGAATGGTGCCGGGTCTGTCTCTGACCCTTGGGCCAACGTCGAGGCTGTCAGAGCCCCGACACTCAGAACACACGAGAGAAGGCTTGGAAGCATGGCTGCGGGTAGCAGAGCTCGGTGTTCGGTGGACCCTGAGCTTCCATTGCGTAGATGGTGCTGGCGTTTATTTGTTCACGCTCGTCTTCAACATGTTGCTGTCGATGAATTATCCAGCGGACCTCCGGCAATACCATCCATTCTTCCGGTCCTACAAACCCCTCTTCTTGTTGCCACCGTTGATGACGGGCAGCCAGGTAGCAAGCGCTCCACTTGGGTTGTGTGGGAAGAAGTAGCAGGAGCTCGCCGGATGAATATTGATTGCCTCTTTTTATCCATCTCCACGTATCGGCATACATAAGCACACACCGGCGTCTAGGCTACGCGCACCAACAAGGCAGATTTCCTTTCTATGAGCCCAGGAACCTGGGTAAAAATTAACGGTGTCTCGTTCTCGTCAATCAAGATCGTCAAGGTTGCATCCCGACTATGTTACCCCGAGATAGACGCGCTCCAATAAAGCGCCGGCGCTTGAGACCCAGCCGTCCCCGAAGCACCGGGACAGGAACCCGGACGATGGCACTGCAGAGTAGTGGGGAGCGGGTATTATAGTGGTTAATATCTCAAGTTACCAGAGATCGTCAACTTCCCGATCTTCATGTCGGTTCATGTCGGTGTGGTGTTATTCCATGTTGGACTGTCACCATGGTCTTTATATTGAGGTGATGATGCTGTGCATTCCCCTCTCGATGCAATCTGGCACTTCGTTCATGTTGCAGCCATGAAGTCGTCCGTTTTCTGGGGCGCAAGCCTCACGTCGGCTGTTGTCCGGGCCATTGACCTCCCCTTCCAGTTTTATCCCAACTGTGTCGATGACCTCCTTTCTACGAACCAAGTCTGCAATACCACTCTTTCACCTCCTGAAAGAGCTGCCGCCCTCGTTGCCGCCCTGACCCCGGAGGAGAAACTTCAAAACATCGTTAGCAAGTCACTGGGGGCACCTCGGATCGGGCTTCCTGCTTACAACTGGTGGAGTGAGGCTCTGCATGGCGTGGCCTACGCACCTGGCACTCAGTTCTGGCAGGGCGATGGCCCCTTCAACTCTTCCACCTCCTTCCCCATGCCCCTGCTCATGGCGGCCACCTTTGACGATGAGCTGCTGGAGAAGATTGCCGAAGTCATCGGCATCGAAGGTCGAGCCTTTGGCAACGCTGGCTTCTCGGGCCTCGACTACTGGACACCCAATGTCAACCCCTTCAAAGACCCGCGCTGGGGTCGGGGATCGGAAACACCAGGAGAGGATGTCCTGTTGGTCAAGCGCTATGCTGCAGCCATGATCAAAGGCCTGGAGGGTCCCGTGCCGGAAAAAGAGCGAAGAGTGGTTGCAACCTGCAAACATTACGCAGCTAACGACTTTGAGGACTGGAACGGTGCTACCAGGCATAACTTCAATGCGAAGATTTCGTTGCAGGATATGGCCGAGTATTACTTCATGCCGTTCCAGCAGTGTGTTCGGGACTCGAGAGTGGGCTCCATCATGTGTGCCTACAACGCGGTCAACGGCGTGCCGTCGTGTGCGAGCCCTTATCTGCTGCAGACAATCTTGAGGGAGCACTGGAACTGGACAGAACATAACAATTACATTACTAGCGATTGCGAGGCTGTTTTGGATGTTTCTCTGAATCACAAATATGCGGCCACCAACGCGGAGGGCACGGCGATCTCGTTTGAAGCGGGCATGGATACAAGCTGCGAGTATGAGGGTTCCTCTGACATCCCGGGGGCGTGGTCCCAAGGCCTCCTGAAGGAATCCACCGTTGATCGCGCGCTTCTCCGATTATACGAAGGGATAGTCAGAGCAGGTTACTTTGACGGAAAGCAGTCTTTGTATTCCTCCCTCGGCTGGGCAGACGTCAACAAACCCTCCGCCCAGAAACTATCCCTCCAAGCTGCAGTCGATGGCACCGTCCTCCTCAAAAACGACGGGACACTCCCGTTGTCTGACCTCCTCGACAAGAGCCGCCCCAAAAAAGTCGCCATGATCGGCTTCTGGTCCGACGCCAAAGACAAGCTTCGGGGAGGGTACTCCGGCACGGCAGCCTACCTCCACACCCCAGCCTACGCCGCCTCCCAGCTCGGCATCCCCTTTTCCACCGCCTCTGGTCCCATCCTCCACTCTGATCTCGCCTCCAACCAATCCTGGACTGACAACGCGATGGCCGCGGCAAAAGACGCGGATTACATCCTCTATTTCGGGGGGATCGACACCTCCGCGGCGGGTGAGACAAAAGATCGGTATGACCTCGACTGGCCAGGGGCTCAACTATCTCTCATCAACCTCTTGACCACCCTCAGCAAACCTCTGATCGTCCTCCAAATGGGCGACCAACTAGACAACACACCTTTGCTATCTAACCCCAAAATCAACGCCATCCTCTGGGCCAACTGGCCAGGCCAAGACGGCGGGACGGCAGTGATGGAGTTGGTCACGGGGCTAAAGTCCCCCGCGGGAAGGCTGCCAGTGACGCAGTATCCGAGCAACTTCACCGAGCTGGTCCCCATGACGGACATGGCGCTCCGGCCATCAGCGGGTAATAGCCAGCTTGGGAGGACGTACAGGTGGTACAAGACCCCTGTGCAGGCCTTCGGTTTCGGGCTGCACTACACGACCTTCTCGCCCAAGTTTGGCAAGAAGTTTCCGGCGGTTATTGATGTTGATGAGGTTCTGGAGGGGTGTGATGACAAGTATCTTGACACCTGCCCGCTGCCGGACTTGCCGGTCGTGGTGGAGAACAGGGGGAATCGGACGTCGGATTATGTCGCTTTGGCGTTTGTATCAGCGCCGGGGGTTGGGCCGGGGCCGTGGCCGATCAAGACTTTGGGGGCGTTTACGAGGTTGAGGGGGGTAAAGGGTGGGGAGAAGAGGGAGGGGGGGCTGAAATGGAATTTGGGGAATTTGGCGAGACATGATGAGGAGGGGAATACGGTTGTTTATCCGGGGAAGTATGAGGTTTCATTGGATGAGCCGCCGAAGGCGAGGTTGAGGTTTGAGATTGTGAGGGGTGGAAAGGGTAAAGGGAAGGTGAAAGGGAAGGGGAAGGCGGCGCAGAAGGGGGGTGTGGTGTTGGATCGGTGGCCCAAGCCTCCTAAGGGACAGGAGCCCCCTGCGATTGAGAGGGTGTGAGAATTCTAGGAAATTTTTTTTGGAACTGCCATGAAATGCTGGATTGATGCAGTCAGCTTATAAGGGTTGAATAGGGGTGAATGAAAAGAAGTATCCAAACTGCGCTTGTATTCCATCCTCATCTTTGATGCCAAAAGAATTCGACTTCAGATCTAAAAAAAAAAATAAAAAAAAACAACAACACTTCTTACTCACAAAAGGCATAAACCCTCAAAAAAAAAAAACATCTTCCCGCCAAGCCCCTATTCAGGGGTAAGCCCTCCAAGCCCAGCTCTACAGCCCATTGATATTAGTCGCAATTCTTCCGTTGTAACACAACGACACAAGCGGGTTTAGCTCAGTTGGGAGAGCGTCAGACTGAAGTCAACTTCAGGAAGTCAATCTGAAGGTCATGTGTTCGATCCACATAAACCGCACTCATCTTTTCTTTTTGGTGTTTTTGCTATCTTTTCTGCAGACATTTTTGAAATGTTTGGTGTCATGTCATTTTCCTTTTTTTGTTCGATGATATGCTTTGCACAAGTCACAGAGACGCTGGTGTAGGTAAAGACCCAGGATGGTTTTCCTTAGAGGAACAATGTTGTGGAATGACTCCCGAGATAGAACGTGCAAGCATCTCAAGGCGAGCAGAAAAAGTATTGAGATTATTCTTGATTCAAATTCTCATTCAAGTCATGCGCTAATTATTCATGGTATTACACCCTCCAGATAGCCTTTTTGATATCCAAAGTCCCGCCTCCATAGTACCCGATGATGATGGTATCGCAAAAAGAAACAAACTAGCTAATAAAAATGGTATGTAAAACCCAAAAACACCGAATTATGATTTGATTCCCAACACCCGAGTTGGCCAACTTAAGCCTGGCTCTCTCCATCGCTCCCAGAAGGAGTAACCTTCTCCTCGTGATGCTGCACCGACTTCTCGGCCTTCTCACCGCCAGCATAGGTGCTGTGGGGGACCCAGCGGGCAGAAGTACGGGGCGTGGTCTCGTTGAGCATCTGGTCGACCTGCTCGAGCGTGAGACCCTTGGTCTCGGGCACGAGGAGGAAGGCGTAGAGGAAGCAGCAGCAGCACAAGCTGCCCCAGATCCAGAAGACCTTGGCGCCGAGGTTACCCTTGTCCGAGTCGACCATGTAGGGGGTGATGACGGCGATGATGCAGTTCCCTGTTTTTGGGGTCTGGTTAGCGCTGTGTCTATGGGGTATGGTAATGGGGAGGTAAGAGGGGAACACATACAGAGCCAGTTGGAAGCAGTGGAAAGAGCCACACCCTTGGCGCGCATGGGCAGAGGGAAGACCTCGCCAATGACAACCCAGGCGCCGGGGCCCCAGGTGGTGGCAAAGAAGAAGATGTAAATGCAGATGAAGGCAATCATGGCCTTGACGCAGTTGTCGTCGTCGGGCTTGACGGTGCCGATGATGGCGACAATGTACTGGCAGATAACCATGCCCAGGGCGCCCCAGATCAAAAGAGGTCTCCGGCCGACTCTCTCCATGCTCCAGAAGGAAATGGGAGTAGAGCAGACGTTGACGAGGGTGGTGATGAGGGAAATGAGGAAGGGGTTGGAGATTGTGCCGAGCTGCTGGAAGAAGGTGGTGCCGAAGTAAAAGACAAAGTTGCAGCCGGTCCACTGCTGCATCATCTGGAGGGAGGTGCCGAGGACAGTGCGGCGGAGGTTGCTGCTGCTGTTGAAGATGGAGCCCTGGAAGCAGACCATCCAGGCGGACCAGTAGCCGCCGACGGGCGCAATGCTAGTCTCGTACTCGTGGTTGGCAATGATCTCGGCAAGCTCATCGCGGATGTACTCGGAATCAAGAGGCTGATCTCTCAGTCTGGCGAGAGTGACACGCGCCTTGTCGAGCTGGCCCTTGCGAACGAAGAATCTGGGCGACTCGGGAAGGAGAGCCAAACCGCCGGCGAGAATCAAAGCCCAAGCCATCTGAAGACCGATAGGGACACGGTAGCTGGCGCTGTCATCGCGGTCCTGGGTGCCATAATTGACGCAGCTGGCAAGAAGCAGACCGATGCAGATGCAGAACTGGTATCCGGAAACGATGGCGCCTCTAACCTTGCGAGGGGCGATTTCGCTCATGTAGAGAATGATGATGGCCGAGACGAAACCCACACCGAAACCGGCGACGAGTCTACCAGCGACGATCAAGCCGAGAGAGGCGGAGGCGGTTTGGAGGACCACACCGACGATAAAGACCATGCAACCCAAGATGACAGTGAACTTGCGACCAATCCAATCGGCCAGATCACCAGCGGCGAGCGAACCGAAGAAGGTACCAGCAGACAAGATAGAGGTGATGAGAGATTTCTTCCAGGCGGGGAGGACGAGAGCACCGGGGCCTTCGATGGTCTTGATGAAGAAGTCCATGCCCATCACACCGGCGATGTAACCAGAGTCGTAACCGAAGAAGATACCACCAAAGGCGGCGAAGACGCACATCAGGTACGCCTTCATGGTTACGGGGGCTTCGACCCTGAGGGCGTCAGCCCCAACGGGGGGAGCCGCGCCACCGGGCATGTTGACTGAGTTGAGGCGGTTGTGCTGGTGTTGAGATGGTAGGTGGAGGAGGGTGAGTGTTGGTGTTTTAGGGTCGGTGGTTGTCGTCGGTGATAGGGTGAGACAATGAGAACCGGACGGGAGGTAAGGGAGGACTGAGACGAGGTATGAAGCAGGTGATAAATACTTCAAATAATTCCAAACCCTTGGCAGCGGGAATGTCTGAGTCTCAGCCTCTGTGTCGAATGATACAGGAATATGAGAAAGAGGAACACTTGCCGGTGATGGCTCCTGGGGAAGGGGATAATATACCTTTGCTCTCATGAGCTTCGACGAACCTTCGACCCTGACCCTACCCCGACTACCCCGGTGAATCCCTCCACAACACCCCATGTTCTGTGAAGTCTTTTTGCTGTCCTCGTGGCCTGTGGCTTCGTCCCAGGCAGTTGAGCCTCTCCACTTGCCCCTGTGCATATCTGGGGTTGGACCTTGCCGCGGGGATGGTTTTTGCGGAGAGAAAAGCCAAAGTTCGGACGAACTCGGAAGGCCCGAGAGAGCTCCAACGCTCTGGATCAGACATTGAGATGACGTTTGTGGGTGGGTTTTGTTTCTTCCTCTTGAAGCGGCCATATTCTCGGGCCTATCCAGCCTGACACGGATCCAGATATCGGGAGTGGCGAGGATGTCGAATTTCATCCCGGCATCCAAACCTCCAGGCCTTCATAGCACTGCCGATGTAAGGGGTCTACCTACTACATGCCTTGAACTCAATTTGTTGTCGTTCAGATGTTCGATTTCAAATGTGTCTCTGTAATAGGATGCGTATATCGGTGGTTCCAGCGAGCCGTTGTGGTGTTTATCCGGTCGGGGAGAGACCGTTGAGAATGCCGGGATCACATGTCGACTTTGTTCCATGCTCTGGCCTAGCTCAGGGTTCCCACTGCCCACCCTGCTTCGGGAATTCGCTGCAAAAAAAGCCCAGGTTGATTCTCATTGGAAGGGTTCAAGCTTCGTTGAAGATTCTGCCATTGATAATTCCACCGTGCCCTGTTCAGCATGGCGTTCCTGTATTTGGATTGCGTCTGGTCCTTTCTGTCAGCCCATTGAACATCACGAGATCAAATATTTTTGAGGTCAAATGCAGCGAAAAACTCAGCTGAGGTCGCTGGACGGCTGTGGTGATGATCAAGAGCGGTGTCGATTCGGTGATATTGTGGATGACCATGGGGGTGTGTGGTGGAGCTGGTATCCCGACCATGACTCGGCTTTCGCGGAGATAGCCGAGCGCTGGTGCTCGACTCGTTCTTGGATTCATCCAATTCAGGCAAAAAAAAAAAGAAGCAGGCCCAATCCTGGAAGAGGGCAGGGACAGCATCAGATGCAGAATTTGGAGCCTCATCCTGGATGGCCATGGACGGCGCGAGTTGTTGCGCAATGCACGGTCGGCTCTTTTCCCTCTGGGGTTGACGGATGGGCCAAGATTTCCCCGGACCCGGCCAGTCCAGATCTGATCACACATGGGGAATACGGTAATCAACATCTGGGGAAGTCTGGAGATCCAACGTTGAATCAACGTCGAGTCAACTTCAAGGTGGCTAATGTCAAAGTCCAATGCCACAACACAGCTATATGCCGGCCACTCTGGATGGCAGTTCGTCTCAATTTTTCCTTTCACTTCCATCATGCGTTCATATGATATCTTTTTTTGTTTTGATTTCCGGTATTCCGAAACTGCAGGGTGTGATGATGTCGGCCAAATGTTGAATAGCTGTTCATGCTGGCGGCACGAAACATTCCTCGTCGTCAACACCAGCCCCCAAACATCGCCCAGCTCTCATGGGTATAAGGGTCAGGCGACGCCGAATTTGCCAAGAATCACAGGGCTGCATTATCACCGACCCTATTAGCCCTACCAGCCCTGCACCTGCTATTTTTCAACGGTCAGTCGTCAAAATTAGGTTGCTCAAGCATTGGCGCCCGTCTTGGACTCTTGGGTGTTCGTTGATGGCGTGCATCACGACTCACGACTCACGAGGCATCGGGGCCCGGTTCTTCAACGTCTTGGCTGCAAATTACCCGCGGCTATACGGGAAACGAACCGACCTCCAGTCAGGTAATTTTGACTTTTGATGCTAGCTAAAATTAAACAACACACGCTGTCTGTCATAAAGTTTGGCTACTCTCGCCTGGTGATTTTCTCAACCCTCAGTCGACATGTTCCTTGGCCACCAGATATCGTCCAGTCGCTGTAAAATAGAGAATAAAAACCATGATCCACCCCTACCTAACCGGCCTTTACCGCGCATATACTCTTCTGATTTCTCCATCATGAATGCAGCCATCACGTCCAACAGTGATCTGATTTCGAATGTCCGAGAACTACGAGTCTTATCGCTACCGTCGCAACGAGAGATCGAGACGGCGACGCAGGTCGTGCAAGAGGTCTCCAGAGCGCCAGTATGCCTGCCCTGACCCAGAACAACCGCCAGCCAGTGGCCCTCCTCCCGCTTCTCGACCAGCCCAGCCACCTCAGCAGCCGCCCATTCTCCTTTCACATATTCATCCAGTCACTCTCGAAGAGAATATCCAAGGGGGAAAGGGCGTCTATGCCTCTGTCAGCGTGCTGGAACCCGTGATGCGGATTGAGCGATCTGGCACCTACAATTGTGGAGATCCCAGCGCAAGACCTGTCTATCGAATCATTGTCAGTTTCAAGCTGCAGTTCAACATCAATCGATCGACCGGAGAGTATGGCACTGCTTTGAGATTCAGATTGACCGAAATTTACTGACACAACTAGACTCCAACGGCACAACCGCATCTTCGACTCGGTCAACGTTCGCTATCTCTACCGCAGCGGCGAGCGCCATGACGTTCTGCCCAAGGGCGATGATGTTGTTTCGGACATCGCCATGCGCAATGAAAGCGGCGTATCAACCGACTTGACAGCCGGAGTCACCGCCACAGGTGTCGGACACCCCCTCCCAGCTTTCACGGCCCATGCTCAGCATGCCAGCAAGGTCACCTACGAGCGCAAGCTTCGGAGCTGGCGCAAGTCCCTCACCTACGAAACTTACCCCCAGCCTCGATCCGACTGTCGCGACTCCTACCGGCCAACTATAACCTCGCTGCTCGGCCTCCCGTTTGCCTGCCCAGTTCCAGAACCATCCGAGTCCTCATTTCGCGTCTCATCTTCCCACGTCAGCGGCTGTTCCTGTCGAAGGCATCGCGAGTGCCGACACCGCAGTTCTCTGACATGGCCCTACAACCGAGCAGCCCACTGGTCAGGACAGACAGAAGCCCAATTACACTTGTGGACACCAGAGATTTACGAGAACATGACCTGTCCGGTCACCGTCAATCGGGAAGTCGACGCGGCTTTGATTGATAGTATCTTGAAAGTTAACAAGAAGGGCTGGAGTAATGAGGATGGACTTAGGGAACTCAGAAGATACCTTCACTTTGATTTCGATGTTGAAGTCCGCTTGAGAGAGATAGGTTGGGGCTTCATGGGAATGTTCCGATCGACATCACAGCCGCCTGAGATCAGAGCACGGAACGACTCTGGGAAACCGCTCTGCCCTGACAGGACCGAGTTTTGCGTCTCTTGCTGCACAAGCAAGATCGTCTGGCCCAAGTACGAGACAAGAGATTTGCAGAGTGAAGCGGAGGACCAGGTATGTCTTCTCTCTCTCTTCTAGACACCATGTTGGACATTGTGATGGTACCTCAGCTGAGGATACTGATCATGCCTAAAGATTGCAAAGTACGGCTTCATCCGGCGCCTCCAGTCCCCTCAAGAGTATCAAGCCTCCCTTGAAGCGGGCGGTGCACCGACAGTGAGCGCCGGTTCCAGCACCGCCGTTGGAGTCGGAGTAGGTATCGGAGCAGGTGTAGCACCACCTCCGCAACCTACACCCCAAGCTCAGCCCACGAGGCAGGTGGCACAGCCGCCGCCAACAAACTCTAGGGAAAGACCACCTCCCCCAGCACCAGAAGAGGAAGACCGTTTTTCTTCCGTTCCCACTAGTAACAATGACCAGTCTAACTCGCCATCGTCCTACAGAAGAGTTATGTTCTCGCCTGACTACATGGACCCGAAGCGTATCTACCATCGCCGGCACGAGCAAGAAGACGAGGAGAAACAGGGAGAGGAATGCGGAGAGAGCCAAACCAGCGGGTGTACGACGTGTACGAGTACGGAAGTGGCATTTTGCCGATCGAAGCTACGAGAGAGGAGAGGGAGGAGGAGATCGAGGTTGTCGAGTACGACTGGGGTGACGGAGAAGAGCAGAAACTCGGAGCCGAAGGAGCTGGATACACCTATGGATGTTGATACTCCGGAAAATGTCAAGGAGATCCGTATTGTCCTGGGCCGGGAGGACAGCAAGCGGACAGGGAGCACACACCAGGTTGCTGGGCTGGAACCTGGAGCCTCGAGAACCAGAGAAAGAATTTACAGGGAAACAATGTCAATTTCTGAGTGTAGTTCTAGCTTTTGTGTCGGAGGTTCAAGTGGTGTAGGTGGAGACGGCATTGAGTCAGCGGTAATGACAGAGAGCCGTGATCGGTTGCTGGCGAGCATCATGTCGGAGGCGGGTGGGTACGGGAGTTTCTTGTTCGCACTGAGCAATTATGATAGTTCGGACGACGAGGGATTGTCGGGATGGGTTACTGTTGATGCTAAAGTATGTGAGTGTTAATCAGTTACGTTTGTTGATTGTTGTCGATGTCGACGCCTACATGTAAAGTGAAAAGGGTTAGGGTTCCCCTGATCTCCAGGTGCCAAGCCCATCTCACGGAGTTAAAATCAACCATCTCGATACATCCAAACAGACCACTCACGCGGTTACGCCGGCAGCGGGCGTCCAATCGATGATGGCTCTTCTCAGCTCTGACGCACGAGAGCATTTCCAAAGTTTGATAATCAGGGTAATATCTTTTGTTTCACAGCGCCAGTGACGCACCCGCTTCCACAGTTGGAGCAGCGTGCCAAGCCAGGCGTCAAGGCGTGACCGGCAGAGCGGGAGCCCGCTTTTTCTACAACACGCCATTGGTCAATCCCCACGATTCCACAAGCCGATGATGTCAAGATCGGCGGTCCCTCAATGAAGCCTGAAGGGAATCGAGGAAATTCCACATCAAGAGACCCCGTTGACGTAGCTCTGCCCGGCCCCAACCCGGCCCAGAATGACGCCTACGCACATCAAATAGACTGCATAATTACTACTTGTCTCTCTCCCCCATCTGTACCTTGTGGTACATGCCTTACTCTTCCCTCAGACTTTGCTCACGGACTGCATCTTGTGACGACGTTGACCACCTCGTGCAGATTTGATTGACAACCTCCTCTCGACCCTTGACGAACATGGCGGCGCAGCACATTCCCGGGGCCTTCCCCTCCTCGATCCCACCCACTCCAGCCGACGAACCTGTGCAGCAGCCCCGGCAGTACCCGGAAGAGCAAGACCAAGGTCACCACCACCGTGAGCTCAACAAGCTCCCCAAGGCGACCGATTCCCGCGGCCACGCTCATACCGATTCCGGTGTCAACTTTACCGAGTCCGAGGCCATCCAACCAGCCAAGGGCAACAATGACCGCTGGGTTGGACCATCAGAAGCAGTTGGTGGGGGCACCTACGTCCGAGACGATGTTGGACCCTACCAGACCTCCCAGCCAGCAGATGATGGATCGTTACAACCAAGACAGTTGGCCAAAGAGAACAGTGATGAAGAGTTCCCGATCCGAAGGAACAATGCCAATGAGAAGCCACTTGGTGCTGCTGCCGTAGGCGCTGGGGCTGAAGCAGCCACCCGTGACCACAACACGATTGACAGCACCGACATAACCCCGCGTCGAAGCCACGAGCAACGCTCCGACCCACCATACTGGGGCGACCTCCCAAAGGCTTCCAGCGGAGGTATCTATAACACGGTGACAGGTCATGGCAGCGCGCAGGACGACCATAACCAGCACCATCATCACCCTCAAAGGTCAGCAGCTTCCGAAACATCCCACATCGTCGGCACCGCTGACTTTCCCAGGGGTACTGGAGTATATAACTCAGTATCCGGCCACGGCAGCCAGGATGCAGAGAGCAGGCGCCACAACCAGGCTGCCACAACCGGCGACAGGAATGCCACGGCTGGCGGCCTCGGCGGTGCTGTGCTTGCTGCCCCCCTTTCGGAGATTCCTGAAGGGCAGCAGAAGCAGACATTCTCTGAAACTGACAGGTCCAATGTCCCACCTCCTTCGCTCCCCCACAGCGTCTCGCGGGACAATGCTTTGGTTGCAGCGCCTGGCTCAGGCCCGACCGACCGTGAGATCAACGTGAGCCGACAGTCCCCCACCCAACGAGCATTCCCGCTTTCGTCATCTCCCAAGAACGCGCGCGACGATGAAGCTACGTCGACATCGAACAGCCGCAACGCTGCTCTTGCAGGCACCGCTGCCCTCGGTGCCGGTGCCGCGGCTTACGGCATGGCGGACAAGAATAGGAACGACAAGGATGCTCAGAATTCCCACACCGAGACTCAGGCTAGGCACTCGAGGAGCACTAGTGAGGATCAGGGCACTCGTGCTGCCGGCGGGCTCCTTTCGCGTAAGCCGCGGGATGATAGACGCAACTCGTCTGTCGACAAGCACAGGAGCCGGAGCCGATCCGTCCAAGGCGAGAAGAAGCACAAGGTTCTTGGCATCTTCAGCCGGCACAAGGACGAGGAGAGGCTTCAGGAAGATACCTCGACCCACGAGCATCCCGCGCAGAGGCTGAGCGCAACCAGAGCCTGTTCTGGTTGAAAGCACGACGGGTACCACAAAGACTCGCAACCGCCTTAGAAAGGGAAGCAGGAGCGAGCCCAAGGACCGCAGGCATCTTCCGATAGCCCTACTGACACTGATAACTCGAATCACAACAGTACCAAGGCCGCTGCTGGTGCCGCTACTGGTGCCGCCGCAGGTGCCGGTGCGTTTGGGCTGCTGCATCACAAGAAGGACAAGGACGGCAAGGTCACCGAGGACCAAAATACCCAGCAGGAGAAGCCTTCATTCTCTTCTCACCCCAACCAGCCGCTCGCTTCGCAAGCCCCCGCCAGCAACACAGCTCAAGTTAGGCAGCCCAGAAGCTCAGGGGTTGGATCTGCCGTCGGCCTCGATGCTGTTGAACTTGCTCACAAGCACGATCCTGCCCACCCAGTTCTCGGCACAGCTGTTCCTGTCGGACTTGCTACCCACAAGCATGATGACCCCTCCACTCCTTTTGAGCATCCTAGAGAGCCGCCCTCCCCTCCTCGCGATGATCCGAAGGGCTCTCATAGCTGGGTTCCCGCTGCCGTGGTTGGCGCGGCCGCCAGCGGTGCCCCACTTGCTATGAGGCAATCAAGGGACTCTACCGCGGCAAACACAGCCACCAACCAGCACCCAGACACCAACGTGGTTTACAACACTCTGCCCTCTGGCGTCCAGTCAAACTCGACCAACATCAGCCCTCGTGGGTCAGCTGTCCATGAGTCCATCAATACCAGCAGACCAGTGGCCAACGCGCCTGGTGACTACAATGTCTTTGCCTCTTCTAGTCAGCCGCTTAGCTCAAACCACCCATCCGAGTCCAACAATACTTACACAGGATCCTCCACTCAGGAGCCTGCCTACAACCATCTTTCGTCTAGCACTCCGTCTGGTGTGGCTCTAGGCTCTGCTCGTCAATCCGAGTCTCATGGGTCTCGGACTGGTGTTGTCACGCAGGAGCCTGGTGCTTACAACCATCTTGCTTCCGGCACCACATCTGGCGTGAAGAGTGACCAGTCCACCGATAACTCGAACACCGCTCGCCACTCAACCGAGGGTCAGATAAATCAAGAGCCTGACAACTATAACCATCTCTCTTCCGGCAATGCATCCGGCATCGCTGCCGCTGGTGTTGCTGCCGCTGGTGCTGCTGGCGTGGCCGCACACAAGGCTCGCGGCTCGACGACTGAGACCTCTCGCCAGGGGAATCTAACTCAGGATTCCGGCCAGTACAAACATCTCCCCTCCGGTACTGAATCTGGTATCAAGAGAGATGCTGGCCCCACCGAGGGTAGCAGAGCACACGATCTTGCCGCCTCTGGGTCCAGCCGTCCTTCGCAGAACAGGACCGACTCTGGGCCATACAACAAGCTGCCCTCGGGAACACCCTCAGGCGTCAAGATTAAGCCCAAGGACAACTCCCGTCGCGCCACGGAGCCCACCGTCCACGCCCATGACCAGCACTCGTCCGACCGTAACGTGTCTTCACCCACTGGGCCGACTGGTGTTCCCTTCACCCAGCATCATCGAAGCCAGCCTTCCAACATTGACACTCGCGATAGCCATCTGAAGGACCTGCCTCTTCCGGCCTCATCCTCCAGCCCAACCAACGCGCACCCGTCGTCTCACCACACGGTTGTCTCGCCTCCGGTGCACGCTGCTCCCGAGACCGGCAAGGCTACTAACCCTCCTCCCGCTGCCGGCGAATCGGCCACTCTCCGGTATACTTCTTTCCCCAGCACGGCCAAGGGCATGAGCCCAGAAGTCATGCCAGATACCTACCGGGAGTCGGTGACCAAGCCGCATGAGCAGCAGGGAATGAGCCCCGAGGTGATGCCTGAGGCGTATAGAGAGTCTGTCTCCCGCCCTTCTGATCATGCTATGGAAATGAGCCCTGAGGTGATGCCCAATGCTTACAGATCTTCAGTTCCGCGAAACAGCAACATCATCAACAACAACAACAGCGACTTGAAGACGAGGGGTATGCAGCCCGTGCAGTCTGAGCAGTATATGACTGGGCAGAATAAGTTTGTGAGCCCTGCTCTTGCTGCTGCTACTGGAGCCTGGGCTGCGAGTTCGGGTACTGGCAATGGGAGTGTTGGTGGTGTTGGGACTGGGAATGTAAATGTGCCGCAGGGGAAGGTTATGCACAAGTGTGAGCATTGTGGGAGGGATAACGATATTAGTGGGTATGTGAAGGAGGCTGTGAACAGGGTTACTGGGGTTGATAGGTTTTAAGGGTGTGTATCAGGAGGGTGTGGGGACGGATTGTTGAGGATGATGATTCATGGGTTTATTTTAGGCCTTTGTACGTTTTCCTAGCAGAGCAGTAGTGAGCACATGAAAATACTTGAAACTAAAAACTTCGTATGCATTGATGACCCCTCTGCTGTTACCCACTTGACGGTCTCAGGTAAACTGACTAAAGAACTCCCAAGTCTCCTTGTGCGCAAAAGTCTCGCTCTCGCCTGTCTCCCTGGGGGTGGGAACATGGCCCCCGTCAAAAACGACAAACGTGACGGGCTTGTCGGGCAAACAACCGGTATACACCGTCTTGACCTTCCCCTGGCTTCCCGCCGCTGGGACGGGCGGCTCAGCCTGGGCGGCGCAACCGTTATTTTTCAGGAAACGATCCCTCATCTGCCTCGCCTGGGCCAGAGGCAAGACGTTGTCCGTCGTCCCGTGCTGGCCGTAGTAGGCGACGGGCTCGGAGCCGGCGGCACACCCGCTGATCTGGGGGTTCCCGCTCAGCGCGGCCACGGCCCTGATCTCTTTCCCGAGCGAGCAGGCGAGCGAGTAGGACATTGCGGCGCCGTAGGAGAAGCCGGTGGAGAAGCGGAGGTCCTGGTCGACGCAGAGGTCTGACTCGACGGTGGAGAGGACGGAGCGGAGGAAGGTGACGTCCTCGCCGTTGGAGTTTTGCCAGCCGTTGTTGAGGCCGTTGGGGATTACGAAGACTGTTGGGGTGGTGGAGGAGTTGGCTAGGGGGGGAAGGCCGTAGTAGGGGAGGTAGCCCCCTTGGCCGGCGATGACTTGCTGGGCTGTGCCGCCTAGGGCGTGGAGGGTGAAGATTAGGCGGTGGGGGGTCGAGGAGTTGTAGTTTTGGGGGAGGCGGACGAAGAATTCGCGTTGTTTGTTGTTGGAGGTTATTCGGAGGGGGGTGGTGGTGGAGGAGGAGGTTACGAGGGCGGGGGTTTTGCCGCAGCCAGGGGAGGGGCGGAGGGAGAGGGCTGTTGGGGTCAGCAGACCTAGGAGGGTGAGGAGGGTGAGTTTGGCCATGATGCTCTGGGGGAGCTTGTTGGTAGTTGATCGGTGGTGGTTAAAAGGGTCATGGTGGTGGGATGGGTTAGAGGATGGTGTTTTATGAACATTGGGATGCGAAGATGTGAGATTGCCGTGGGTGAGAGCCGCATGGTCGGATTTGAGCCGGGTGGTAAGGTAAATAGGCCTTTCGATATATAGCCTCAACGGGCGTGGAGACATGAACGCAGCAAAGTCTGGCTTGGCCTTCATGATTTCGAAACAGAATTGCTGGTGAGCGAGGCTGCAGTTTGGTCGAGGCTAAATTGGTATAGTGATTTCACCTCAAGGGCTGGTCTCCAATATTCCGTTTGGAGTAGGCGTGGAGGTTGTCAATGCGGGGGCAGTGAGCTTCCCCATGTTTCGGTTGCTGGCTCGGTAATAATCGACTAGGTACGGCGATCGTCAATCTACGTGGCTGATATAATGCTTGCTATCATCTTGCACCAACCCTCCCATGTTGACTTTTTGTTCTAGCACTGACTCTAACAATTATCTCAGGGGTAGAAAAGGGGGAGAAGGAGATGGCTTATGTAACCCAGCTTGGCATGACACGGTTGCTAGGCTCCACTTTTGGGAAACTATTCCTATGAACCTGTTGAATAATTTGAGAGGGGTTGTCTTTTTGTCCTGCGCCTTTGCCTTTGATTGTGTTGCTTGCCCTGACCACGAACCAGAAATCGAAACCATGACTTCTAACACACCAAACTCCGGGGAACCATTTGTTCCCACCAAGCTCATCAAGCATTTTCAGGCGAATCACACAACCCGTGACGCCCAGACCAGTGGGTGGTCGGCGTTGTGGGACTCGCAGCAGAACGATCTCTGGGACAGGGGGAAGCCATCGCCTGCCCTTATTGACTTGATCGAGTCTGCTCCATGGCCGTCGCGTGAGCGAAGGAGGCCAAAGGCGTTGGTGCCGGTATGTTTACTCGGCTTTCACAGAATGGCGCCATGAGATGTTAACAATCATTGTAGGGCTGCGGAAAAGGCTATGACGTCGTGATGCTGGCCCTGCATGGGTTCGATGTGTATGGGCTTGAGGTCTCACCGACCGGTGTCGAGACTGCGAGGGCTTATGCCGCGAAGCAACTAGATGCACCCCTTGCACACAACTATGGAGAGGGGAATCAAGAAAGGTACCCGAAGGATCAGCGGGGAGAGGTAACGTTTATGGCTGGTGACTTTTTCAAGCGCGACTGGGAGGGCAAGTGTGTGCGCGAGGGGGAGACCTTTGAGGGTTTCGATCTTATCTATGATTACACTGTAAGTCTGCTGCTTTTGCCATGCCATGTCCGCTCGGGGCTGTGCTGACCGGTCAGTTCTTATGTGCTCTCCTCCCGGAGATGCGTCGAGACTGGGGCCGTCGAATGGGAGAATTGCTCGGACCTCAACCTGCAAAGCTGGTTTGCCTCGAATTTCCCCTCTACAAAGACCTCAAGCTTCCTGGTCCACCATGGGCCTTGAGAGAAGGAATCTATTACGATGTGTTGGCTGGCGGTGGGACCGGGGTTTTTGATAATGACGAAGCAGCCCAATCGGCCCTGCAACGGCCCAACAAGGGACCGCTGGAGCGAGTGGCCCGTATCAGGCCTTTTCGGACGTATCCGCAAGGAGAAGGAACTGATCATCTGGGCATCTGGCAGGTCAAAAGCTGGTAAGAAAAAGCAACAGCAGAATCCAAGTTCCCGGAAAGGGCCTTAATCCGTCAGTTACACCGTCAATGTACCCCTGAAAGGAAACCCCCAAATCAAGCAGGTGCGGAAACAAGCTTTTCAGAGCAAAAGAGGTTTCATGGACACACACGTCAGCACTTTAGATTTTCTTGGACGTCTAATCATGACAAATCCGAGAGCAATAACCAAGTACCGCGCTCAGGAATCGAACCCCTGCCATTAAAGAGGAAACATGACCGTACCCCGCGTTCGCTGTAGATAAACGAGCTGCAGAGTTGGAGTGTATTTAATTTAATCAAGACGTCCAGCGCGGCCATTCAACCGCTCACTTCAACCGGAAAGAGGGTCTGGGGTGCTTCTCGTTTTGTATGGGCGGCCCGTTGGGGAAGGTGTGCTCGGCCCAGCCAACTCGAGCTGTCAGCCTGTCTTCAGGACCGTTTACTGCGACGATCCGGGGAAAAGCGGCGCAACGGTCGGCTGCTGTAGACCTGTACCTACCACAGTCATGCATTAGTCACTTGGTCACTTTCGGCTTTTGCCCATGGTCATGTCCAAGACTGGGGTTGTCATAGTAGTTTGCATCTGTCAAGGTCTGGCAGGTAATATCTGATCGACCATGGCGACTGGGCAGAACCGACTTTAAATGTTTCTTGGGTCTAGCTCAGGGCCCTTTTGACGTCGCGCTGAAGGGAAAAGTCTGGACGCGACTGTGTTTGGTGATGAAAATTCCCTACAGCTATAGCAGAGCGAAAAAGGCTTATAGATGTCTGACACATGCGATGAGGTTGTGTTTGGCCCCATATTGATGGGAACTGGGAAGCGGTCATGGAGGAATTATCCCCGGTTTTTGTCAGTCCGAATCACACCTCCCTTTGGCACCAACATAGATGATCTATGATCTCGTGCTCCCGCAGCCGAGAAATCCTTCGAGATCAGATCTGAATAAAAGGGCCATGTGATCCCCCGCCTTTCTTGAGCCTCGTCATCACTTTTCGCATCTCACCAACAACAGCCTCTTCACAAGAATCATTTTTTCACGCCAACCACAAATCAACAACACAATGAGAACCTCATCACCAATCTTCCTCCTCTTGGGAGCAGCACTCGCATCCCCAAACGTAATAGACGACTTTGTCGGCCAAGGCCAAATCCACGTCCTCAACTCGAGCTCCTACGTCTCGGCCGACCCGGCAACAGACACCATCGGCTGTCTGACCGCGTCGGGATTGCTGTCCAAATCCAACTGCGCCACATTCACGCGGACGGAAAGCTACCCCTACATGCTCGTCTCGTCAAGGGGCGTCTGTACGTTCAACGACAAGAGCATGCCCAACAACAAGGACAGCTACTACGGCAAGAACACGTACGCGTGGCACTGCCTCGAGGGGGCCAAGGCCGGGATTGATGGGGAGAGGTATTATACTATTGTGAGTACCATGTGACCTCTTTTTTCAATTTTAGCAGACCGATGTTGATTTTTGGGTGTACGTGAAATAGCAAGGATTCAAACACCCATACCTCTGCAACGGGAACCTGGGGTGCTACTACGACATCCCGGATGCTCCGGAAAATGATGACGATAGCGGGGACAGTTTCTCGGTTCAGGAGGTGGGCAAGACGAAGGCTGTGCAGCCAGTGTGGCAGTTCTTTTGGGGAGCCCATCAGATGGGGATCACGCCGGGGCATTTGCAGGTGTTGTGGCTTTGGGTGCCGGTTAAGGGGAAGGAGAAGAGAGATGATGGGGAGCAGCGGAGGTTGGTTCAATAGGTCCAGTTCCCTAATGAGGAGCTTCAGGGGGTCGGTCGGTCCTAAAAGGGGCCGATCCTCAGGCTGAGGTGTCTTGGGCGGGGGTGAGGGATAGTATATAGTGATTTTTGCCAAGTAGGTACCAGAGGGAAGGAACGATGTAGGTTGGTCTAGGGGGATTCTACCTAGTTAAGGTCTTGCTGGCCACAAATCTCTTGCCAATATTCCACCTGGAAAATTGAAAACCTTCGACCGACTGTCATCTGTTACTCTTCTTTTGGTGTACATTCTCTCCTGAATTCTACACAACAAACCTGACGGGATGCAGGACCACAAAGCCTTTACGGCCGCCGTGCGAGCCAGCAATGCTTGGGCTCATGAGAAATGGCTGAACGAAGAAAACAAGTATGATCAACCGCAGAAACAAACCACTGATTATTTCAGAGAGCCACCCTTCGACTCTGAGAGCCACAATGACGGCGGTATCACGATCGAGTTGGAAGACAGGAACCCCAAGATCACACCCGAGACATAGCTGCCCTGAAGGAGTGGCACGATCAGCTCGACGACACTCGCGATGACTGACTTGTGGAGGTCCTGGGTCGATGGCACATGACTCAATGTTATCAAGCCAAGACCGATGTGAAACACCGGGAGGACGTCTATCTTTGCTCGGAGTGGAAGCACAGGATTCACACCATTATCGGCCACCGCTTGCCGAACGCCATTTATCGCCAGTTTCACAAGTTGCAGCACCCAACTCTGAGGTCTGCCGTCATACTCCGGATTGCATCTCCTGGAGCAAGGTCCAGAAGCAATATATTCGATGCAAAGACGAGATTGACGTCAAGTTTCAACAAATTGTCAGGGGAAGCCACCCCCTAGTTGAGGACTCCTTCATTCGCAGGGACAATCGGTAAGAGCTTGAATCCTTCGTCACAGATCATGCGGAAAGAAATCTAACACTTCTACCTGCAGTCAATTGTTTCCACTTAGCCTCACGGGCTTGGTATCAACCTGGTCTCCCTACTATGCCAACCAGCAATGCGTCCAAATCAAAACTCACGTCGTCCAAACACCCCATGACCAGCCTTGGATGGCTGTTATCGAGATTCTCGACCGAGGTGGAAAGCAGTTCGTCCCCCGTAGGGGAGGCATGAGGGGTTTCTAAGTAAAGCCCCCATTTTGATTCTGCAAGGCGTTGTGCCTACTCACCACAAACATACCAGATAGCTCGACAATACACAAGTCATAAATCGTTCAACTTTGGGGGGTATCTATCTAACTTCTGTTCAACAACATCTTGTTCCCAGCGAGAAAAGGCCCACGACGTTCGAGATTATCCCCCCCCTCTCACGCCCAATTCTTTGGCTCATCAGTCATCAAAAGTTGTACCACACACCTCCGCAAAGTGAACATTGATTGTTGCAACTTTTTCCTCTTACAGGCACACCGTCTCATCTTGAAGATCTCCCGTACCGACCAAGAAGTTTTTCGGACATGTTGATTATATGCAGCCAATTACCGTTTGTAGCGACTGACAGGATTCCCTTTTGTCTCTCAGACCTCGATCCTCGACTTGCCCCTCCTGCCACTGACAGAAGCTGGCGGCTTGCATGATTTGCATGATAAGCTATAAATCGCTCCCCCAACTCCTCTTCCTTGGCTTTTCTCTTATTAAATACCGAGCTGGCGTTTGTGTGCAATGTGGCTGATGTTTAAGTACCCCTCCTGTAGGTTCAGTTGGCAAAAATCCTCACGTTCAAATCAACACTCCCTGTCGCAATGACACACCGAATCTGCGCCTCACCACCCGCACCGGCAGCCCCCGCTGCTTTCCTTGGTGTCCCGTTCGATTCACCATTGGCGCCCTCACCATTGACTGCCGGGACATCCTTGACGATCGAAGGCGCCCACCGGATACACTGCACGAAATGCCCGTGTGCGTCCCCTATCGTCTTGACACATCTACCCTCCTGGGTCAGATCCCAGCACCGCAACGTATAATCATCAGCCACCGACAACAAGTACTGTCCACCAGGGTGGAAGACAAGGCCCCGCACCCAGTTGTCGTGGCCCACCAATATCTTGATACACGTCCCTCTCGCATCCCACAGCCGAATCGTTTTGTCTCTTGAGCCGGTCGCCATGAACTCTACGGCACTCGTTGCTGGTGGCTTCTTGATCCCTGCCATGGCGGCAAGATGTGGATAAGCAGCCGCAGGAGCAATGGCGCAACATAACACAACGTGCTCGTGTCCGATCAGTGTGGTCTTCGGCTCCGGGTTCGGTATCGAGACGTCCCACAACCGGCCGGTATAATCGTCACTTGTCGACAAGATGAACCTCCCGTCAATGGATGGGCAGACATCACGGACCCATTCGGCGTGTCCTCGAAGAGTCTTTACGCAATAGCCTGTGCTCACATCCCATATCCTCAACGTCTTGTCTCGACTCGCGCTGACAAGGAGGTTGCCGGTACCACCTGCTACCCCTGACGGGATGAATCGAACTGCGCTGACGCTGTGGTCGTGACCAGGGAGCGTTCGGATATTCTTGTAGTCGTCTGATGGGTCCCAGAGCTTGATGGTCAAGTCTGAGCTGCACGAGGCAAGCAAGGTGTTTCCCCTAGGTCCGCCGAAATCGACATCGAGCACAGCTTTGGTATGGCCTTTGATCGTCCTTTCGAGCTCGCCCAGCTCCCAGTCCCAAATCTTGATGGTTTGGTCCTCCGAGCCGGAAGCCAGTGATGAGAATACTGGGTGGAAGGCGACGCATGTGATTGGATTTCGGTGGGATTGCAGCGTGTGGCGGGCTGGAGATTTGGGCAACCAGGCTACTGGATCTTTATTTTGTCGGGACGTGGGGGTGCTGTTTGCGAGCTCTGATTGCAAAGTGCTATTCCGGGACTCGAGATCCATGATCTGGGAAAGAATGTCAGATGGACAGGCCGACAAACACAGAAACCGACCACGCGACTGACCTTCTTTTGTAACCGCACAACACTCGTCCATTTCTTTTCTAGCAGCCCCTCATACTTCTTTGCGGTTGCTGGATCAAACACATCCTCTCCAAGGTTGAGCTCTGTTCGCAGAGCCGACGCGGTATTCGAAAGGTTGTTGGCAGTAAGGTAGGCGATGATGGCTTTGTGTCTGCATCGCTGTCAGTCCCTGCCTGCCTCGGCTTCGTCAAGACCCAACCCCGCCCGCTGTGGACGTGATCACACGACAGGAAACCTACAGCTCCTCAGCCTGACGGGTGGTCAGGATGTTTGTATTCATCGCGGAGACTCGGAGGGCAATCTGGAGCCCCCGGGCCGTGCCGTTCTGCTAGAGCGGGAGACAGGAAATGGCGGGGAAATTTATCGGCCTGAAATCAGCGGTCGGGAACCTTCTCGTCTCGGCGGCGGCCGTTGGGTTGAAATCGGTGTCAAGAGGTGAGGTATTCTTTGAGGTGGATTCCGGGTGGGCATGGAAGGATGGCGGAAGGTTGTTGGTGACAAACAACAGCGTCGGGAAAGGGGTGGCGCTTTGTTCGAGAAGGTTTCGTCGAATGTCTGTTTCAATCCCAATCCTCAGATGCACGCGCGGATGGATTGGGTGGATGGTTGGAGGGGTCGTGAAAAGTGGACCTGGGGTACTGGGGAAGGCGAGGTGTCCAGGGTTTGTGGTTGGGCTTCCAGACACGGATATCAACTCAGGGCTGAAGATGGGAGTTCTGGATGGAGGCGGTGTTGCCGTGGGAAATGGATCTCATGGTCCCTCTTTGGCGGGCATCCAGCGGGGCAGAACAACACTTGAAACTCGAAAGCAAGCTCGCAATCTGTGGTGGGTGGCATTTGCTGTCGCTGGCCATCCAATTCCCATGCTCGCTGCCGGGCCTGCCAAGATAGAGAGGTCGGGCCACGACAGCTGCCACAGGAGGCTGCCAGCCGTGTCAAGCCTCAGCCAGTGACATCACCTCAGCCACACTGTGGTTTGGTTTCTACAGCAATTCCCTATGTCAACAATTGCCAGAGCAAAGTCTGTCAGTGGAAAGAAGGGTCCAGTCAGCATCCCCCGCCATCAGAGAAAGACAAGAGGAAATTACCAACAACTGGAGAGGCGGTGCATATGCGCACATAGGATAATCAAGGGATCAAGAGACTCCTACTTGTACCCAAACTCCATCAGAGCATTCCTTATTCATTGTGGTGTTTATCTGCATCCATAGGGCAACTGTCAGTGACAGCGAATGGCCCCACACCCACACCTGTCCCGCAGAGCCAAGAGCACAGGGTCAGGGCGCCCCAGACACGCTTTCTCACCGCGAGCCAGCCTTGAGCGAGAAATCTTGGGCGGCAAGTCACAACAACTGCAATTGTCAACAACCACTGCGCAGACGATCCTTTTCGGCGAACATCCTCGCAACAATCGCCCCCCGCCGAGCAAGAGCTTCCCCTCGCTCTCCTTCTGGAAGCCAATCACGCGCAACAGCCAGCTCGGTCTCGACACCAAACCCAACAAGTCGCAAAGAAAACAGCTGCTGGCTTTTGCTTTGTTGCTTCACCCCTCGCACGTATGTTGCTTCCTTCGCATTCCCTCCTCCAGCCTCACCAAGGCCAATCTCCCAGATGCGCTTCTGTTCCTTAGACGGCGCACTGCACTGGCTGCTATGACGGGCCGTTGGAAACCGCCTTGGCTGCAGAAGCTAATCAAGCGAACTTCAACTCTAGGCTCAGGAAAACGCAAGACTTGCCTCTCGACCGACAGACTTACGAACCACACCGACCAGCTTGCCCACAATCCCCGGAAGCACTTGCTGAAATCCTGTCTGCTTGATTCCGACTCTACCACCACATCACCATCCATTGAAGAAGAACAGCCCGCCATGGCTGACGGAGAAGAAGACTTTAGCTCTTTGCCCCTTACAGATCGCTGGGTCCACAAGGTGCGCGCGTCTCCTTATTCGCTGACTACCTACTAGACAGGCAAACTAAAACATCAGTTGGCGAATAGGTCTGGAAAGTACGAAAACAGGCATACGAGGAGGCTGCCCAGGCATTCGAAAAGACCCCCGACGAGTACGACCCAGCATTCCGACCATTCATCCAAGATCCGAGCTTGTGGAAGACAGCAGTCGCAGACTCCAACGTTGCTGCTCAACAAGATGGCTTGGCTGCCCTCTGCGCATTTCTGAAATTTGGCGGCCGCGAAGGCGGTATACGAGCCAGACAACATGCTGTCACACCAATTTGCGAGAAGGGCCTGTCCTCCACGAGAGCGGCGACGAAGGCGTCAGCAGTCGAAGCGTTGCTCCTCTTCATCGAGATTGATGTTCCCGGCCCGGTGATCGAAGAGATTCTGCCGGTGCTTTCCAACAAGCAACCCAAGGTTGTTGCTGCGGCGCTTCATGCTTTGACCCAGATCTTTCACAACTATGGCTGCAAAACAGCGGATCCCAAACCCGTTCTCAAGATTCTACCCAAGGTGTTTGGCCACGCCGACAAGAATGTGAGAGCAGAGGCGACGGGGTTGGCGGTCGAGTTCTACCGGTGGCTGCGCGAGGCTATGAAGCCAATGTTCTGGGGCGACCTCAAACCAACACAGCAGACAGATCTCGAAGCGCAGTTTGAGAAGATCAAGGCCGAAGGTCCAGCGAAGCAGGAGCGATTGTTGCGATCACAGCAAGCGGCCAAGGAACGGGCACCTGCGGCAGGAGGTGGTGACGAGTATGGAGAGGAGGGAGAAGAGGAGGAAGAGGCTGGTGAGGTTGACGCTTTTGACCTGGCCGAGCCACAAGACGTCATCAGCAAAGTGCCCAAGGATTTCTACGACAACCTGGCCTCGTCCAAGTGGAAGGAGAGAAAGGAAGCTTGCGAGGCCTTGTATGCTATTGTCAATGTGCCAAGGATCAAGGATGGTGATTTTGGTGAGATCACCCGCTGCTTGGCCAAATGCATGAAGGACGCCAACATTGCGGTCGTCACTCAGGCAGCGCAATGTATCGAAATGCTCGCCAAGGGTCTGCGCAAGGGCTTCGCCAAGTATCGTTCCAACGTCATGCAGCCTATCATGGAGAGATTGAAGGAAAAGAAGGTTACGGTTGCTGATGCGCTTGGTGCTGCGCTGGACGCTGTGTTTCTTTCTACCAACTTGACCGAGTGCTTGGAAGATATCACCACATTCCTCGTTCACAAGAACCCCCAGGTCAAGGAGGGAACCATGAAGTTTCTTGTCAGGTGTCTTCGAACAACCAGGGAGGTGCCGAGCAAGCAGGAAATTGCCAGCATCGTTGAATGCGCCAAGAAGCTGCTTTCCGAGGGTAGCGAGGTTCTTCGGTCTGGCGGTGCCGAGATTCTGGGAACCATCATGAAGATCATTGGCGAAAGAGCCATGAATCCCCATCTCGAAGGTCTTGATGATATCCGAAAGACCAAGATCAAGGAGTTCTTTGAGACGGCCGAAGTCAAGGCCAAGGATAAGCCGAAGCCGCCGCCGCCAGCTCCCGCTGCGCGGGGGCCACCACCCAAGAAGACGTTGGGCGCAAAGAAGGCCCCTCCTGGTCTCAAAAAGGCACCCCCGGCAGCCGCCGCACCGCCGCCAGAGCCTTCACCTCCACCTGCGCCGCCAGCTGCTGCGCGTCCCGGTCCCGCGGGGAGCAAGCTCGGGAAGCCAGGGCTCGGGGGTCTCAAGGCACCACAGAAGCGCACTCTCGGTGGTCCTGCCGCCGGCGCTGCTTCACCGCGTAGACCGGCAGCCCCTCGCGTGCCATCACCTGCATTTGAGCCGGAATACGAAGAGGAGGAGCCCATTCCCGCTTCTCCCCCACCAAAGCCGCGCATTGGTTTGGGACGCGGTGGTCTCGCTGGCCGCTCACTCGCCAAACCAGCTGCGCCATCAGCCCCCGCGCCCGCTGCATCCCCATCTCCGACCTCTACCTTCTCACACATGGAACGTGCCGAGCTGGAGGAATTGCGCATGGCCAATGAACGCTTGCTCAAACAGCTAGATGACGCTCGTCACGACCGGTCCAAGCTGACATCAGAAATTCAGGAGCTCAAGAACCAAAATGCTCAGTTGATCGAGGATCACACGAGAGATGTACTTTCCATCAAGGCCAAGGAGACACAGCTGGTGAGAGCTCGCAGTGATGCCGAGGCTGCCGAACAGACAAATGAGCGGCTACGACGCGAGCTGGACCGTTTGAAGAGGGCGCTCAGTAAGGCCGAAGCCGCCCTCAACAACGGTGGGGGCGCAGACAGCCCTGTATCCCCCAGTCTTGGATTCCGGGCTCTGAGCCCAACGCACGATGATGGCGGGATCTACCGTGACAACGCTCTTCCTGCTAGTGCGGGTAGAGCCCGTCAAAGCTTCGCCAGCACCCTTAGCGAGGAGAAGGAGAACGGCGACGGTGTGCCGCACCCCCGAAAGATGGCTCCCCCAGAGTCCCGGTACGCGGGCAGCACCGCTAGCAGCGGCCGCGCCAGCCCAGCTAGAGGGTTTAGGCGAGACATTTCCGGCGGTGACGACAGAGACATTCGCAATAACGATAGTGCTAGTGGCAGCGGTGCCTATGGCGGATATGGTGACCGGGCGGGGAGCAGGGCTGGGAGCCGTGCAGGAAGCAGGTTGGGCGATCCACCAATCAATGCTTCTGGTGCTCCCGCGACGTCTGGCATGGAGAGCTGGAGAAGAGCTGCCGAGGTGACGAGTCAGCTGAAGGCCAGGATTGAACTTATGAAGGTATGTGCAGCTGCGGAGGCCTCGACGAGAAGTGTGCAGGGCAGGCACTAACAGAGAGCAATAGGCAAAGGCAGCGAGCAGACCTCAGTAGAGCTCAAACGATCTCCCCAACGCATGGACCTGTACGGCTGTCTTTCTTTTAACAGGTTTTCGATGTTATGATTTGCATTTTCACGGCGTTGGGCGATGAAGCATACCCATTCCCCGCCCTGTACCGTTTTTATAGGTGTTTTTACTTTCTGTACACTTTACTGTTGCTCATTTACCTATACCGCATGTTTTACAGGGGGCTGCTATGGTGTGTTCTGATATCTGGGGGACCTGGTGGATGGGAAAAACATGGCTTGGTGGGACCATTGCTTGTGTGGGAGGTTATCAAATGATGGGTTAGCTGGGTCGAGGTAGCTGGGATAATCCTATTGATCGATATGCTGTACTTCTTTCTGGCTACTCCTTACACTCAAGGTGTGTTTGATCCAGAGACCAGTGTCTGGTCTCCTGGAATGCAATGGAAGTCAAAGTGGAGGAGGGGGGGGTTGATTGTGGAGTGCTTGCCAACACACAGCTCGGCTTTACCCCGCTTCCACTCTCATAAGCTGTGAAACAGACAGCCTTTTCAACAACAAAGGAAAAAGGCGCGGTTAGTTTAGTGGTTAGAATCCTCGCTTCCCATCATATCTTGGTCTAGCGAGGGACCCGGGTTCGAATCCCGGATCGCGCAATTGCGCCTGTTCCTTCTCTTTTGCTCTACACAGCTTGTAGCTGTGATGTCATGCCTCTGTGGGTATCTTCTTTTTCTTTTGCCAGCTGAGTGGGATGGGGCGAAAGTTTTGCTAGAGAGTGGGCTTGGATGTACATGTTGGAGTTGTGATATTTTTGAGAGAAGGTCCGAAGGTTGGTAGTTGTGTTGTGTTCAGGGAGGGGTTTTGATGGTGGGGTAATCCGCCTCAACGTCACTCTCTCTGCTTTCAACAACACAACTGTAGCATTATGCCGCGAGACGCTGAAAGGACGGAAGCTGCTGGTGGTGGTTACACGAGGTTTACGAGGGTCAGACGGGCATCGTATTGCCGAGTTTTGTTGGTCGTGTCGACGTTATGTCTACTCGGTCCTTATTCACAGCTCCTTCGTGTAACGATCCCATTTTGCGAACAGCTTGGCGGCTTCATCAATCATCGCCATCGACCGCAACTCAGTCCCCTCCTGCCGCCGCTTCAGTTCAAAAAAGACGGCAGCTTCCAACTGAGCATCTTTTCAGATTTGCATTTTGGCGAGAGTAAGTCACCCCCTCAACTTAGCTCAGCTGCATCAACACTAGAATCACCCGCTCTGTGAGGTTACCTTGTACCAATCTAACAATGTAAATCGCTGAAAAGACGCCTGGGAACCCTGGGGTCCCAAACAAGACCTCGCCTCCCTCGGCGTGATAAACTCTGTTTTGGACAGAGAACCAGAGACGGATTTTGTGGTGCTGAATGGTGATATCATCACGGGGGAGAATGTTTATCTCGACAACGGCACCCAGTATATCGACAAAATCGCCGAGACTTTGGCAAGTAGAGATATTACGTGGGGGAGTACGTACGGGAATCACGACTCGGACTGCAGGCTGTCGCCCACGGCGTTGTTTGAGCGGGAGAAGAGGTACAAAGGTAGTAGAACGGCGAGGATGGTAAGGGGCAGAGAGGAGGGGGTGGGGGTGACGAATTATTATTTGGAGGTGCAAGGGCTGGATGCGAGGGTGGAGATGGTGTTGTGGTTTTTTGATAGCAGAGGTGGTTTTGTTTCCCAGGAGGAGGGAGGTGGGAATAGGAGTAAGGGGAGGGAAAATTGGGTTAGCAAGGAGGTGGTGAGGTGGTTTAGGGAGATGAGCGGGAGGCTGAAGAGAGAGAATGGGGGGAGGAGTTTGCCGGGGTTGGGGTTTGTGCATATCCCTACTGGGGCTTTTTGGGAGGCTCAGAAAAGGGGGATAAACGGGAAGAAGCAGCCTGGAATTAATGGGGATCAGCCGGTTAACCGACAAGGGGAGGGGTGGTGTGAAGATGGGATGGAGGGTTGCGAGTATGGGGGGCAGGATGGGGGGTTTATGGAGGCGGTGATGGAGGAGGGGTTGTTGGGGTTGTTTGTGGGGCACGATCATGGGGATACATGGTGTTCGGATTATGAAAAGGGGGGCAGGAGGGTTTATTTGTGTTTTGGGCAGCATACGGGTTATGGGGGGTATGGGAGTTGGATTAGGGGATCGAGGCAGGTGTGGGTTTCGATTGAGGGGTTGAGATTGCGGGAGATGGATACGTGGGTTAGGCTGGAGAGTGGGAAGGTGGTGGGGAGAGTGAGGTTGAATGAGACTTTTGGGAGGGATGAGTATGAGGTGGTGGAGGATGAGAGGACACATTTGCCGGTTGATGAGGAGAATTAAGAATGATCGTTTGGAGTAGGCGTGAGCTAACTATGCTATTAATGTGTCCAGCGAGTGACTGAGGTAAGTACATTCCCATCCTCCCAATCCCGTCTGACCACACAGACGTCGAGTTGGATATCCATACGTCAAAAGCAGGAAACAGCAAGACATCAGCATTGTCAGGAAGACCTGTCGTGCGTCCTCTCTTCGAAGCGATTGGAGGTGACCGTCAGGTCGGGGTTGATGGGCGGTCGTTTTGTTACAATAGGGACCGACAGACCATCTCACCTGGCACCTGTGCCACAGTCAGATGACACGATGTCCAAGACTGGTGGTGTTCAGAAGCTCCCGTTGTGGAAGTTTACGTAAAATGTTCGACCGGCTCTTCCCGAGACAACGACTCTTGCGCAGCTTCTACAAACGTTCCGGGCTGTAGCTTCGGCCCGGTGTATGGCAAACGGAAACGATGAATGGTCGATGATCTGAGACCGGGATGCATCTACAGTTCCGCGAGGGTAAAGCGTCAGAGCGCTTGCGGGAGGGATGTGGTGATACATTGTCTGACACCAGCCATCACAAAATGCCGCGCTGGAATGATGTGCGAGCAACGACATCATGGTTCTAGCAACAGATCCAAGTATATGGAGCGGTGCTTCTTTGAGCAGAAAGTCCACACTCTAAGGGCGGGGCGGTTGAGTTGATCTCTGTTTACATTCAGTTAGGGCTGTCTTCAGGGGTTGTCTGTTGTGGAGTGCTCCAGAACCCCGCCATCGCTCGTTCATGGTGAAGGGAGCTCTCCGAAGTGAGAAGGCGACGGAACAAGTGGGCTGTGACAAAGGCATTGTCTTTGTTCATGAGATTTGCATATTTCATGGTTCGAGTCGACAACAACCGACCAAAGTTGGAATAATTGCTTTAAATCAGTCTTCAGTAAGATGATTCATAACACAGAGATATACTACGCTGCACAATTCATTTATCCCACGAAGACTGTAGCCTAAATTAGGTCTATTTAACAGCGACAACATGCTTCGAAAATCAAACCCAGCTTCTCCTCTCTCATCTCTCATCCCTTATTACTGATCACTCATTACATACACATCAAATCAACACCCCAAAAGAAGTTAAGTACTATCCCTAGGAAATACCCCCATCCAAAACTAACCCAAAAAGCCAGTCAAGATGTGCACCTACACCATCATCAACTTCTACTGCCGCTGCCCCCTTCGGGACGGAGCCATTTGCTCGCATAGCAACTACATCCGCTCTACAACCTCCCGGCCTACCCTCCCTACCTCCCCGGAGCCGACTGGCTTCTACCTCCGCCGGATCGGCGACGTTCAACGCTGCAATCGGTGGGAGCCTATCAGACAATTCTGGGAGCATTGCCCCACTTTCACTGGCGATGACAACATCACTGATCCCCCGCAATGTCCAGGGACGTTCGCTGCTGGCGCTTCTTACATGAGAATATCCCAGCAGAGGGCTCTCTGCAACCAATGTGCCACCCATGGGCACCCTCGGAACTTGAGAAGGAATGCGATTACTTCCCAAACTCCTCTTCTTCCAACTGCTAATACTGCTGGTCAGGAGAGAGAGAATCAGGTGGAGATTAAACCTTCCAAGGCTTCAGACCCCTCGGGCTTTCTTTCTGATCTTTGGGATGATTTGCTGGGCGAGGAAAACTGAGCTTGCCTGTCGCACATAGGTAAGTACAATTGTTGTAGATCGTGGGGTTGTGTTTTCACTGAAGCAAAAATATCAAAAAATATGGATCGGTGAGTCAATCATTTTTTTTCTTTTGTCAAATTATACTAATACTACTATTACTAACATTATATTGTTCTTCTATTTTGATTACTTGTGACTTCTTGTATCTTGTCCCGAAAACCAGTTGATTGTCAAAGTGTAGGTAACCCTCTACACAAAGCAGGATTATGGATCCCTAAATTTCTTGCGCACGCAAGTTCCATACCTACTTACAAAACCAACGAGGTCCGGTATCCTTAGACAAACTGGCTATGCCATTTATCTCAACTATTGTCCATAGAACAAACCCCCTTCAAGATGGTCCACTGATAGTGGACCTGCACCTCCCGCAGATTGAAAGTACAAGAGAATGGTCCAGCATGCTTAAAAGTGAGCATAACTGACGGGGCTCTCGTGGTTTGATCTTGGCCCGGGCTGCAGATGGACATCGGCAACCTGGAATCTGTCAAAATTGGAGAGATGGCACTTAGATTGATACCGAATCTGCGAGAGAAATCCATGATGATGCGTCGAAGGACTTGCTCCATAATATGCAAAACAGTGAAAAAGACACAAGATATATACCAAACTAATTTCCCTTTTCTTTGGTAAAGACAGGGCTTTGGAACGCTTAAAAATTGCCCTGCTCAAGGGAGGCAGGATATCTCTGTCTAATAACAATATCGTTAAAGTAAGTATCCATCGCCGGGGTAGTAGGGATTTTATCTACATAGGAGGTCACGGCGGCAGGGACCGATATTTTCTTTCATTAGGGTTATACTAGGGATAATATCTGGCTTGTCTGTATCGTATCTAAGCCATAATCTCTCAATCATTCGTGCGGCCAGCCAGAACTAAAGCGCAGCACCAATAATTGGTCCTAAATCCGGGTTAGCTGTAGGTATTGACATCGTGAATAAATCGCCTTGCGCTTTGGGTCTTACCTTAGTGGCAACAAAGCAGGTATCGTCCTAACCATAATATAACTCTTCCGATATGTCACAACGGCTCTTCTCCTTTCGGCAGGACTCACAAGTACCAATCTGCCGGGCCATAGTCATGCGCTTCTTGGATTGCTCGTTGTACTTTTACCTCTGGTTGCCGGAAACTCGGAATACTGTTTGACCCGGTCCGCGGGCCAATCGCTCCACATTGGAAGATGACGCCGCTGCTTGCCTGTGCTGCCGGCGGCGTGCCTGGACAACTTGGACTTGAAGATCGACTGGCACATTATGTTTGCCTTTCAGTGATGTCGGGGTGGGTGACAATGTGGTGGACTGCTGAGCTTTTGGTATCTAGAGTCTTAGCTTTTGCTGTCTATTGTCCGAGCATTTCTTCTAACATGGGACTGTGAGTTCTCGATAGTTTCATCTGTCAAACAAAACCTATCTTCTCGGGGCCCTATTGGGTGAAAGGCGGCTGATACGATGTGGCGGTTCTGGTGTATTTTATAAGATGAGCGGTGAGCTATATTGTGATGATCTTAAGATAAATCGAGGCCATGGGCCGGTGAGATCTATGGAGATGCGATTACACGACTGACTGAGAAGCAGTTTTATAGACACTCGCCCTTGTTGGATTCCCACTGATAAGCGGCCAGTTGGCGCAATGGTAGCGTGTGGCTCTCCTACTAAGGGATTGCAAAGCCGAGGTTGTGGGTTCGAGTCCCATGCTGGTCGAATATTTTTTAGCACCTTCCCCCTTGCGACAAATTTGGAATCCACAAATCTCCTTTCTACCGGAGTTTACAGAAGTCCAGCAAAACAATCCCCCTGTCCTCCGAACACATCACATTAGGTAACTTAAAATGGTTCTTCTCGGCTGCCATCCACCCAACCCTCAATTTCTGCAGCTACCACTGTCATACCCCTCGCGCTTATCATCGTCATATTGGAGACGTGTGTTTCAAGATTGGGTTGCTCATTCATCAAGGCTGGGTTGGATGTTGCCAAAGTGTGGAGAAAGCAATAGCCCCTTTTGTGGATCCCACACCTGTGTTGCCATGGAGACACATTGCATTGCACCAAAGTTCCACAGCCCTTTAGGTGACAAGATAGTTCCTGAAGTATCAAAGAGGTTTTACATGTCAGACTTATTTCCAATTTACGCTATGAACAAGAAATGAAAGTAAGATATATGTCATCGTATCCACCACCACCACCACTTTTTCTCACTTATCCATCATCCATCGCAAACTCTTGATCTCTGCTCAGTCCTTCTTCTTCTCTGGCTTCTGGGCGTACACAATCCTGATCGGAAACAAGGGATGGCAGTTCTTGTTTCTCATCTGCTTACGGAAGTGAGCCAGGAAAGCGTGGATCTCCACCACGGACCAGCCCATGACTTCTCCAAAAATGTAGAGCACCATGCCTGTTATCTTGTTAGTTTCTGGTTTTCGTTTCATCAGGCATGGTGGGTAGCAAACGAACCTTCCAAGTCCTGCTCAATAGCCAAATGACTATACTGCCCAATCTCCTTCAGCTTCGGGTCCTTCGGGAATCCCGTCATCGGCACCTGTTGCCATCAAGGTCAGCCTACATCCGCCGTACACCTCCTAAACAGAACTCACCTTGATATCCTTCACAGTTATGTTAACAAACCCAGCCTTCTCAATGCCTCTCCTCTGCACGTCCTCCTCAATAGGGAAAAACGTCCTCCCAAACTTCTTCTTGGCCTCCTTGAAAACTTTGGTCCACGTCCCCATCGGCGAGTCCTCCGTCACCGTCCCATCTTCCGAGTACAGATTTGCATCCGCCTCAAAACTCTCAATCCACCCCCCCGGCTTCGTCGCCGCATAAGCCTGCTCAAAAATCGCATCCCAGTCCGGAATCGAGCCGAACAAATACCTCATGTGCACAAAGTCAAAGGAATTTTCCCTGAACGTCCACGGCAGCGTCGCGTCCTCGATCTCGAATCTCACATTGGGGGGCACCCACGAGGGTTGCACAGGGGAGATGTCCGTCCCCGTCACCTCCAGGTTGGGGTGCAGGTCCGCAAAGTCACTGCCATCATCAGCACCGGAGAAAGAAAAAGGGGGAAGAGAAAAACAAACATGGCCCACAAGCCCCCTCCAGTGCCCACGTCCAAAACCTTGCTAATCTTCCCCGCGTCAATCGGCGCCAGATACAACCTCCCCTCCAGCACAAGCGTCAGGCAGTGGTGAATGATATCCTGGCTCTGCAGCTGCTTGTCATCGTTCGGGCCCCAGTACTCGGCGTTGGTCTTGTCGCTGTGGAACGTCCGGCCGTTGATGTTGCGGTATTCAAATATACTCGAGGACAGGCTCGCGGTGGAACTCAGAATGCTGTCAAGGACCGAGTCGCTGTCGTCTTCAACGGGCTATTCCTCCCCCCCCCAAAAACCTCATTAGTCCCGCGCGCTTTGAAACAAGTAGGGTGTTTATAAGGGGGAAAGATACGTGCTGAGTCCAGTGCTCCCCATTCAGCGGATCAAGCGCATCATCCAAATTCCTCGGCGAACCCGCCCCAGATTTGGGTGAGCTCTTCCCCGACAATTTCCCCTCCGGCGCCGGGGATGGGGAAGCAGCTGGTGGTGATGGCGCCGATTTTGCGGTGGTGGTGACAGGTGGAGCGTCGTCGGTGGAGGCCATCGTGGAAAATCGGTCGCGGGAGCCAAAATGGTTTCTGTCGATCAATCAATCCCCCACTTTCACTCAGCTCAAAAGCAAAAAGTCCGTGACAAGTGAAGCCGTTTGTCTTGGCCCTGTGGTCTAGACGTTGAGACACAAAGAACACGCGGGCGCGCAATGTGGAGCACCCAACAAGTGTGCTGTTCGTGGGAGAAGTTGGGGCGAAAAGGAATTGGGACAAAAGTCAAGAACGCGGGGGGGACGGGGAACAAGAAGTACCACAGCTGGGGAAAATTGGCCCGGGAGGGTTCCGTCCGTCGTGGGTTTTCTTGGACGGTTGAACCAACAGCACCACACCGCCCACCCGGTGTCCAGGGTTTGACAGCAAACTATTTCATTGCTGTCCTGCAGAGAGAGAGAGGAAAAAGACGCATGGGCGAGGGCAGGTTCTGGAAGGGGGTTAGCGCGGCCCAAGCTGCTGGGAATGGAAAGGGTGTTGTGTCGTGCCGTGCTACCCCATGATCTTCTTTGTTCGTTCCCGGCTGACGATCCATTCAATTGGGAATGCTTATGAATCGCGAATCTTCAATGAGAAAAACGAGAGAGGAAAACATCAATGGCTTGACAATCGTTACTCGTCTTCTATCCACGCAGCTCAGCTAGCCCAGTCCCCGCCAAACCCCGAAATCCTTTACACCCGGCGAGCTGCGGATTTCTTTCTCTGGTGGTGCACTGACAAACCGCTGAAGAAGTCACAGTCGCATCCCTCTGCAGCATCCCCCAGGGCTCCGAACCCGATTGGTGGCCCCCGGAGAACTATCTGCAGTAGGAATGGCGCCACTATGCAGCGACAGCAAGGTAAGGTAAGGTAAACCACCACGTTGCGTTCATCCACCGATTTCCACTTCGAACCGAAATCCTTCATGTAAAAGAGAAAAGTTTTACCCACACATTCTCCCGAACCCGAACTCGAGTTCCTCCTCCAGGAAAACCTGTCTTTCATAATTGAAGTGCATATCCGATACTAATTAGCTGACTCCGACCAGCCCCCAAAGCAGAAAGCGCCACCCCCTCTTCTCTCCTAAAAGAACACACCAACACCAAGGAGAGAGCAAGAATCCGGACAGTTGGCTGCATCACCCCCACACCGACAGACCGCACCGAATCGCTCCGTCCATCCCCCCCGTCTGCCTTCCTCTTTGAACCCTATTGCGGAAGGTCATGCAGTGCTACATAAGACCTTGCTAGAGCCCCCCAGAAAACACCGAGAGCAACAAATATCACATCACCGGCCTGGAAAACATTGCCATGATGTGTCCCTCGGTCGTAACCGGGGTTCCATACACGGCGGCTTTGTCCAAATGCTCGAAATATCAAAACATTGTCCAGTTCGCTGAGGACTAGGACTATGATAATAAAAATATTAAACAGACAAAATCGGTGTAAGATATGCAATGTATAAACCAACACAAACATTGACAATAGAGGCAGTGACTCAAACAACAACAACAACACATAGAAGAACAGTCCATGATCAAGGCACCCAGGGTATCCCAATTCCATCCAATGCACCGGCCATCCCAAATCCCTTTCACCCGCACCAACAAAAGAAACACGGCATGACTTTTCTCTACCCAACAACAGGTGACATCCCCGTCTTCCCCCACAATTTACTCCTTTCTTTTGCTTCCCTCACGCCCGCTGTTGATTCAGCCTGCCCACTTGATGTCGTAGAAAAATACCTGGTGCTCCCCGTCTTGGGCGTCGTAGTAGGCGGCGCTGCAAGCGGGCTGGCCACATCCTCGGCTTCACCAGCAATAATCTCCTCTGTGATCATAGGTGTATTGGCTCCAGTGCGGATTTGGTTATTTGTGGCAACAATGGTGTCCTCCTCCGTGTCGTGCTCGTCAATCCTAGCCATCAGCCCCAGCCCTTCACCGCTGTGGTGGCTGCTGGCTGAACTCCCCGTCGTCATGCTGTCGGCTGAACTGCCTGGGAGCAGTGGACTCGCTTTCCTCCATGCGGCTGGCTTGAGCGTGTTGTCGCTGGCAGCTTCTGATTCTTCGGCGATGGATTCAAATAGCGGCAGGCTTGGCAGCTGGGGCGCAGAATTTGGTACACCAGCCGCGCTGCTGGCGCCATTGCGCATGGTAGGTGTGCTTGCCATGCTTGGAGACAGACTCCCGACGAGCTTGGGCGCAAGCGGTGACATGTCCGCCACCATGGCAGATGCCAATCCGATGGCAACTGGGGTTGTTGGCGTAACCGGTGGGGGAGAGGTTGCCGTCTGTGGTCTGGCAATGGGCGGCGAGTTAGTACGGCCCACGGTGCTCGCCAGACGGCGGATGCGTGATCCAAGGGAGCTCGAGCTCGCTGGGGCGGCCAAGTTGTTCATGCTTGGCTTTCGCTTCTGTTGCAAACCCGAGAGTTTGGGGGTATCGGTGCCCACCCGGGTGGTCTCCCTTGACTTCTCCTTCCTTGCTGCATCTTTATTTCCTAGCGGCTTCACCTTGGACGCGATGACTTCAAACTGCTTGAGCATGGTGGCGTTCTCAATAATCTCTTCCATCGTGACCTTGAGATTGGCATCGGCGCCTGGGATGTTGGCTTTGGGAAGCTCCCGGTTCAACTGCTGCATCATTTGCGACGCCGGGATCAGACTGCCCCAGAGATCGTAAAATGAGGCATTGTGTACCTGATCCTCCGGCACTCCGAGCGCAAGAGGATTCAAAATCGTCGACCATGTATTGGAAACCGCCGTCCTAATGAGCGTGATCTGTTCTTGGCTGAGGGAGTTGATCAGATTCAAGCTGTCGGCTTCCGAGCTCTGGCTAGAAGCTGACTCGCTCGGTGTCAGGGGAATTCGCCTCATCATATTGCGGTACTGATACCCCTGTGGTATCAGCTCTTGCGTGAGGTTGGCATTGGTGAGCATGGTGATGTTGGTTGCCAGCATGCGGAGAGCGTGGTCGGCAAACGCTTCCGGGATCCGCTCAGAGCAGTACGAAATGGATATTTCAACTCGGCCAGGGGGTCGAACCACGGATCTCACAAAGAGATCTGGAATGTCCTGGGCTCTGGACTCGTTGATGGTGAATTTGCATGACGCTGCACCAAGATGAAATGACTTGGGCTCATTGGGCAGGATGGCGGTATCCTCATACTGATGTCGAACAACCGTGCTGAAACGTGTCCAGTATGGCCATGGTGTGCACTTTTCGATCAGAAAAAGAGTCCCGAGGTTCTCAAATGGCACGCCGGCACCGTGCTGGGCTTGGACGTATTGAAGCAAACTCATGGGCGTCAATGAGGCGTCGGGAAACTGAATACGAATGGGGATCGTATTGACGGTGGGGCCCATCACACCAGCAACAGATACATTCCCAGGTAGCCGCACATGTCGCCCATCGATCAGTTCTCCAAAAACGACATCGGACGTTGCCGAGAGCTTGGCAAGCGTCATACCCCAAGCTGCCTTGAGGACTGTCTCGAATGAGATACCGAGACTTGAAAGGGGTCCCAGAGACAGCATGGGGTTTCGAATTGTCTTGACGTGGGTAGACATCTGGTAGGGCTGAGAATGGGCAACAACCTGTGTCATCACAGCGCCCTCTAGTAACGCTCGCCAGTACTCCTCCGCACCCGGGCCTTGGGCCATGGAGAGCTGGGCAGTCCGCAGGAAATCGCAATAACTTGGCCTTTTGGGTGCCGGTTGAGATCCATCGTAAAGTCGCTTGAGGTCCTTGACCAACAAGGCCACGGACAAGTCATCATATTGAGCCTTGGTGAGCCTCAGAATTAGAACCGACTGCTTGCTCCCGTCCAAAAACATGAATTTTGTCATTGGTGTTTCAAACTTGGTGCCAGAGGACTGGTCCTTTTTGACAATCTTCTCCAACATGGTGGCAAGCCTCCAGGTCGGGCAGTAATGACGACGGAACTCGATGTCGGGATTCTTGAGAACAGCCTGGTACACTCGACGATTATATGGGACAAATACAGTGCGTAGAATTGGATGAATGCTGATCAAGGTTTTGCAGGCTGTTTCCAACTTCTTGGAGTCCACCGCGCCGATGAAGTTGAACGTCAAGTAATTGATGTTGGATCGTCCACGCAGCATACCCGTCTCAATGTACCTGATCTGAACAGACGAGGCTTCGGCTGCATCGGCAATCGAGCTTGGGTCCACTCCAATCTTGGGCGCAATAACCTTCTCAATGAAGACTTCCTTGATAGCGTTCGATGATTGGGCAGTTGGTGAAGGGTTGGGAACCGGGGTTTGGCTGGGGGTTGGTGGTGGCGCAGGCGAATTTGATGCTGTGGGAACCGGTGGTGGCGGAGAGGTGGGTGCTTGCGGAACGGGTAGGCTCTGAGGACTTGCAGTCTCCGCAACGGTCTTGCTGAGTTCAGCCAAGGTGGCATTTTGAAGTACTTTGGCGATCGAAAGTGAAATGCCCTCGCGGCGGCAAGCGGCTACTAGTTGCCCAGCCATGATCACATCGCCTCCAAGTCCAAAGAAGGTATCCAAAGCCGTGATCTTGGAATCTTCCATGCCCAAAACCCTTGCCCACAACAATCTCATTTTCTCCTCACTTTCTGTCGGTGGCAGTGGCTTCAGCATGGCCAGTCTCGCTTCGGTAGAGAAGGCGCAAATGCTGAACAGTTCCTCTTTGGTCATCCCAGTGATCATTTTCTGTAGACGTCGTCGGTTGACCTTGAGAGACGGCGTGACCGGGAGATGCTTGACGGGTATGAAGACCGAGGGCAGCATGCATGGGGGCGGTCGGTTCTCCAGTCCAGCCTGAACCAGCTGCTTCACCGTAGTCAACTGCTCCTGGGTGGCAGGGCTCAGCGAGCTAAGGCTTTCATCCACCTCAATGCGATCACCAAACTCCACAAATGCAGCTAAAATGGTGTCGGATTTCGGTCCTCGGAATGCCACAATATCCACGATAACGTCCATGCCGCGACCCAGGCAACGTCGAAGATACTGCTCGATCTCTGTAACGTTGATCGTTTTGCCGTCAAGGTCAATATCCTCCCTCTGACTAGAGATAAACTCCATAAGACCACCCTCGGTGTATCTGGCGCGGTGACCAGTCTTGAAGTAGCGGGCCTTGCCTCCGGTAGTTCCGAGGGGCGACATCGGGCTCACAGTGGATTCCCTGTTTGGGTAGGAGAAGCCCAGCGTTGGTCCCTCCACAACAAGCTCTCCAACAGCACCAACCGGAACACGCTTCTTGTGGTCTTCTGGGTTAACAATGAGGAGGTTTCCGCTGAAAGGTCGCCCGATGCTGCGTAGATGATGTGTTCCCATGGCTTCGAGGAAGGCAATCCCGAGAGGACAACAGTCCTGTGGCCCATAGGCCAGCACGACGTTGACCTTCCCATGCCAAATGTTGTACGTGTCATCGTCGAGGCTTCGTGTCCGGAAACAAACAACTTTGAGAGAAGGCAGAAGGGTCGGATCCAGTTTCCTCGACAGCAGAGGCGTCATGTAACTCCAGTTGACCTGCATGCGGTTGACGGCCGCACCAAAATCCTGTAGCTTCTCAGCAGCCGATGGTATGCAAACACAAGCGCCATAGACCAGCGTTGTGAAAATCTCGGTAATACAAATGTCGACATTGAAGGACGATAGCTGCATGACGCGACTGAGTGGTGTGATTCGAGCAGCAGGGCCTTGGCCAACCAAAGCGGTAGCCAGGGCAGAGTGGCTGAAGGTGACCCCCCGGGCCTCGCTGGTTGATGTAGGAACGAAAAGGACACAGGCAGCGTCTGTCGGGGCGGCCATCGAGGTCAGCGATCCTAGGTTATCTGGAATTGCCCCCATGAGCTCAGAGGTAACGACAACTACTTGATCAAAAAGGTTGCTGAGAACAGGGGCCGCAAGTTCAGACGAAACAGCAACCCTCGAGTTGGTGAGCCGTTCAAAAATCGGCTGGATGATACCAAGCTCGAGCGAATCCACGGGAACGAATGCAGCACCGGCCCTAAGAGCGTTAGCAAGATGAAAGTCAGTGGATCAGGATGCAAGAAACTCACTTGAGGACGGCCAGCATAGCGACAGGAGCAAGCTTGCATTTGTCCATCACCACAGGAACCACGGAATGAGGCCCAACCCCTGCATCCACCAAGTGATGAGCGAGCTTGGTCGCCTCTTCCTCCAGTTGCAGATATGTGTATGAGCCATCCCAGGAACATATGGCCTGCGATGAGGGCTGCATCTCCGCCTGCCTCGAGATCAACTCATGCACAACCGTGTCAGTGAGTGTCTCGGTTAACTGGGGAGATTCGGCATCCCAAGCCAGGATTTGGGCGAGGTCTCTGTCGGTGAAGAGGTCAACGAGGCCGATTGAGCTGTTGGGTGTTGCCAAAATAGCCCGGATGGCCTTGCCAAAGGTGCTGGCAACGTTGATCGACTGCTCTGGTGACATGATTCGTTGACCAATATCGACAAACAGCTTTCCGCCAGTGAATCGTGTATTTACGACGACATCTGTGTCGAATGTCTGCTGCAGTGTTATCGGTTTCAACTCGAAGCTCGTTCTTGTCGTAAACTTGCTGTTCAACCCAGCCGGTTCTTCTGTGAAAGTTAAACAAGAGTTATATAAACGCTCACCACCCTTGGCGCCCATGGCATGTTGCAACTCAGCCATGGTGAAATTCTGATGAAGCAGGGTCGCCTGGAGCTCCTCCTCAACCTTTTGAAGGGCGTGAATCACCGGGCCATATGTTAAAAGTTCGAAGGTGCAGGCAACTGTGTTCGCGAAGGACCCCACTGCGTGTCTCATTCCAACATTTGCCTCGTCACGCCCAGCTGTTTGGAAGCCAAAGCAAACTTGATTGGAGCCTGTAAAGCACCGTAGGAGCAGTCCCCAAGCGAGACGAAGTACTGCAGCGGCAGAAATCTTGTGAGTCCGAGTGAAGTTGGCCAACTCGTACGAAGTGATGTCAAGCTCCAGACCAGCGTTAACAAACTTCTGCTCTTCAGGAAGAACAGTGAGCCGCGGAAACATGCAGGGGGTGACCCCAGTCAGTTTCTCACGCCAGTATTTGAGACTGCTTTCTTGCCGGACATTTTTGAGGAAAAAAAGGTAATCGGGATATTGAAACTGCTCTGGTTCCATGATGGCCCTCTCGGTGGCGTACACTCGTCGCAAGTCATGAAGCAGAAGGTGAATGCTGATGGACTGTTGACCGGGTCAGTATCAGGCCATGGCCGGCACTTGAATGGGTGCCCAAACTCACATCACAAAGAGCAGTGCTGATATCCAGCTTCACCAAAGTCCTTGTGGGCGCCTTGCAGACTGTCAGCCTGTGGAGAGGTTTGCTATCTGAAGGTCGGAGGTTAGGGAGGTTGCTGAGCTCGTACACTGGATCTTCAGCGGGCGCTGTGTCGATGAATAACATTTCAGGAGACGCTCGGCGCAGTATCACCTTGTCCCAGAGGCCTGTTTCGCTGACGCTCTCGGTAAACACGGTCCTCAGTGCCGCATGTCTCATGGTGACTTGTTGCCAGGCTGTGCATATCCTCGAAATATCGATGGGGTCACCATTAGGGGACGCAAACTCGTAAATTGCATGAACATAGCACGTATCGGGTCTCAAGGCCTGGCTGATCAGGATGCTCTGCTGGACAGCGGTGACTGGGTAAATGGTCTCGACATCGCGGACGCTGGGAAGGTTGAGTGTCAAGAGCCGTTCCTTGTTAAACGTTTGCAAGCCCTCATATGTAACATCTAGATGCGGCACGTCGGTCAAGGTCAGTTCCTGCGGGTGGTACCTGAGTCGTCCAATAGCCTCCAGCAACAGATGCTCGTAGTTGTGTATCCACTGTGATATCCGAGTCTGGTCTGTGGAATGTTTGCTGTAGAGAAATTTCACCCTCGCCATCCCTTGATCGACCACAGCGTCAACCTCAAAAATTGCAATGCGGCCCACGTCGGCTCCAATATCGGAGGTTCTTGAGCCCAGTGACCGGCCGGGAATCGGAAGTTGCTCTAGGACGCCATCATCCCTTTCCAGATGCTGCATAGAACCGGCGTAACGAAATATGATCTCAAATGGCCAGTCGTTAGCGACGATATCGGCCTTGTTGTAGTGGTAGAAGCGCGACCCAAAGTACTGTACCCCTCGTCCTGGAATATTTCTTCTTGTATCTTTCAGGTGGCGAAGAACCGTGATGAAGTCGTCCCCGCTCTCGACCTTTTGGCCAATGGGGCAAAGGGAACTGACCCACCCCACTGTCTCGGAGATATCGACATCAGGGTTTAGGGGGTCTCTCCCGTGCTCTTGGTTCCAAATGGCTGGCACAGATCGGTCGTGGAAGGTCTGGGCGAAAGACAGCATGAGGGCGGCAAGGTAAATGTCAACGGAATCTGTCTGGAATACTTGGTTGCATGACGTTTGGAGTATCGAGGTAAGTTCGTGGCTAAGCGAGAAGCCGACCTCGACAGCATCGCCATATGTGTTGGCGGCATCTTGGAGGCCCCAATAGGCATAATCGCCGGGTTGGACTGGGAAGGGGAGCAGCTCCCTTGGGTCCGGGCCACTGGCGTCAGCTTTCTGCATGTCAACCCACTTGTGGAATGGCATTGACCTTTGTGACAGCAGACTACCGTTCACGAGGAGCTCGTCCAAATCATGGATAATGGTGCGCCAGGATGGAACATCGACCGCAAGGTGGTGGGCGGCCAAGTAAATCCACTGCTGCTCATCCTGGGTTGTGAAGCAGTCAACTGCAAACACCGGTCCTGTCTCGACGTTGATGGATATTTGCGTCTTGGCGATAATTTCCTCGGCTTCCTTCTCGGATCGGATGGTGTTTTGAGATATCGTGTATGAGCCCGGCACCTCGGGCAGCGCCCTTTGCACCCACCCATGCAATCCCCGGCCGAAGCGCGCGCGGAGCATGGGGTGGTGCCCAACGATTGCCTCGACCGCGGCGGAGATATCGACAAAGTTGAAGTGTTTCTTGAACCGCAAGAGGAAGCTCTGGTTGTAGCGGTAGCTCCCTTCAATGCCAACTCTCCGCTTGAGATCACCGCCCATCGAGGTCTGGAAGTACAAGTGCTGCATTGGTGATAGATCAAAAACGTCCGATGTCTCCTCATCCCATTTGTGAGCCAGCCCGCCCCGGGTTGCTGCAATGGCTGCCAACTCGGACAGTGTTGTTGATCCGAGGGCTTCGGAAGCGTGGATATATATGGACTCATGTTTGCATCGAGCAGCGAGTTCCATAGCTGTCATCTCATCCCCGCCCAATTGCGAGAAGGAGAAATTGACGCCAATCTGACTCTGTGGGACATCCAGTATTTTGCTGACCAGCCTCTGCAGTGTCTTTTCCATGCCCGATTCTGGGGCTTGCAATGTTTCTTGAAGCTCCAAGCTGAGAGCCTGGTGGTGGACATCCTCATTGATGTTCTGGGCCCATGTTCGCAACCGTCTCTCGTCCACGTCGCCAGAGTCTGTCATGGGCATTCCGTCCAACACAATCCACAAGTCTGGCACGGCGTCGGGCTCCAGAGTCGACTCGGCTGCTTGCCGTAAGTTGGCAACCTGGGTACCGGCAAAGAGGGCGTGTGACTGTGGAATGAGGTCGATCGGCGAGGAATCTGTCTTCTCTTTCTGCATGGAAGCGAGGGTGAGAAGAGCCACCAGCTTGCCCTCCAACAACCCAGCTTTTGGCCTTACCGTGGCCATCCTCCCAATCTCTGGTTGTATCCCAAGCGCTTGTTCGAGTTCCGTTCTCTGCTTCCCCACTGTCACCGAACTGGCCTGGCTCGCCTGGCTTGGCTTGCGCGAATGAGCCCCGCCATCATCTTGCGCCATAATATTGTTGTGGCTGTCGACGTCAGGAAGGGCAAAAAATGGGGCATCGTCGAGTTCATTGTCGATGTTTCGCGCTGGCGTGGTGCATGGCGTTATGCATGTCTGTAACTCGGCGAGGGTCGAACATCGAAGAATGTCGTCCACAGCAATATCCATCCCAGCATCCAGGCAAGCCTGTCTTAGCGCAGAGGCGCTCTGTTCGTCACCTCCCAACTCTCTGAAGGAGGCCTGTATCCGCAGTGTTGCCGTGTCGATTCCCAAGACCTGAGCAACCACGCTGAGCAAACGCGCTTCGAGGGGTTCGTCTTCGAGCATTAACCAGGAAGTCGAGGCATCGATGCGCGGAGGGGCAAACCTCTGGGGGGAGGCCATGCTGACAAGCAGCGCCTGGGACGGTATAAACACGGACAGAGAAAGCGGCAAATGGGTATCTCAAACAAAGGAGAAGAGTTGGAGGGTCGTCAGGCGCTGGGCCGCATGGGGCACAGCAGGAGGTTGGCTTGACGCTCTCGAAGTGGTTTGGTTGCACATCAGCAACACCTCTTTCGGGTATCGGGATGGCAGCCTGGGGTCGGAGAGAGCTGCGGGAAGGCGGGGGAGGAGCGAAAAGACCAGCAAGCAACAAGCAAGCAAGCAAGCAAGCAGGCAGGCAAGCACAAGGCGAGAGAGGGAGACGTGAGTGTGGTCGAGATGTATCGGCGACGTTGGCCGCAGAGTCGCATGTGTGAAATGATTTTTGCTGCTGAAAGCTTGCGTACGTGTGGGCTGTGGTCTGGAGAGCACCACACAACCGCGCCGCTTGTTGCAACCTTGGCACAGCGACGATGGATGCCGCAGGGGACGAAACTGAGCACCACGGTGGGCGTGCCAGGGAGCCTTGCGACCTTCCCCGTCATCAGGACAAGCAGCCCAATCACGACGGGGGCATGCTGAGCTCAGCCTCTGGGCTACATGACCCCCTTTGGGCGATCGCCAGATCCGGGCTGGAAGCCGGCACACCAAGAGAGTGCATGCACGGAGCTAGATGGGTGCATTGCCATTGAGATAACGGGGGGCGGTGATGTTGAAGGTGTCTGAAGAGAATCATAGGACCACTGTCTCGCGGCCGGGGCCGGAGAGGACCGACACACAAGAGATAGGTATCACGACGGCCTTGGTGCTCAATTTTGCTGGGCCGCCCCCGGAGCGCCCCCAAACAGCAACATCCTGCGACGGACCTTCGCAAGCCGGTTCGAATAAAACACCGGAATCGCCTGCTGAGAGTGCTGAAGGGGTGCATTATGTGTAAGCCGATCTGGCTTGTGTAGGACCTCAGCGATTTTGGCAATCAGTTGCATCGCGGGGAAGATTGACGCATCTCAATCGTGGTGGTCTTCATGTCTCGAGTGTTGGCGCAACGGCAAAATCCAACGCCCTAGAGAGGTTAGTCAATTAGCGCACGCTGACCTGCCAAGAAGGGGTGCATTTAGCGCCCGCGGCTGGCGGCAGTTCGGAGCCTCGAGATGGTGTTTCCATGGTGGTGGTGCCATCCCAACACCCATTGCCATCAAATCTTGGTTTTATGTATGCGGTAAGCTTCCCGTGCCAGTGTACGAGCCCAGCCAGTTGTCCTTGGTGGGAAGGGTTTATCGAACCAGCTCTTTATCGGATGGCATCTGGCCACCCAGAGCATCGTTTAGGGCTGAAGCATAGGGACGCGGACCGACTCGTGATGCAGGCTGACGGTGGTACAAATAGCATTTCTCGTTGATGTTTCTCTGTCGTTCGTATCTTTGTGGGCAAAATGTCGGCACCAGGTTGAAAGAGGAAGCTGGCAATGGATTTCTTGTGACATGGTGTAGGCAGCAAAGAATCGAGGAAAACAGAGGGGTTCTGCGGCACGCAAGATCAAACCCCACCAAGCCTGAATTGGCTTACTCCACATATTCCAACCACACAGCACGGACCAGTTTTTTTTGGAGAAGTTCTTAAATCTCCTCATCACAAGAATATTTCCGGTGTTCATCATGTTGGTTCTTCTCATGGACTGTAGGCTCCTGGCGAGACCCAACCAACACCAACACCAAATTAGATTCCACACTAGCACAATGCTTTTCAGCGTCAGTCTTGCATTTTGCAAAGCATCCCTCCCTGTCTTCTGCAACCGCAGCCTCAGGTGAGATCCTGGATTGCCAATTGAAGCTTTCCATTGTCTGCATCAGCAAGCTCAACAGCTCAAGCTTATCGCTCAAGATTTCTACTTACTTAACCCGTTACTACCTCTCATCCTCGGCTCCATCCTTGTTTGTAAACTGGAATGCACATCTGTGGTGGTAATGTTACACCCTCGCATAACTGAGGCGCGCGAGGGAGCGTCTGCGCCGTGAACTGACATTGCTCCCCGGTCAAACAACACCAAACAAGCGCGGTATTTCGATAAGGGGTGATTCCTCCCTGGACCCTTCCAGATGAATGTAAACAGCGAGGGCAGAAATCAAGGCCTTGTCGCAAGCTTATTGGATTTAATGGTCTTAGCAGTTGTCTGCAACAACTTCACCGTACTTACTGATAACTAACATATTTTAAACCGGAGCAACGAACAGCCTGAGAAATACAGTTTAAATAAGCCTGATATCGAAAACGGACTTCTCAGCCTGTAGTCCCTGAGCCGCCGTAGTCTGCGCCTGAAAAACGCCAACTCGTCTGTATGTGGGCATATCCATCAGACTGCTGTTCTTCTCTGCCACCACCAGCAGGCCAACTGGATACTCCGGCTGCGAGAATATCAAATCGTCTGTGTCAGGATCTACACCCACTGGAGCCGAGCCAAAGGCTAGAACTAATGCCTGAATATCTGTAAGACAGTCCAGTTTGGCAACATCTGGCTCCTTGTAACTGCCATTGTTCCTCAATCCCGACGACGTGAAGCCATCTATTGCGCCTCGAGCCCACGCCTCCACAACCCCCTCTTGAAACAAATCAACCCTATAGGGATCATTATCAGCCAGAACGCTAACGTCTGTTGGGCGCAGCGAAACCGGACGCAACGACCCAGTCAGGTCGACGTAACCACCTTTCACCCTGCCGAATAGATCTGAACCCAAGGGCGCCACATAAATGTGGCGAATCTTGCACTCCGTTACCAGTGGAAGGGAATGAGACTTTGACCATCCAACCTCACCTTTCCACGAAGCCCAGCTCCAAGACGGCGCACAGAATTTGGCTGGTTTGACCGCGTCGTGGCGGGTGGACCAGAGCAGCGCCCTCACAAAGTCACCTCTCCATAGTCCTGCAAAGTATTGGTCATCAAGTCCAACATTGAAGCTCCGAGCCAGACCGGATATTGCCGGCAGTTTATCTTCCTCGACCGTGAGGTTCCGGAGGGAGTACTCCGCAACCATGGCCCGCCACAATTTGTAGAGGTTCGTCTTGTCTCTTCCCTCTGTCGTCTTGCTGCTGTTGTCGTCTGATGGACCAGCCAAGGCAGAAGAACTAAGTCTTTCCTGCCAGCGATGAACATTTCTGTAGACTGTAGTGCTATGCTCCAAACACCGTTGTGTCTGACACCGAAAGAACGACGTCGTGTCCCGAAAGTACACCACCCTGCTCGACAGGACATCTTCCTGCAGCGTCCAGCCACGCGTCGCCCACGAGCAGCCAGACATATGGCTGGGGTTGTTTGCGTCCCAGGCACTGTACTCTTGATGCCAAGAGAGTAGATACGAGCCTGACACGGTTCCCGATCGTGACTGAAAGGGGACAACAGCAAGTGGGCCAACTCCAGGTCGAGACAAGAACCCAGAATGACATGAATCTCCAGCTGCGGCAACGACAGTCAGATAGGCGTGGCGGTACACCCGAAACATTAATGCCGCTTCGGTCTCCCAGTCCTTACGGTTGTCCTGGATGATGCAGAGAGCATCTATCCAGATATACTGTATGCCTAGGCGACGGGCCAAGAGGACCAAGTCCCGATGGGTGCCTGGCATTATATGCTCTGGGATTGTTTCAAGCCGTTGAGGCAGCGTTGCGATGGTGGTGGTTAGCTGTGGTCGGGTCTGAGATGGGGGACCCCAGCAATAGCTTAGGGCAATGTACCGCGTCGTCAAAGGAAGGCTGGCCCCGGAGACCTGAATCAAACGGGGGGTTATACCATCATGTGTTCCTATGTATATGAGCCTCGTGGGAAGCCAGCTGGAGTCCACGTTTTGGCAACTTGGATGCTCGTCGTCGCAGGTTCTCAGCCAGGTTTCAAGAGTCTGTATACTACCCTGGTTGAGTACGTCGGTTGATGGTACTTTCAGAGTAATTCCCAGACTTTCAGAGACAGCCGCTGCAATGTATGTAAGCCCTCGATTCGGTAACGACCAACTTGGACATCAAGAGCGACGTACTGGAGCCGGGATGTTGATATACCCTCACGCGCACCCGCCAGTCTTGCGGCCATCCCTTAGACCCAAAGGTCAAACAAAGTGAGTGAAGGCCATCCTCTTCCTCGGCGTCATTATTTCCAGCGAGATCATTCGTGACAACCATCAAGTCTGAGCGCATCGTATATGCCGGGGTGTCCAGTTTAACTGTAACAACCCGAGGGCACCCTGCTGTCTCTGTAACGGCGGCATATTGCTTAGGGAGTCGTTCCCGGAGCAGATGGCAAAGGAATGCGCAAAAGCTGCAACCGTTCTTTGCCGACAAGCTGAAGTGAGGTAGGTCCGGGAGCGTGTCACCTCTCTCCCAGCAAGTCATGAGGTCCAATGCTCCAATTGCGTCGCCCGCTACATCATCGAAAGTGATCCCGACACATTCTGGGCAGAGGGTTTTTGCCTTCATATTTCGATCCATGTTTGGCTTCAAGAGGTAGATAGTGCCTTGTGGATAAATGGTGATCCGCGTGTCTTGGAGTGCGGGGTAATGTTGGATCATGGCATGCATAAGGTGGCACAGCACAAACACGAAATCTGGAAAGGTAAGCATCGAGGTAAGGACGGCTTCAGGGCTATCCAACGTCTATTGATCTATAGATTGGGCCTTAACCCCCTGGTCTGTAGTTAGACACCCACCTGACACTCAAGATGTCAACCGGAATATTCTAAGAGGTTGCTTGGCGAATCAGTTGACAAAAGTGGCCTGGGCGCCGGCGAGCTAATCATGGATGAATAACCCGAGTCAGGCTCGATGGAAGGTTTTGCAGACGAATGCACGCTCTGCTGATGATGCGGTGAATCGACCTGGCTATAGGGCGAAACACAGGGATATGAAGTCGCGGACGGAGGGGTCACCCAGTTCATCACCCTTTCACGAGTCTCCAGCACCTTGTTCCTTCTCGAAAGCCTCACCTTCAGTCGGTGATATAGACCGCTCAATCGTTGCTTTCCATTTCTTTTCGAGCTCCCTGACAGGGCTTCTGTCATAGGGTGCAAAGATGGTAGGGTGGGTGTAGACTGCTCCCCAAGAGTTGTCACGTGGCTGTCTAATAGTTTTCTGAAAAGATAGACTTCGTTCTGTTTTTTGGCGAATTGCCTGGATTGCTCCGCGAGGGCGCTCAGAGGCAGTGGAACTCTAAGAACGGGCTGCAGAACTGACAAGGCGCTGTCTGAGGAGTCCGTAATCTCTCGTATCGTGCAAGCTGGCTGATGCTTTTCTTGGGTGAGGCCATGCAAGCCGACTTTGTGTTGGGTCTCTGCTATATCATGGTCTTGGCCAAGCTCATAGTCGCCCATGGGCATAGCGGAATTCCCTGTAATCTTTGGCGTTTCGGTCCAAGACAGTTCCAGATCGGCCTTTGTTGGGAGAGCGACTTCATCCACATCAAGCTGTGCTCGAATATCAGACAATGTGCTCTCTAAAGGGACTACATGAGCCTCGCCAAGCGCATCCACAGATATGACGTGACCGTATACTTCGTGTGTGGTCTCGCTCACCACCCATGATCCCGAATCTCCAGGACGGAGCTCTAAATAGATATTAGCTATGTGTCAGCATGGAAAGGGCGAGGGTTGAGCATCATACCTGAGTCGGAGCGCAGGACGAGGTCTAGAGTCTGCAAAAAGGTCCTTCCTGGGAACATCATGATAGATGACCCATTAGACACTAGAGATCCCTTTTGGAGACCGTGGCTGGTCATAACAACCACGTCTATCTTCTGCTGTGGTTGCAACGGCACTCTGGAGGCTAACAGATTGATTCCAAAAATGCTTGGCGGGTGGCTATCGGGGGCGAGGTTGGGGAGAAGAACGGCAGTGTTCAACTTAATCAGAGCCCAGTCATGGTTGGCTGAAGTTGTTGAGGAAAGGCGAAGGGAATCATGGGCGACTTTACCAATCGAGGTCATCGCATTTAACTTCGGAGAGTGGCTCGGTTGTGGGTATGCGTCGCTCTCGTTTAGCTCAGATATCGAATCTGTGTCTGTAAACTCCTCTGAGTCGAAATCATCGTCATCCGACCGGTCAAGGTCATTGCTCCCTTCCACTGGATGACTTGCTGTGAGCCCAAACACTTCAGTGATTTCTCCTCTGGTGACGGTTATTAAGCCGCCAAATGTTGCAATTGTTTCTGCTGCATCGACCACCATACGGATGCTCATACCGCAAAACGTAACTCTCCCGTCAAGATGGGCAAAGACGTCAAGCGTGTCCTCTGTTGACAGGCGTATTACACCCTTGTCTAAGATATAGACTTCGAAATCGGGCTTCAGATCTTGTTGGATGTGTTCCTGAGCAAAAAAGTGTCTCACCCTTTTTGCAACGCGTTTCTCACACTGTATAACGATGAAAAGCTTGGCCGACTCCTCGTCAGAGCCCATGTACTTCAACTTCATTGAAATGTCCCCCGGGTGCGCTTTCTTATTCCCCTTGGATATCGCTTTCCAGAGCGAGTTGGTGTATTGGTATCTGAAGTCGAAGAAACGATCCCGTTGGTCGTCGGAAATTGGCTTGTCGAAGACCTGAGGAACAGAGACAGGGACCGATGTCCGATCCAAGAAATTGTGTTTGTTTTCTTGGGGAGTGGAGGCAGTTGACCCGTAGCCTGAATCGGCTCCGCTCGCGACTACAGAGAATGCATCCGCATCTTGCGGACTGGGAGACTTTTCGAGCTCCGCGCTGATTTGTGCAGCGGAAACATCGCCCTTTAGATTCAGAGAAGCAAGCTTCTCTTTCAGCTGGGCAGCATCCGGTTCAGCACGAGGAGGGTTGACTCGCATTGGCAGAAGTGCAGTATTGTCGGAACTGTGGTTCTGAATCTTGATCGCGCGAAGTAGAGACGTCATGCTAACAGGTAATTAAAGGTAGAATTCCAGTGGTCGTCGATGGAAAGGGGGAGGGAGACAAAGATGTCGGAAGAGGATGCCTTCCGCAGTCATCCAAAATTCGCTTGACGTACCTACGGGATGATCCATCCAGACACAATTGCACGCAGAACGAGGCCTATATCCCCGCACTTGCTAATCGGTACCCAATGCTGGCTGCCCAAAGGCTGAGCAACTGCGCCGCCGCCCGCGATGCGTGAAGGCTTGAGCCAAGATCTGCGATTGGACTGCGTTGCCTAGATGCGCAAGCATTCCCCGAGTCCGGCATCGGCAGCTGTTGTACCCCCTCACCGAAACCCGAAGCCAGTCATGGAGGTGTGTTACAATACTTCAATCACCTACCTACAGACTTGTGATCGAGGCTTGATTTCCTTCACCAAGATTGATTTTCTTGGATCTACGAACCGCCATGTCTGCACTACCACTGAATTCTGTCGAAGATTCACTCTTCCCAAGGCTGGGAAAAGTCCTTTGGGGCTGGGAATTTTGCAATGATCTTGAGTCTGGGAAAGAGTGCAATTCAAGGAGCTGTCCTCATCGACGAATCGGCCAACTTCGACGCTTTTTCCAGTTTTACAAAGCACTGATCTTGAACTATGTCGACAGCTGCTCTCCCGAAAACAGGCTATTCAAAACACACCAGGATCTTCACCATGCGATTCTCCAATTAAAGGCAAACCCAGATCTCACCCGAGCAGAGCTTTGTGCCTTCATCGCCAATCAAGGGGCCCACAGAGAACCAAGGCGAAGTAATCTACTCAATGCCAGCAGTCTTGTGGTCAATGTCCTCACCATGATAGATTGCTCAGCGCTCTATCAGTCACCGGACCGTCTAGAGACGGGTACATACAGGCTCCACTGGAAGGATGACGTTCCATTTAGCAAATACATACAGGACCTATTTCCCACCACGAACCATCCGATTCTCAGCTTCAACGAAAGCCTTTCTTCCATCGAGATGAAGTCAGAACTTCGTGCCGTCAAACTCCAAAAACGACTACGAATGCGGTTTCGGGATACCCACGATATTCAGGACCACTTGAAATTGGATCGAAACCAGAATACACTCGAAATTTATCACCATACCGCGTTCCTCAAAGAACAGCTTCGGCTGACGAAAAGTGATGGAGACTTTTCCCTTCCATCTAACTCTATCAGAGTGTAAGTATCTGAGTTCCCTCCGAAACAAAAGAGAAACCAGCTGTCTAACGACACAACAGTGGAGCTCTCCCGCGTCAACTGGTTCTCGAGATTCTAGACTCCCTCCAAACCATCATCTTTCCGTTGAGCGATCCAAAGTCAAAAAGGCTTCTCCGGTCTCTGACAGAACAATACTCTCTTGATCCTGATATCCAGCACCTGGAGGTCAGCACCATACGCAAGACAGGCGAGGAGAGCATCGAATACGTATTTCTCGCCGACAGGCTGGCCGCGCTGCACAATGAGCTGCAGACTCCCAGGCCACGGGGCTGGCTGGGCAGGCGACTGGAACGGAAGAGCGGGGCGAGGTACATGCTGATGGCTACCCTCTGCGGTGTTGCTTTTGCTGTGCTGCTTGGTATGGCGTCGTTGGCGGTCACCTGTTACCAGACATGGATTGCGTACCAGGCTTGGCAGCATCCTGTTTCTCCCTCGGGTCCTTGATGAGGGTACAGGTCATGGAGATAGGGTATCTATCTACCTAGGTACTAACTTGCTGTATAGTCCAGGTCTTCCCGGCTGTTGAAGGGAGCTTCTTGGTGATGAAAAATGGACATGATGAGGCACATCAATGACGTCCTGGGTGAAATGAATCCAAGGTCAGACTGGTAATGTGGAAAAAAGAAAGGGGCTGGGGGCACTTGAGATTGGGAGGGAATACGGCAGATCCACCTAGGTGGTGACTTGGTGGCCAAGCCTTGCGTGCAAATTTTGTATACCTACCTCTCGAAAATAGAACAGAAGAAGGAGTTAGCACTGGTGATCATTAATTTGAGCAGTTAGGCTGCTGACGAGAGCAGTGACGATCAATAAGTGACTGCGCAGCAGCCTAAAAGGACTTGCCTGCCGGGCGAGGAAGCTGAAGTCCGAGGAGCCGTGCCTCTTTGTACCAACTTTTGTTCCTGTCTGGGTGCCACGGATCTGACCAAGAATGAAGGTCCGGCTTCCATGCATTAGTTTACGCGATAGTCTGCATATAGGTATTCATTTCGATTTGAGTACAACAGCCAATCGACAATGACTTGGCTGATCCAAGAAAGTCAGAAAACCTGCTGACGATGTTCAGGTGCAAGTGGGTGATGGAAGAACATATTTGAGTCTCTATATCCGTAAGAAGATTACCAGTACTCACTGAGGTCACCAGGTCCCGTGCGGCCATTGCCTATGATATCACAGGAGGAGTGGGTTCCATATAGGCCAGGTCATTTGGGTAGCTGGGGTCCCAGGAGATGCCTTTCGGAGCTATGCTGACGTGTTGGGCTGGCGACCTAGGAAAGTCACTGGCTGCGAAAATGAGGCTAAAATGGCCAAAAAATGGTAAGCAAATTGGTATTACAGTAGTTGGTTGTTTTTAAAAGTAAACAGTAAGAAAATCCAGCCCCAAGAGCAAACCGGTGTGGGTCTGGGAAAACCTGGGCCCTTTGGTGCCCCACATGACACCACTCATGGTCAGGCTGACGATCGTTGTCAGGTTGTCCATCGAGATTCTCCTCGAGATACGTCGTGTCATAGCTTGGTTTACTGGAGCTGAGGTGCTCTCTGTAGTCTGGAAGAAAACGGCTTCGAGGCAAGGTCGGAAAAGCAATAACATGTAGTACCACTGCGCCGGACTCATCCTCTGCCAAGGTGGCCCGAAGGAACATCAACAATACAGGTAAGCGCCTCCAATACCACCTATCTTCACTGCGTCATACCCTCTTCCTACCAAATCATAGCACATCTAGCGCTAAGGCTCGGCTAACAGAGCTGACGTAACTAGGGCTGTGCCATTTCAGCGTGCTACCTTCTACACGTGGGAGTCGGCGTTTGTGGTCCCCAGCGCAGCAGTCCTTTTGATATACCTGATACAGAATAAACCAAGGATCATGTTGATCTTGTCAACTTCCTCTTACTTAAGTGATCAAACCTTTACGGCGGGCAACCTTGCAGCTTCACAGATCGACAGTAAGCTGAAGGATGGTCTCGGACTCTGGGAGTTGAAGACCTAACCAACTATGGCGATGGAATGCCTTGCGCATCCTTACACCAAGACTGAAGAGATAACTTGTAGTTTACGTCCTGTCGGTAATGCTTAGGACAGGTATATAAAACCCAGTTCATGTCGACATGAAGTCTTGTTTTCCCCTTCTCATCCTCATCCAGCCTCACAAAGCCCAACAAGAGCAAGCAGCCATACCTTAGACTTCAGGAACCAACAGAAAAACATTTTCGACATGTCTTCCCTTACCGCCGCCTTCATCGTCGGCGCCGCTGTTCTCTCCGGCGTGCGTGCCTCCCCCGTCGCCAGCGCCAACGCTGCTGTGTCCACGCCTTCGTTCCTGACGACGATTGGCCTTGACCCCGAGGTCAACATCACCAAGCGTGATGTGATCGGAAGATTGCCCAACGGTGCCGACGACATTGAGCACCGGTTCCAACCTGTCTTGGACTTTGATGGCGATGGCTGTTACTACACCTCGGCCATGGACGACCAGGGCAACCTCAACAACGGAATCCATAACCCCGGTGACGGCGTGCCCCCTGGTTGCCTGGCCCAAAACTGCCGTGAGGAGAACCGCCTGCAAAGCAACAACGTCTACAGTCGCGCGCGGTGCAACAATGTAAGTTCCCCCTTCCGGCGGAGTTTTCCAATCACCTGCTAACTCGCGATTGACACCAGGGATGGTGTGCCATCATGTACGAGTACTATTTCGAGAAGGACCAGCTCATCTGCGGTCCCGCCTGGGGCAACGGTCACCCCCACGACTGGGAGCACGTCATTGTGTTCGTCCAGGACGACCAAGTCAAGCGTGTCGCTCCCTCATGCCACAATGAGTACCCGACAGCTACCAACGAGCCGCGCCTGCACGATGGCACACGCGCCAAGATCGTCTACCACAAGGATGGTGCCCGGACTCACTGCGTCAGGATGGCCGCCGAGGCCGACGATGATATCGAGAATTACACCGGCGAGTGGTTTCTCGGTGAGCTGGTCGGATGGAACCACTACCCGACTGTTGACTTGCGGACAAAGTTGGTCAACTTCCACCAGGATGCCAAGCCGAAGCTCAATGATGCCGACTTTGCTGCTGCTCTGAAGGCGGCGGCCGGTGATCAGGTGCCTGGCTTCAACCCTGACTCGGATAGCTGAGTAACTCTCAGGTTGATGGGCGTGTCAAGGTTGGGGTTCTGGTCCAGCATGGGACGCAAAACTGAAGGTTGTGAGAGTGATTTATTCAGGTTCTATAGAGATGCGCTCAGTAAGCACATGTAACTGTCAGGGAGGGAAATAGGCGTTTCATTGCCCACACTCGCTTGATATGACTTGGCACCGGTTTGCCCACCAAGGTACCTATAGATAGATGCCTACACAATAAACCACAATGCATTGTAAGATAGGTACTACCTCAAAGACATAGTGCACTCCTGCCTTTCAGTAATATACCACAGTAGGTAGGCAAGTCCAATGGGGCGGCTTCTGCATAAGTACCTCGTGTTTGGAAAGATCTGCTGGTGAGGCTGTGTAAGGAGAGAAGGGGAGATATTGTGGAGTATTGTGACGGTGTGGTATCCAGAAGGATTATATTGCGGGGTGTGTTGCTCTGTGAACAATGGTTGAAATGGGTGACAGGGCCAGTTGTCTAAGGCCATATGAGCTTGTTACCTACCTAGTAACCCTTTGTCCCAGCTCTCTTGATCCTTAGCCTCAGCCAAATCCCAGCTACTTCAGTCGTTTCTCTCAGCTTCTTCAGTTGTTCATCTCAACCTCCGTAAGGTAGTAAAGTGTTTGATAACAGCACCACGCCCATGAAGAAATGCCTGATTAATATATGTTTGGAGACCTTGAGCAAGGTTGGAGATTCCCATGCCAATGGAAACTAGCGGGAGACGTTCTATTTGTATTTAAAAACTGTTAATTTCTGAGAGGATGTACTCAAGGCCCAGAACATGTGAAGACACTTCGATGCAAAGACCAGACAAACATTGTTCCCTAATTCCGTTCGCGTGCCAAAGCCACCCTCATATCTTCATCCCATGCAGAATCCGTTGGATCATATTACAATTGCCCACATCCTTCAAAATGAACATCATGCCACCAGTTGCCTGCAAACTCGTCTTCCCGCAAGACCTCCAGCTAGCAATGTGCTAAGGAGGTCATGTCTAGTCCTGCACCTTGATAATGACCTTGCCCACATGGCTGCCAGAGTACAAATAGTCGAACGCGGCCGGTGATTCATCAAACGTAAAGACTCGGTCAACGAGCGGGGCAAGGGATACCTTTTTCTCAGCCAGAAACTGATTCAGCTCCACGAAATCCTGCTTGGAGCCGACACCAATACCCCTGGATCACTCATCGTTAGTGAAATCATTGTCCTTGGCAATCCAGAAAAAAGAAACAAAGGAAAAGAAAAAAGAATATTCTTTTATGGCAGTGGAAATAGCTTACTTCAACTTCGCAAACTTCGACATCAACGCCATGATAGCACTTGGCTGCCAGTCGCCATTGAAACCGGCCAAAAAGCCAACAAGAGAGACGACACCACCACGTGAACGCAAGAAACTGATATCTTCCGGAAGAGACGCCGGTCCAGTGTTGTTAATGACAAAGTCGACGCCCTTGCCGTCGGTGAGGCGCTTCACTTCCGAGACTTGGTCAGAGACGGTCTTGTAGTTAATGGTACCGACATCAGAGCTGAGCTTTCGGATTTCCTCAAGCTTTTTGTCAGAGGAGGACGTGATGATTGGTTTGATGCCCGCGGCAAGGCATATCAGCAAAGCAAACAGACTGACGCCTCCCGTGCCTAGCTCAATCCGTCAGTCACTATTTCACTATCATGGGTCAGTAAATGAGACACAAACCTTGCAACAAGGCACTTCTAGGATTCGGCGCTTTCAAGTTGTCGAGAGCAGTCCAAGCCGTGACACCGGCACACGCGATAGTGGATGCCTCTTCCCACGACAAGTGCTTGGGCAATTGCACAAGCTCCTTATCCTCAAAAACCGCATACTCCCTCAGAACGCCATCAACATCACCCCCAAGTGCCTGCATCGGCTCGTCATCGCCTGCAACAAGATGGCCGAGATCGAAATTGACCGAAACATGGTCTCCGATGGCGAAATCCTTCACCGCGCTTCCGATAGCCGCAACCTCAGCAGCTGCGTCGGAGCACGGAATGCCACGCTCAATCACATCCACTGGGTAGCGCCCGTTCAGCATGCCGACATCACGAAAGTTGAGGGAGACGGCGTGGATCTTGAGGAGGACATCGTGCGGCGCAAGCTCTTGCACCATGGGTTCAGTTGAGGGGACGATGGTCCTCGGCAGGTCGCCGGTGGTGCGCCTGAAGGCTTTGTATGTCTCTGGAATAGGCATGACGGAAATTGGAGAACTAGAGTCGATGCTGTGTGAGACGAAATCTCAAGTTTAGAGAAACGTATGGTCAGTTTACATGATGAGGATGCGTAGATATATTCAAAGTTCAGCTGTCAAATGGGCCAATGGTCATTAGTAATCTTCCCAAAGCTCGACGTGGAGAAATGCTTGGCCATCTTGGAGACTTGATGCTTGCGGGTTAATTACAGGAGCCATTTTCCCCAAAAATGGTTCCCCAAAAGCCGAAAAAAAGAAGACGCAATAATACACCCGATCGCGAGTAGATACACTGGAAATGACAGACACAACAAAGATAATCACAGTGCTATGAGATGTTGGATGAACAGTAAGTACATGGACAATTCGGAGCACCATTGCTTGTCGTTGATTTCCGCAGACGTCATCCGTGCCATGGAACCAGATCGGACTCCGCGGCGGTTATCTCCACAATTACATAATCACCATATTTGTAAACCTCCTGTCTCTAGAATCCTCGATTGATTCTTGAGAGGAATCCAGAACGGTGATCTCAGCCTGGGACTTTGCTGATTGACGCAGACTCCCAACCGGCAGAAGGACCGTAAAACCACAGCCTCCTTCATCACTTATAAAACCAAGCATCTCAAAGCCCCCGCAGCAGGCTCAGCACGGGTGCACACGTAGTAACCCAACCAAAGATTGGTGCAGCCTAGGTAGGTACAATCAAGTCATGTCAGCACTGGAGTAGGGGTCTGTCGTCGACGAGACAAATGGGTAGACTTACCGGCATTGACCTGCGTGTTCCAAGACCTAAACTGGGCCACGGTGATGCCGTTTCTCGAGGCGATGTTGTCGCACTGGTCCCCAGATGCAACCAAGTGCCAACGGTTACAGGTACCAGCGGTGCCAGGCATGAGCGGAGACGGTGCGGTGACAGGGACGCCAATGCAAATGTAGTAGTCGAGCCAGAGATTGGTGCAGCCTGTCCTGTTTGTCAGTCGGGGTACGAAAGAACTTGCTTCAGTCACGCAGACAGATGTATGGAAGAAGGCTCAACTTACCAGCGTTGACCTGGCTATTCCAAGTACGGATCTGGGCTATGGTGATACCGTTACGGCTGGCAATGGTATCGCACTGGTCCCCGGAACGAACCTTGTACCAGCGGTTGCAGTTGGATGCGTAGCCAGGCATGACTGGGGAAACTGTGGGGGTCGGGTCAGACGTGGGTGTGCTTGTCGTTGGAGATGGAGTTACGCCTGGAATGCCAACGCAGACGTAGTAGTCGAGCCACAGATTGTTGCACTGTGCGTTGATTTGTGTGTTCCGGCTGCGAAGCTGGGCGACCGAAACACCATTCCGGCCGGCAAGTGTGTCACACTGGTCACCGGAACGAACCTTGTCCCAGCGGTTGCAGTTGGATGCGTGACCGGGCATGACAGAGGAGACGGTAGGGGTAGGGGCGGAGCTTGTTGTGCTTATGATGGGAGAGCTTGGGGTCACGCCGGGAATGCCGAAGCACACATAGTAGTCGAGCCAGAGATTTGAGCAAGCTAATTTTGAATCTTGTCAGGTAAAAGAATCTTCTGATGGAGGCTTTTTGAAGATAAGGTACATACATGTGTTGATCACGTTCCAGCTTCTCAATTAAGCTGTGGTGATGCCATTCTTAGCGGCAACAATGTCGCACTCATCACCAGGCACAATCTTGTAAAAGCGGTTGCAGTTGTTGACAACACCAGGTAAGAGCGGGGAGACGCTCGGACTGGGAGCAGAGGTGCCGAACGGCTGGACGGTCGACGAAGGCCGAGTTGAAATGGTCGATGAAGGCGGAGAAGAAGTGACGATGGAGCTCTAGGTGGAGGTCGTTGTGGTGAGCGGGGTGCTTGAGAATGATGAAGTTGAGGTGAGAAGGGTGACAGTGGAAGAGGAGCTAGGCTCCGGGAGAACGTCGCCGTAAACGCAATACGAGGTATTAGGTTGGATGACCAGGAAATGGCCCACCCACAGAGGTGGCCCACATTGGCTTGAACTTACCAGTGCCATTTTCCACATTAAACCCTCAACAACCCTGGACCTCCGAAAGCCCCCCCAACTTTATATTCCACCCCCAGAGGTCAAAAATGGACCATTTCTTTTTCTTCTTTTTGCTCCAGGTACCCATCAATGGCCAAATATACCGAGGAAGATCTCGCAAATGCCGAACAAGACATTCTTGCTGGTATAAGCCAGCGCCAAGCGTCCGACAAGCACGGGGTTCCACGTTCTACACTGAGGCACCGCATCTTAGGAACCCAGGTTTGCAAACAGGCCCATGAAAATCAACAGCGGCTTACTCAGGGCCAGGAAGACCTCATCGTTCAATGGATCCTTCGTCAGGAAAGCCTTGGCTACGCTCCCACCCACGCCAACGTAAGAGCTCTGGCGGCCAGTATGCTGGCTGAACAAGCCGATATCTACTCCATTGGGAAGCACTGGGTAACCCGCTTTATTGGCCGTTATCCTAGTATTAAAACGAAGGTGGGAAAGAAGATTGATTACGCTAGAGTTAACGAAGATACCCCGGAGAATATCAATAAGTTCTTTAACCTTTATTCTACCGTTGACTGGATTAAGCCCAAGAACAGGTATAACTATGATGAAGTAGGAATAATGGAAGGTCAGGGAGAGAACGGCTTGGTTGTGGGGTCTTTAATGAGGGATAAAAAGTCTGTATACGTTAAACAGAATGGAAAAAGGACCTGGACTACTATGCTGGAGTGTATCTCCCAGGATGGGAGAGTCCTCCCCCCCGGGGTAATCTTCAAAGGCTAAGACCTTTAAAAGCAATGGTTTAAGGACCAATTCGATAAGGACTGGTATGTGGCCGTATTATCGAACGGTTGGACCAGTAACGACCTGGCCGTTGGATGGCTTGAAGAGGTCTTTATCCCAAGGACTCAACCAAAGGACCCATCAGAACCACGTCTTCTTATTTGTGATGGCCATGGCTCACATACCACTGACGACTTTATAATCCGGTGCTATAGGAGTAATATTTACTTTCTTTTCCTGTCCCCCTACTGCTCTCACGTCCTTCAACCCCTTGATATTGGCTGCTTTTCTAGTGTGAAGAAGGCGTATAAGAGGCTTGTGGCTGTAAACGACGCCCTCACCAACTGTACGCCTGACGGTAAGGTCGACTTGGTCCGGCTGTATGACTTTGCCCGCAAGCAGGGCTTCAGGAAAGAGAATATTGCCGGCGGCTGGCGTGGGACAGGATTATGGCCCATACGTAGGCGCAAACCGCTCTCTTCAAGCCAGGTGGTAGTCCCTGTGGTGCCGTTGGATCTCTCTTCAAAAACACCTACTTTCCATACCGTGGGGGATTCCCAGGTGGCCAAGAAGGTCAAGGACCTACTCAAGAACCATACGCCGGCCGGAAAACGGCTTGCGGCAAGGACTCTCACCAGTACTATACTCACACTGAGATCTGAGGTATCTATCCACAAAGCTGATGCGGCAAGGCACCAACAAAACGCCCACAAAGCCCAGGACGCAAAGAAAAGGCGCAAGTTGAATAGAGAAGATTCGAATTCCAAGTTTGTAAGGCTTTGTGACCTGGAAGAGGCTTGTATTGAAGGGAGGGTGGTGGAGGAAGAAGTGGTGCCTAAGGAGGATGTGGAGCAGCCGGAGCCAGCCGAGCCTGTGCGGCGTAGCACACGTTATCGGGTTCAAACCCGGCGTAAGAGGGAAGCAGACGAAATGTCTGACTCTGACAGTGATTGAGCTACATTTTGGTATAAATTCCATAGAAATTGACCCCAATATTGGTCTTGTTGTGGGGAGTGTAAGCATTCAGGGGTAATCTCATTAAGGTTGTGTGGCTGGTGTGGGGGTGGTGGTCCATATCCGTGGGTGGGCCATTTCCTGGTCATCCACCCTAATGTCGAGGTTGGGGCAGTTCACGTTGGGGTTAATGCGCTGGAAGTCGGCAAGAGTGATGTACCAGTGGTTTGCAAAGGCCTGGCATGTGAGCGTGTTGCTGTCGGGAGCGGCATCAAGATAACATTCAACTCTGCGGCGAACCTTTGTGACACGACCCGAGACCAAGGAGGAGCCCGGAGAGGGGAATGAAACGTCTCAACTGCATCTTGCAGAGTAGGTAAGGTATGAAACAGTAAGACCAAGCTACCTAGGGGGTTAAAGAATGTGATGGGAGATGCAGGCAACTGACGAAGGTTATGATACTCTTGGGGTTGACGTGGATCTTATACCTCAGCATAGAACGGTTGAGATCGTTACAACTAGACACGCGGATCTGGACCAAAGGTACCGACTCAACCCATCAAGCAACATGATGTGATTACGAAGCAGTCTTCGTGTTCCCGACGGGACTCGAGGAAGACACCATCGAAAGTGAAATCAGACTCTGCCTGTAGAAGATTTCAGCTACGCCTCCAACGCAGAATGCGATACCACCTAATTCTTGCCAGGTGAATCATGTTGTGGACCAACAATGGATCGGATGTCAAGCAAAGATGGTCCTGACAAGATCCTATCACCAACACCGACAAGACCCTGTTAGCAGTATATCGATGGGCACCTCGGAAGTTCCTGTATGCCAAGTGTTATTCTCGGTGACAGCCAATTGCATACCAAGGAGAGACGTTACATCTCGCCATTAAGGGACACCCGTGACAATGCACGAAACCATCCACTCCTCAGAACGATAATATTCGGTAACCTGAACAGTTGGATCAGCACGTATTCAGCCCTGTCAAATATTAGTTGCATCGACTCTTAAATTGTTCTAGACCGCCATTCAGCGACGTCGATAGTAACGCAAGGCAAACCGCAGGTGATCGGCTGACTGTGCCTCATCGAAAGGGACTGTGCAGTTGCAGCGGCAGCGGCCCGGAAGCGAAGGTGGAAGGAGCGGTCCGACTGACCTGATGTAACGTCTGGTCCCTTGCAGATATGGGCGACCTAGATCATCAGTAAATGCTTGGACGTTAGTCATGAAGAATACCATAAATGGGTCGTATGCAGCCAGCTTTTGATTTGTGATTGGCCCTTGGTCGTGCGAACCCTTGCGTGTTCTGACCACAATTTGGTTGGCGACTAGTGGTGCAACACCTCATGCGTTTATTTTGCACATTACACAGTATGCTTTCTCCATATTGCCTTGTTTACACTTTGAATCAAGCACTCCTTGACCCAAATATTGTCCTTAAATTCCGATTCCTTTTCGACACCATCCAAGTCCACCATCCTCCATCCAACAACCCGGACCTCATCGGAGGACCAGACAGCAACGCACCAGCACAGCATCGCCCCCCCAACAGATTGCAATCCCATGCGTCTTCTTGTCGGGACCCTGTGGCCCCTTCTGGGTGTTTTTGGAGCCATCACCCATGCTGCCAATGTGATGGAAGTTGATCTTGTTTTCCCACGCAACGAGACATACACGACCGATCAGCAGATGCCAGTCGTCTTTGCAATCCGAAACGCCCAGCTTGGACCCCTTCTTCAGCCATCAATCTCATATCAGGTCCGGAACATATCCGACCTTGGCCAGTCAGGGCCCTCGAATCATCACCTCTTCCTCAATGTCAGCTGGACCGATTATGAACCCTACTTTGCCTACACCTTCATCAACATGACCGCGGAAGGGGCGTTCCAAATATTCTGGTCCACCAGCTGGATATATTGCAACCAGACCAGCGGCAGAAACAAGATCGTCAGGGATGATTCCACCGAGCTTTTGCACTTCATTGTCAAAAAGGACGCCCCGGCAACGGATCTTGTCGCCGTTACGGCCAACGACGAGCCCTGCAATGCTTCTCCTGGTGTTTCCATCAACATTTCTAACATGACGGCCGTTCCTTCCTTCCCAGACAAGGGCTCTTGTGCTTTGATGGACGCTTCCAACCCCGTAGGTGTCAGTTCAGACCCCTGCCGGGTAAAGATTGATGAGCCTACGGCCGAAAGGATCCAGAATAACCTTCGCGAGAGATTGTGCAGTGCCCTCAACCCCGACCGCCCCGCTGATTGCACGACCAAGGATAACGCGGCGCAGTCCGGTGCTGCGGTAGGCATAAAATGCCTCGCTGTTGCTATTGTCATGGTTGGCTTCTTGGCGTAGGCCAACGATCTGCATGTTGGGAGTGGCAACATAATTAGTTCTCTTCATATTCGTTTCTCTCACTGCCCGGAACTACTGGGATTAATCTTCTCATCAGGTACGTACTTTATTGATGTACCTAAATTAGCACCCCGCAAGGACATGGTGGCGGGAGGTCAGGGGCCATGGCACACGATAGAGGTTCATTGAAAATCAGGAGTAAGGGGCAAGGCCAAGTTACTTCCCCATGTCCATGTCATCCATGACTCTATGCAGGTGGTCATTCGAATATCTGGGCGGTGGGCTGGTTTGAGCCTCCTCAGTTGTTCGAGGCCCAATACATCGGTATTCCCCTATGTGTAAGTGGTATCATTTGACTCAATGGTCCCCACAGGGACAAAAGAATGCCTACCCAAGGCAACAGTCTGCAACGGTGACCGGCCTTCATGAGTACCACTTTATTGTGTCCATGGACCTTTTCACCAACAGCGCCAACAGAAACAAGGGGCTAGCGGTACTCGAAATCTGTGTGCAGGGCTCACACATGGACTTTCTGTCCCACACAATGCAGGACCTCGATTATATGAGTACAATTCCCAAGCATCTCGTTGAGAAACTCACTATCATCACCTCTCGGCTTGCTCTGGTCTCTAGGTCACGGGCACGTGTATATCTTGTCAGTTAGGTCTTGCACCGTTACACAGCTTTTCTTGAAGTGCTGGCTAACGCTTAGCAAGGTGCTCAGGAGACATTTCCATGCCTCGTTTATCCTGGCAGACGACAGTCCTCGGGGCTGTAGGCCTCTTGCTGTCCACAGATGTGGCTGCAATGGGGTTTGAGCCTCCTGTGCGGACACCGCATCCAGGCTTGCTCTTCCTTTGGCCCAGATTTCGAACAGATTCCAACTTCGGAGGCTGTGGCCAGTGCCGATGTGGAAACTGCTGAGACTATGGAGGTCAATCTTGAGATTTGATGGTGGGAAGAAGGCTTTAGATTGCCTGCCGCTGGCATTCGTTCCCTGATCCAGCAAATCCGTACCTATGTTGCTCGAGGACATGGCGCGACGGACACGCCTTTCATCATTTTCGGTCAGTCTGGCCAGGCTACACTCGGTATTTACATTGGTCAGGGCCTTCTGAACCAGGGACTTGGCGAATCCGCTCTACGCATTCTGCAAGACAACCTCGACAGGCTCAATGTCTTGACACCACAGCTCGCTATGCAGCTCTGTGGGTCCGGCTATGACAGCACCCATGTGTTTGGCGTCGCTATCATGAGTAATAGTACCTTTTCACCTATTCAAGATGCCATCAAAGGCTGGGCCAATGCCACTTGCCTTTCTTTCACCGAGTCGACCACCTTCCCTAGTGAGGCCAAATTCTTGACCCCACTTCTTCGTGCCAACTCCACGCTCTTGCACGACAACACAACACAAACCAACTCCACACTACGTGCGAGAACGCTCCGACATGGACTTCAGCAGCGCTCGCAGGCACTCCAACAACGAGCTACCTGCAGAACCGTGCAGGTGGAAGCAGGCAATGGCTGCGCCGAGCTGGCAGTCTAGTGCGGCATCACTCCTTTCAACTTTGACCGGCTCAACCCCGGGATTTGCGGCTCTCTTCGTCCCAAGCAACATGTCTGCTTTACCGAGGGGACCCTTCCCGACCTTTGACCTAAGACGAAGGCGGACGGGTCCTGCTTCGATTACTCGGTCAAGCCGGACGACAACTGTGCCAACCGTGCCGCCGAATACGGCCTACAGGTGATCGATATCGAGACATTCAACAAGAACACCTGGGGCTGGAATGGGTGCCAGTTGCTGTGGGTTGGAACGAGGATGTGCTTGAGCTCAGGGACAGCCCCCTTCCTGGCCCCCGTCGCCAACGCTGTGTGTGGCCCTCAGAAGCCAGGTTCAACACGGCCGACAGATGGCTCCAATATTGCCAATATGAACCCCTGTCCCTTGCGATCGTGCTGCAATATCTGGGGTCAGTGCGGTGTGTCGAAAGACTTTTGCGTTGATACGAGAGGCAACGGTGCTCCAGGGACAGCAGCTCCAGGTACCCATAGCTGTATTTCCAACTGCGGAAATGCTATCATCCGAGGAACCGGAAATGGTGCCATCAAGCTTGCCTACTTTCAAGGCTACATTCTGAGTCGCCCAGGTCTCTATCAGGATCCCTCCCAGATCGACACGTCCAAATACACACATCTGCACTTCGCCTTCGGCACCTTGACCCCTGATTACGAGGTTGAGGTTGGCGACACACTGGCTCAGTACCAGTTCCGCGAGTTCAAGCGCCTCCGCAATGTCAAGAGGATCCTGTCTTTTGGAGGTTGGGCTTTCTCCACTGACCCAGCGACATATCTGATCTTCCGAAATGGCGTCAAGCCCGAAAACCGTCGCCGTATGGCAACAAACATCGCAAATTTCATCATCAAACATGGTCTCGACGGCATCGACATTGACTGGGAGTATCTAGGAGCCCCTGATCTTCCAGAGTTTGATCCCGGAAAGGCCGAAGACGGTCCCAACTACCTTGCCTTCCTGATCATACTCAAAACTTTGCTGCCGGGCCGGTCAACTGCCATTGCAGCCCCTGAATCCTACTGGTATCTGAAACAGTTCCCCATTCAGCAAATAGGAACGGTGGTCGACTACATTGTCTACATGACGTACGATCTACATGGACAATGGGATGCCGGTTCGCGATGGTCTCAAGAGGGATGCCCAACGGGTAACTGTCTCCGTAGCCAAACAAACATGACCGAGACAGCGCAGTCGCTGGCCATGATAACCAAGACCGGAGTTCCCGGGCACAAGATACTCGTCGGCGTCACCAGTTATGGCAGGTCTTTCCAGATGGCCCAACCTGGCTGCTGGGGGCCCAGCTGCCATTTCACTGGCGACCGTTTGACCTCGTTTGCAACCCCTGGAAGATGTACCGACACCAGTGGATACATTGCAGATGCCGAGATCAACGAGATTATCAACGGAGGGGGCAACGGTATCAGCGCAAGGGGCAGCCGCGTGGTCACGCGGTACATCGACACAGCCAGCCATAGCGACATCTTGGTCTACGACAATGACCAGTGGGTTTCTTACATGTCCGAAGAGTCCAAGGAGATTCGTGCGGCCGTTTATGCGTCATTGGGCATGGGCGGCTTAATTGACTGGGCCAGTGACATGCAAGTCTTCAACGATCCCCCGCCACCGAGCAAGAGCTGGAATGAAGAGCCAGACAGCCACATCGCCAAGATCAAAGCTGGGGAAGACCCAAAGCTCAACAACACCGTGTCAACGCCTCCAGGAAGGTGGAAGACGTACAGCTGCACGCATCAGGCCATCACGGATCTGTACACGGTTGGCTCTCCATCATACCGTTGGCACGCTCTAGACACGGATACTGCATGGAGGGAGGGCATCAAGCTTTACAAAGAGACATTCAGACCTCAGAGGAGGAAGCTGATGGAGAGATTGGAGCAGATCTTCCGATTGGGGTCCAGCCCCAAATGCTACTCGTTTTTATTGACGGGAGACAACTGCGACAACGCAATTGAATGCGAGAAGGGCTTGGATGAAGAAAAGTCCGGACCGGCAGCGAAGCTAATTTTTGACGCTCTTATATATATCCACCAGATGCACCACGAATACCACAACAGCCTCGTTGATGCCGCCGCCTTTGTAACCCCCAAGCTCAACAGCATGCACGACGATTTTGCCTCCATCCCGCCACCCAAGGACGATGACAAGTGGGTTAAAATCCTACTGGACCTCGTCGGCTTGGGGACCCTCACAGTGGCCGCACAGTTCTTCAACAACTTCCTGAGAACCCTTCCCTACTTCATTCCACGCGAGAGCTCATTGAACAACGCAAAGGATTTTACTATGGGCGTCATTGGTACCACCACGTCGATTGCCAAGGAGCTATTGCCTCCAGCGAAAGGAACCGACTGGAATCCCCAAGCCCAGAACAAGTTCTCGAGCTATTTGGGCGAGGTTCTCAACGGCTGGTCCTATGCTTCTGAAAAGTCACTGTTGCGTTTCTTTGACGTCCCAGATGATGCCGCACTTGATCAGCTGTGGGATATGATCAAGAATGGACAACTGAGTGAAGGGAAAATTGACGACAACGTGGTGCGACCGGACAAGCCGACGGCCAGCACAATCCGAGACCAAATTACCAAGACGATTTTTGGTTTTTGGTATTCCGCATCTTTGGCGCTTTTCCAAATCATACGCCTTCATTCTTGACTCCGGTGCCGACTGCAATGCCAACAGGCCAGTGTTGGATTACCTCTCGGATGACACGATGAATAAGGCGGGTGTGTGTGTGAACGGCCGCAGATACTACCTCGTGATGCCTGACAAAGACAAAGCCCGCATATGCTCGGAAGGCGGAGATTGCAACTGGGCCAAGTTCATACTGCCGCCTGGATTCGGCTCTATCAGTGAATATGGTGGAGTGACCAAGGAAGATTTGATCTTTGGGTCTGTCAATACGTGGGTTGCCAATGGCCGCCAAAACGGCGATCCTCTTGCGGGCAGTCCCAATGTCTTCGACTCAAACGTCAAGAAGGACCTGTATGATCTCAACATCAGGATACCAGGATTCATAAAGCTCCCTGTTTGCTCTCCGGAGCGAGCGAGGCAGACTTGGGACAGCAGTGCACACGGTTCCACACCGAATTGGCCCTGTGACGTTCCCCCGGGGCGTGGCTACTGTGGCATGTCCACCTTTGAGGACCGAACCCACGGCGGCTCCCCCTTGATCTCTGATTGTCTCCAAATCATCCGCAACATCGAAGGAGACGGCACTACCGAGTGGAGACACCAGGTGGCCGGCAAGCCGCACCGAGAGATTCTCAGTTTTGGGTCTTGCCGGTTCGGAATCGAGGCAACGCATATAGGATTGAACGTCGATTTCCGGGTGGGCGGGCAGGATGTCATCGACATCATCAACGATTCGGTACAGAAGTTCGGCAAGAACGGGCGAGTGGCTGCCAGAGGCGAGATGGAGTGCTCGGGTAGCAGCAATGGCCAGGGTGTGTTGTGGGGTATTTATGGAGGTACTTAATTGAGGTGGACAGTAGACTCCTTGTTCTTCGGCGGTCACCAGTTTGTTTTCCTTTGTGACATTATTTTCTCGGTACTTCCCTTCAATCCAGCCTTCATCGAGCCTAGATCTATCAATTGTTGTTATGGCTTTTCGAGATGTAATACACCTTTTCGCTATCATATAAGGGCTCTCAAATGTTTTTGAGACTCTGGACTACCTTTCGAAGCACTTGAACTATCTTTTAAAACCTCAAACTATCAACGAGAAGAAGGCCTAAAAATATCACTGAAAGGCGGGAGTGCATCATGTGTCTGAGGTGTGGTCCACGTGAATGATGCGAGAAATAAAGGTTGACAGAGGTCTTACTCCTTTCTATGTGAATGAAGGTATCTGACACGAGAGAGGTGTGGTAGAGCCATAGCAAATGACAGCCAGGAGGTATTACAAGGTAGTGTACATGTCCATTATTCTAACGGTATCAAGAACAAAAGAATAATCCTAATAACAACCTGCACAATTCCAAGACAATCCATTCCCATTCAACATATGTCATAGGTTGTATGGTATATCGTCGCGACGCCCTTGGACGCATCAGACGAAGCCCACGTGGATCCTTAGAGGTGACAAGGTCATGTTGTGTTTGAGCTAGACGGCAAAGAAGATTGAGGGCAAGGAGCGTAAATCACCAACTGCTGATCAGGTTCAGATATGCCGTCCGCATGACAGACTGGCATGCCAATGGTAAAGATCGACACTATTGTCAATGATCTTTGGCGAAGTTGTGGTTGCCAAGACCGCATTGCATTTTGACGCTGTCTCGTCTTGTCTTTCTACCCGTGTCACTCAGACACCTCGGTATGATCTACGCCCAGGCGAGATCCAAATTGCCGTTTCAAGAATGCAGAGGCCATTGTAGGCGCAATCCATATTTTCTTTAAAGATGCCGTGGGTGGCCTATCGGTTCCGACTTTTTCTTTACATCCATCAACAACAGCCGTTCTTCAGTCCTTTCTTTCAGAGTTGATCTCGTACTTCCAGTTCTGGGAACTGTTTCATTCTTTGAACGTACATATCTTTGCATCCAACCGCCAGTCGGTCTTTACCAACCTACCATCCAACATCAATCTCCCAAAATGTACGCCAAGACTCTCCTCGTTGCTTTGTTCGCGGCCTCAACCGCATCCGCTGCCGCTGTTGGCGCTCGCCAGAACCAGAATGGCAATAACGGCGCCAATGCGGGCCCCGACTTTGGGCTTTGCAACCCCAGCATCGACTTCGTCCTCGGTCGCCCCGGTCGTCAGGCGGATGAGGGAACTTTCTTGCCTGTCGATCCTCTTGTGGCTGAAGGCCAGCAGGAGGCGCTGAACCCGAACATCATCACCAATAGGGTCTGCGATCAGCTCACCAACGTTTGCGAGGCAAATGATGCGGCCAAAGCTTTGTGTGAGCAGGCGAAAGCCCAAGTTCAGGCTTTGGGAACCAAGGATGCGACAACCGCGGATGCATTCAACTCTGCTCTGGGATTCTAACAGTTGGCGGAATGTGTTTCAATGCTGGATGGGAAGGGCTCTTGGATGGGATTTGACAACCTTGCTAAGCTTTGTAAATAGCAGAACGTCTGAGGGTGACAGTCAAAAGTCGACCACAAGGTGTCGGGCCCTCGAATTCAGGACATTCCAACTTGCTATTGTTTTTCTTGTTTCCTCGAAGATGCCAACTCAGTGCAGACATTACACACTGCATGGATCGTTACTGCCTTTAAGCCTTCCATGTCCAGGCTGCAATGTCACACTGCCTGCCCACTGCGAGCAAGGTGAAGGAGCAACACCGAGGACCCCACTTCCCACGCCCCAACTTATGATTCACACCTCCACCGACCCTCAAAGTCAAGTGCAGTGGGCGCGACATGGCATCATACCATCATGACATGTTGGATAATACCTCGATGGTGGGGATGGCAAGTGCAACTTCCCCTTAACCATCACCACCAAACCGTCTCCTGTTCCCACTCTCGTACGAAGCCTACCAGCCTTCCTTCCTTCCTTGGGAGTTCTTCCACATCAGGCAGCTGAGTTGACCGGCCGCAATGACGTTTGATAGATTGAGTGGAAGGCACCGGAGGATATTCACCTCGTCGACCTGTCCGTCCCTTCCTCGTGGCATTAGAACCCTACAACAAGATGACAGGACAGGTGTCAGCTTTTTCTCGAAACATTTGACTTGATCCTCTTCCAACACCATCACCAGTTTTGTTTCTTGCACCTGGCCTTGCTCATTGCTACTCTTCAAATACAACACGCTATCTTGTACAGGCACCGACACATTGCCACAAACATGCACACCGTCACCTTTGTTGCAGCCGCTGCTGCTCTGCTTTCTCACGTGGAGGCCTTGAACATCCTTATCACGGTTTGTCATCAACAACCTCACTTATTCATTCCTGACATGCACTAACAGAACTGGCACGCAGAACGCTGACGGATTTGGAACCGCCAGTGTTCGCGAACTCTACCGCCAAATGACTTCCATCGGCCACAATTGTTACGTCGTTGCCTCTGTTGCTGCGCAGACGGGTGCTGGTCTCCATGCCGAATTCACCACCAACCCCCGACTGGACACCGATGGAGATTGGGGTATGTGCTCCCACATAGCTGCTGCTTGAAGACGTGTTGCTGACCCATGTGGTGACATGCAGGTCTCGTGAAAGCTGGCGCACCGTCCCTTGGAACTGATCCGACCGACAACCACATATGGTATTACAATGGCACAGCGACAGCGCAGGTGCTGGTGGCATTGGACTACATATATCCTACCATTTGTCGGCTCGAAGCCCCCGACCTCGTCATCTCGGGTCCCAATTCTGGGTCAAACTCAGGTGCTTTTCTCGAAACTTTGTCCGGGGCCATGGCCGCCACTTACGTTGCTATTGAGCGTGGAATCCCCGCCATGGCATTCTGGACTGGCAACGAAGCCACCGTCTATTCGTCACTCAACACTAGCACCAAAGCTGGGCTCCAGGATCCCGCCACCATCAATGCTCGCCTTGCCTCTAACCTTGTGCAAGCTTTCATCAGCAAGGCAAACGGAGATCGAGTCCTTCCCGAGGGATACGGTGTGACTGTCGACTTGCCCTACATCACATCCGAGACAAGCGATGAATGCACGAACCCCCCTTTTGTTCTGACACGGGCCACCCAGGACGTGGGAGTCAAGGTTGCGTACAACCACAAGAGCGGCGTCTTCAACCGCATGCACACCGATGCTGGCTACAATCAGTTTGAGGCTACCGACACGGTAAGCACCGTTGCGCCCAAGTGCCTCAGTGCTGTTACTGTCTTTTCCCTTGACTACGACGCCAGCCACCGGAGGCAGTGCTTCAACCTGGCAGATGTGACGGCAATCATTCCTGTCTTGGTACACTCCAATGGCACGACACCACTCACGGGAGGATTGGGGGCCAATGCTTCAATCGCGGGCAATAGTAGCTCGCAACCGCCAACTCCTGTGGAGGCCCCACCACCATCGGGACAAACTGCTGTTACTAGCATCGCGACACTGGCTCAATGGTCTGTCAATTTGTTAGTTCTTGGTCTTGTGGTCGGGATGACGCTGTTGTAAGCTACAACAAATGAGAGCGGTGGAATGAGATATGGGCAGTTTTGGGTGGCGATATGAAGTTTTAACACATATGTCGTCGTTTTACCGGTAGGACTTAGATGGGGATAGTTGTTGAAAGATGAGAGTAATGTGGTGTTGAAGTTGTAGGAGAAGTACGCTGAAAGAAATTCTGTTCCAGTTGTGTTTAATCTGACGTTCATTTCCGATTGGCTCTTTGACGTGTTCATGAAATTGACCTGGATTTGATGCGTGCGTGTCATAAGGTACGCTTCCGCTCTTTGACCAGCTTGAATATTGTCGAATATCGGGGGACACCACAAAGGTTTGCATCATGTTATCTATTTTGTTACATATTACTATGCTGTTCAAAGCAACCAAACGCCAGACTATGCAGACTCCAACCGTATCTCCTTACGGCTGGCTCCCCTCCTCCGTTTGAGGCGCTTTGCTTTTTCTGGCATGTTGCCTCACCAGCGTTATCCTACACTTTGATCTCCCTCGTCATGTTCCTTTTCCTATCACCTCTTCTCTGCTCAAAGATCCCGATGAGGCCCGACATTCTTGGGCAGCTGGCTGGGCTCACTTCCGTCCCCGAGGTCGAGCGTCTTGGAGGGCGACCGCTTGGCGTGGGCGGTTGGGTTGTGGCTCGCGATGCGAGTGTTCTTGGGGTCGATCTCGGAGGGTATGTCGGACTGCTTGCGGGTGTGCTTACCGCCCGTGCCGGCGATGGACTCGAGGGACTCAGAGACGTTGAGGTTGGTGGCTGCTGCGTCGTGGCGGGCGCGGGGGCGAGGCTGATTGGAGCCACCGGCTGTCGAGTAGAGGAGTCCGCCGAAGAGGCCGGAGGCGATGACGGCGGGGATGACGCGGTTGCGGGCCATGTTGGACATTTTGAAGGTGTTGGGGTGGTTGGATTGCTAGGTGTGGAACAGGTGGTTTGTGTTGGGGATCGGGTTGATTTGGTTTTTGTATGTCAAAACTTGATGTTAATGAAGAGGTATGTTGCACAACGGTGGTGGGGGATTGGAAAATGATTGGCAAATCAATTGGTATGGGAGCGTTGAGGCGAAGGCGGAAGGGCGCATTTTAAGAAAAGGGGAGGAGTGATGTGCGGTATGCGCCGGTCATGATGACATCAAGAGGTTGGCTCGGCGTTAGTTAGGACTGCAGCTCCACATCATTGCAGTATTTTAACCTTTGAACTTCCCCGCTAATTTAGGATCGCATGCCATAAAAGGCTGCGGGTTAAGAGAGACTCGATTGCCTAGAACGATCCGGCTGTTTGAGGTCGAGATCACGGTTGACACCCGTAGGGGATTTGACGTCACCATTTAGGGTGTGGGGCTCCTGTGCGGGCCGGGTTTCGGTGGGAAGAATGACCGAGCGATTTTTGAATGGTCATTAATTTGTGCTGGAAGGCCCGTTGGCATGTGGAAATTCTGGAACTTTGTTGTCATGAAGAGATGTTGTCTCTATTGTTTTCGTCGATGGATGTTTTTCTTGTTGAGGGTGGGATTGAATGTCAAGGGTTAGGGTACGCGATGGTGTCATCACCCATGTCAAGGGCTGCTCGGACGACGACTTGGCATGGCAAGCGAAGTAAACAAGCTCAGGGGCTGGGTGGGGTTATTCGAAGGAGGCGACCTTCGAGAGTTTTTCTTTTCAATCAACGTGACATGTGTAATGAGAAAAGAGATTGAGACATGCGGTCAATTTAGAGACTTCTACTCTCGTATGGCCAGTATTTTTTGGTAAAAGTCTTTATTCTTAAAGGTGTTTCCCAGTGCCAGACGGAGGTGTTTGGATGGCGGATTGATAGGTATGTGGCGAGCATCACCAAGTTCGCACGCGACGTTTCGTGCCTTTTTATTGGAAATTGAAATGAGATAAAATTCCTACTAACATACTGCTTTCTTCAGGGAGTAAACCTGTCTGATTTCAATCAAACTGCTGCGTCCTATTAGACATCGTCGTGGTCCTATTCACAGGGCAAGGATCCAAAGGTCACTCCTCATAGGCCAGACATGTACGAAGCAGTCCTTCCCATTGCGCTGACAAACGCTTATGTGAGTCCAATGCCGCACGCCCGGATGGCTGGCATTCCCAAAGGGGTGCATGATGCACTCCGCTATTGAATATGGATTGGGTGTGAAACTCGCTCATGAGCAGTGTTCGCAAGTTCATCGCGGATACGCGGTAGCTGCTGATACCGCCTCTACACTGAATAGGACTCTTTGTCAAGTCCGCCCGGCTATAAACCCCATTTCATGCCCGAATGCCGAATCCTTTTGTGCGATAAGTCCAAAATCACCGGCCGAGCACGGAGCTTTCCTATACCATCCGTCAGCCGTCACACATGGCTGTACAAGATGTGATCCAAGATCTGAGACCAACGGGAGGGGCCGTGACAGGTGGCGCAGATAATAGGCTGGGAAGACATATATCGGCCGGGCATATCGCACTTGTTACCGAAGCCGGAGAGTTCTCGGCCTTCAGCATTGATGGCGTGCAGGAGCCGCAGATCTTGTCAATCTGAAACAGCGATCAGCATCCACCCCGCGATATCCGGCAGTTTGGAAAGACTTATTGTGTGTTTATATCGAGGCTGTTATGTGTGATTGATAGATGATTGGGCTTCGACGATTCGAATGTCAAAGTGCCGGTTGTGACGTGGTGATGCACTGATGCTACTGTTGCGTGGTCCCGGACTTTCTCATAATTGGTAAAGGATTGTTGACCGAACCCGACCCAAGGAACGGATGTCCGTGGATGAGGGGGCATATATGTGTTATGCACCCCAGAACAAAATGGTACGTCCGGGTTTGTTTCTTCGATACTTGGCTATTTTCTCTGTTCATCAGCCAACTTCTTCGCATCGACACAATTCATGAATGAACCCATCGCGCCCAGCGTACCACCGAAACGACATTCCAGTATTTCAGCCCTTGTTACCTGAGCGAAAAGTGCGATACTATCTGCAGCAGGCAATCACACAGTCGAGAAGAGAGCGGCAAAGTGGGGTGGCCTGTGGGATACCTAATGGAAGGAAGGCAGGAGGGGAGCATTGGGAGGAAAGGGGGAATAGAAGAGCACAACGGCAAATCATCTGGATGAACAACATCAAACATGGCAACAGCGAGCTTGGAACCTGAATACCTTATCACCCTTTTTACTTCAAGCAGCACCCTCTACGCCATCGCTCACCGTGGCTACCGAATTATTGGCAGCCACAAGTCGACAAAGCGGATAGACGGACCGTCGAGCCTCTTGACTTCCTCCAACACAACGCAACTCACCCCGGACAATTCCTTCGATTTTTTCAACTTTGAGATGGCCCACTCCATCCTCCTGGGCGCTCACCGAAACTGAGATGGAGATTACTGAGGTTCACTCGGAAGAGCCGCGGTGGCCCGTCAACGTCGCAGCCAAGTGTGGCATTGCCGGCAGACATCGCTTCCAAACCCAATCGCGGATGCTCCTCAGCTGCCCCACATCTCGAACCTCATTCCATGACACATCGCCGACGCGTACCGTCCTGTTGTCGCCGGTCACGGTGGAAGCTGTATCGGATTTAGCTTGGAGGTCAGCGGCTGGTGTGACAACTCGCGGACGAACATAGGCTGCCAAATCTTGAGTACAGATATCATACGAGCTACCAAGAATACACGGCATCATTTGATCAAGGACCCTCCATCGACAGTTATTGGTTTCATGGCGTTGGGCTCTCACACCACCTGGCGGATAATAATACATCGGCATTCGGCCTCGGGAGTTCCAATTCGACTGCAACTCTAGGCGAGCCCAGGAAAATACCCGCGGTGGAGGGGAGCTTATCTGACGATCATGACCGTATCCAGTTGAGAGCTTCAGCTCTAGCGACAGATGCAGTACACCTGAGAAGAAGCACAACTTTGCGCCCTTCACCACACTAGTATCAGCATTCGACAGTAGGGCGACGGAATCGGCGTGAGATCTAAATACGACAAACTAGCGTTAAATCGGTTAGCCCCTGAGGAGATCCCTACCATGTACACTACGCCCGCTTACACATAGATCCTGCTCCCAGTCGATATCAGCGCATGGGGGGTACAGGTGCAAGAGGGCAAAACAGCAAGATGGGCGTTGACAACGGGACTGATCCGGTGTACCTCCCACTCAATTCCGCGCAGAGTGAAATCAAGCGAAGAAAAGAGGCCCCTTGTTACGGGAAACGCATCTTATTCCCCTTCTCAGGCATCGCTGCAGCCTCACGCGCCCCCGCAGGATCTCGGTTCCAGGCACAGGGCCCGCGGAGACGCCCGTCTGCGGCGAGGAGGAATATTAGGCCGAGTCGAGTCCTTGTCTGATTGCTTTGGTAGCCAGCCATCCTTCTGCTCCAAAGTTCGGGACACCATCTCCAGAGCAAAGGTCGCTACTACGGAGTACCAGGCCATGAGTTTCGGTTTGCTTTCATTCCAAAAGTTCACCTGCCTGGGCCTCCCTGAACACAGCTGTTGACGCCAGATTTTGGAGACCCCATGTCTAGCGCCGCCGAGCCTCCAGCCGCTGTTCCCGTCCCGAGCAGTGGCTGCCGATCATTCCCGCTCAAAGAGGGACCCCCGTAACCCAAATGGCCCCGCAGAATCAATAACACGTGGGGACAGGCACACTGGCAACCGAAGACAACACCGTAGCATTGGAGTGAAAGCTACGGTACCTCTTCTTTGCCCGACTCAATCGGACGTTTCTGGAAGCAATATTGTCTCGGCATTAGGTGCCAGGACTTTTGTGATTTTTAAGCAATCTGAGACCATTTCACACAGATCACAAAAGCTGTTTGTGATGATGGGCACGCAAAATAGCGGGCCGGGCTCACGCATTCCCCCCCGCACTACAACGGCCGCCAACACAAATAAGCACAAGACCATGAACGGCGGAGCGGATCGGAAGGTGATCGGAATCATCGGATGAAGATGGTATTACGTACAGTGAGGGGAAGCTGGTCTTGATGCTTGTGATACTTATCGGCTGGAGCTGTCAAACTGTCCAATATGTTATGTCTGTACGAAGTGGACGCATGGGCCGTGTCATAATCACTCAACTATCGTGGCGCTATCGCTGTCAACGTCCTTGGCTGCGACTGGCCCATGTCTTGGGGGCGCGCCCTACAACGACCCCCCACTCCGCTATCTTGGCCCCTGGCTTTCGTGTACCTACCCCACCAATTTCAACCTACCACCACCACCACCAACACACCTCGGTGTGTCGCGCGCAGCTTCACGCGGACTTTTCCAAATCTTCTAAGCGGACCAAACAACGACGGCGCTGCCTTCATGTGAGCGGTACGAAGTACATACGACAATGACGACGAAAGATGATATCCCACGACGTCAGGGAGAGCTTATTCCCCTCCTCGGAAAGATGCTATTGTGCTGCTAGGTGTGGATAGCTAGTCGAGAGCAACCCAAGAGGCAGGCAACTGCCGAAAGTCCGAGTTGGGCCAACATGGTGACTTTTGATGCACAGTTCCTGCCTGGCGACTCTGACACGACACCTTGTTCTCACGCCAAAGCAACCCTTCCACCTCCTGTCTTCAACCGCTCTCGTCTCGTGCCCGGTCAATTATCACGTCCGAGGACCATGACCTGGCCGGCATCGGGAAATCTAAAGTCCAAGGCTCGGTCCTGAAGGCCCTGCGTTCTCCGAGCTGCACACCGCACACTAGTGATGCATTTGGGGCGGTAACCATCACGACTTCACCTTGGTCTCTCGAGTTTATTACGCTTTCTAGTCTCCCACGTTCCCCACCGATCCACACAAGGATTGTTGCGCCTAGGAAAGGATTATTTTGGCATCCTTGGGCTCCGCTTTCAACGACCCTTCATCGAATCATTTTTCCCGTCCACAATCCATCAAGAGCATTTCGTCTGATTCCGTACGACGAACCCAATACTTGCCTGCCGTGCCGGGCGCGCCACACCGCGGGCAAGGAACAACTCAAAATGCGCCTCGATTGCGATTGGACGAATGCGGGCACAAGGGGTCAGGGTTCTAATAGACTGGCTTTATTTAGAAGCCAACACGGCTCGGGACCGACTTTGATTCGAGTTTGGTTAGCTTGCCCAGAGCTTCAACACTCCCACCTGCAGGTGCTTCCCACATCCAAGAGGCTTGCTTTGGGTCCATCAGCCTCCAGACGATACGATCTCATACGGCGATTTCGGTTTCGTCAACCACAAGGCCAGGGCTTGTCCTCCACATTGTGGGGTATTGTTGAACACTGCGGCGTAAGGACGGTAAGACTGGTAAGATTGGAGGAGCACGGCACAGCCTGTCTCTTCGTTTCTTGCCCAAGCGCAGATATGATACGAGTCTTGACTACACAGAACCGCGCTGCTGGAGCATTGCAGCGTTGCAGCGTTGCAGCCGTCGAGCCGCAGAAACAAATCAAGTCATCACAAGCGACGACAATAGGGGTCAGCTAAAGTCTGAGCAAACCCAGTGCTCGTCTTTCTGCTCTTGCCCTACAAGCCCCACCCAACTGTACAGTCCGGCACACTCGACTCTCGCCTCGAAACTTAGCATCCGCAATTTGGCGTTCCCCTTACGCCACCTCTTCGATGCGGCGTCTGTTCAAAAGTGCCAGGCGGACAGTTGCATTCTCAGCTTACGATGTAGGTTACACGACTTATCACACCTGCATGGCCTGGGCATCCCAGCACCTCATTCTTGGAGCCTCCTCGGAAGCCATATTACACACTAGCCTGGTTACCGGCCACCATTCACTTCCGCTCCGGGTCCGATTCTGCCGCCAAGTTATTCCAAGCTCTTGCTGCGTTCCTTTCCCAAAGTTCATGTCGCCAGTAGCTTCAACTTGTCCTTTCTTCTTTCCTATTCGTATCCTCTAGGCGCTTGGCCTGAGAACCCTTTCGGCCTGAACCAAGCTTCCAGTCGTCTAGTGCCGACTGTGAGCGTTCTGACGCAGGTGATCCGTCGAACGATATTTCACTCATACCATCAGCTAATAGTTCCACCCTGTACTGCAAGATACAAGTGTTCATAACTTATCACCGAGAAAATGTTGTTATCCCCGCCAAGATAAGCTGTGGCCAATAAGCATTGGTTCCATCTCCAAGGAGGCGAGCGGGATGTCAAATTAATCATCATACCGGTAGGGCAGAAGCGAGGCCTTCGTCGGGAGCTACTCGGAGAGAATGAAACTCAGAACGTGACATCCCTCAAAGAGACGTCGTCGTTGCCGGATATAGCGCTATCCACTCATATTGCGACCCTGACCGGTAACCTGCCCACATCACCCTGGCCAAGTGATCCTTTGGGCATTTCCATGGTCCTTGCGTGGGTAGCCCACTGGGTTGCAGTTCGGTGCCCCCTTTTCAACGCTAGATGACTACGCCGCTGCTGCTCACAATTTACTGGTTTTCAAACATGGACCCCCAATTACCCTGGCAGTGTCATCTATATTGTTTGGTTTATTCGATTCCGGGTTTCCATTCTAGAAACATTCCGTTACTACCAAGATCTTGGGTGCCGCGTGGCTGTTGACTTTAGTCTCTGGGGAAGCGAGAAACCGAAATATCAATCTTGTGCCCTCTTGTGCTTTTGCCCACGCTATGGTACGCATTGCACCGTCCACCCCATCCACAACTGGCCTCCCTTCTGCTTTTCCCCTGCCAAGATGGTTCCTCGATCACGCGGTTGGTGCCCGTTGTCGTACACATGCACAGCCGCCGAAGACGCGGCTGAAGGGTCAAATGTGCATCTCTTGGGCCTCTTCTCCATGCCGTCCCGTTCCTTTTACATGCCTGTTCGTCCAGGGGTATGGAGTGTGGCACAAGGCAGGCAGCGACGTACCTTGTTCACGATCTTTGGGAGAGTATTCCCAGCTTGGGCCAAGCCAATACTTTGATGCAGGATGGTGATTGAAGTTATCACCACTCCCCTTCTTCACACCTCGAGCGATGCTCCGCAAATAGCCATCACGACGCAGATCAACAGCTACGACACCTAAAGCTCCCCACCTCGCTGCCCTCGTTGAGTCCCAAAGAAGTGGAAGGCTTCATGAGACTATCGAATCCTGTGACTTAACATCTGCCCACGTAAAGCCGAAGTGACCCTCTTTGCAGATGCCTCTTTTTGAACGCACACGAACTTGTGCTGCGGTTCAGCTTCAGGCTTACTCACCCCGCCCTTAACATGGGCTTACCCGGCGTGACAGGATGGGGTGTTCGGGTCGCCATAGCCCGATAACCCTGCTGTCAAGCTATCCCCGTTCCTAAGATCATGTCTATCTGTAGCGTAGCTTTCTCACACCCTCACGATACATCCAATACTCTCGGCATGCCGCCCAGACAGCTGGATCCAGGTCATGGGAACTTCGATAGATTGCAGTCTAGCAGGTATCGACATCCATGTGCCGAGCCGCTCACGTCTGCCCCTCGTGCGTCCTACACACGCCTCTACCTAGCGGGTACCCGCGTCTTCCGACGAAGAAGACTAGAGACGCCCTAACTCAGACAATATCCAAAGGAGGAAAGGGGAGGTCATCGAGAATACGAGCACCGAGCACCATCACCCTGGCTGATCACATCTCGAATTATCGACTAAGTCTTTGTACCATCTGATGGATCCTCTATAAGAGTCACCATCTCCGTCCGTTTTGAGTCACCCTTTCTTCTCATCCTCACCAGCTCTCCTCTCCATCCCCTCCTCACCCGGTTCTCCTCTCGGTCTATTCTCTTCAGTTCTTGTTCATGATGAAGTCCTTCTTCAGCGCCGCGGCGCTCCTGCTTGGCCTCGTCGCACCCAGCGCCGTCCTGGCCGCACCTTCTCTCCCGGGCGTGCCCCGTGAGGTCACTCGTGATCTTCTTCGTCCCGTCGAAGAGAGGCAGTCTTCGTGCCACACTGCCGCCAACCGTGCTTGCTGGGCCCCTGGTTTTGATATCAACACGGACTACGAAGTCAGCACTCCCAACACCGGAGTCACACGCACCGTATGCTTTTGCCCCTTTGATGAAGTCATGGTGCCCCTGGTTACTAACAGCCTTATAGTATACTCTGACCTTGACCGAAGTTGACAACTGGCTCGGTCCTGATGGCGTGGTTAAGCAGAAGGTCATGCTTGTCAATGGTGACATCTTTGGTATGTTCACTGCCGTACCATCTGACAAGGGCTATGCTAACAGGTGATTCAGGGCCTACCATTACTGCTAACTGGGGTGATTGGATTCAAGTCAATGTCATCAACAATCTCAGGACTAATGGGTATGTTTCTCACATTGATATTGTTTACTGCCCATGGAACTTGTACTGACTCTTTTCTCGCAGCACCTCTATTCATTGGCACGGTCTCCACCAGAAAGGAACAAACATGCACGATGGTGCCAACGGTGTCACCGAATGCCCTATCCCGCCCAAGGGAGGCAGCCGCATCTACAGGTTCCGCGCTCAGCAATATGGCACCAGTTGGTACCACTCGCATTTCTCGGCCCAATACGGCAACGGCGTCGTTGGCACCATCGTGGTCAATGGTCCTGCTTCGGTTCCCTACGATATCGATCTTGGTGTCTTCCCCATCACCGACTACTACCACAAGCCGGCTGATGTCCTGGTTGAGGAAACCATGAATGGCGGTCCCCCTCCCAGTGACACTGTTCTCTTCAAAGGGCACGGAAAGAATCCCCAGACCGGCGCTGGTAAATTTGCCAATGTCACGCTCACCCCCGGCAAGCGTCATCGTCTCCGCATCATCAACACCTCGACCCACGATCACTTCCAGCTGAAGCTCCAGAATCACACCATGACCATCATTGCCGCCGACATGGTTCCCGTTCAGGCCCAGACTGTTGACAGTCTCTTCCTTGCCGTTGGCCAGCGCTACGATGTCACTATTGACGCCAACAAGAGTGTTGGGAACTATTGGTTCAACGCCACCTTTGGCGGCGGTCTTGCCTGCGGTGCTTCGCTCAATCCTCACCCGGCTGCGGTCTTCCGCTACCAGGGAGCTCCTAACACTCTCCCGACCAACATTGGCACTCCTGCTGCTGATGCCAACTGCATGGACCTCAACAACTTGACACCTGTTGTCTCCCGCAGCGTTCCTACTAGTGGCTTCACTCCCCGCCCTAACAACACTCTACCCGTCTCCTTGACCCTCGGCGGCACACCCCTCTTTGTCTGGAAGGTCAATGGCAGCTCCATTAATGTCGACTGGGACAAACCGATTGTTGACTACGTCATTGCCCAAAACACCAGCTATCCTCCTCAAGCCAACGTCATCACCGTCAACAGCGTCAACCAGTGGACTTACTGGCTCATCGAGAACGACCCTACCGGCCCCTTCAGCATTCCGCACCCGATGCATCTTCACGGTCATGATTTCCTCGTCGTCGGCCGCTCCCCCGACCAACCGGCCGGCGTTCCTCAGACACGCTACCGCTTCAATCCCGCCACTGACATGGCCCTGCTCAAGAGCTCCAACCCGGTCCGTCGCGACGTCGCCATGCTTCCCGCCAACGGATGGCTGCTCATCGCCTTCAAGTCTGACAACCCCGGTGCTTGGCTTTTCCACTGCCACATTGCCTGGCACGTGTCTGGCGGTTTGTCGGTGCAGTATCTCGAGCGCCCCAATGACTTGCGCAACGGTTTCAGCCAGGCGGACAAGAACCAGCACAACAACAACTGCAATGCCTGGAGGGCATACTGGCCTACTAACCCCTTCCCCAAGATCGATTCTGGGTTGAAGGTCAAGAAGTGGGTTGGTGAGCATCCTGATTGGTATATCAAGAACTAAGAGAGCGGCATGCAGAGTGAAAGGTTTGGACAAATATATGCATACATGGGGGAATTGGGAGCATGTCACGGAACTGGGACGGGTGACGGCGGGGGTTTCTTGCTCCATTTTCTTTGCTGTTGTCGAGGTCAATTGGGGAGGGCCTGTACAACACAAGTCTCACTCGAACAATGAGTGTGTTTTCTATTTTCTGTTTTCTTATACCTCTTTCCTTTTTCTCTTCTCTACTCTGGCCAGGGTACATTTTTCAAGGCAGGGATCAGTCAGCACTGGGAATTGGACATGTCAGTCTCTGAACTGACGTCACGGATGGAAGGGAAAGATGAGCTTTGTTATTGGGTAGATAGATACCTAGCATAGCTTTTGACGTGGTGGTTCACGGGATTCATCCCTTCCACCGTTGACAATAAAACCATGGTGCTGTTTGGTTCTTGCTACTTGTCACGTTTCACTGTTGCATATCTGGGACTTGTGTGTGTTGTGGTAAAAGAATAAATTAGGTAGTAAGCATTTCTGGGCTCATGTGTTATAAAAGAAGAAAATTGGTAAAAGGTGATATCCAAAAGCACGGCATCAGACAGTCGTGACAGTCCCAACAACCTAAAGAAAACCACACCCTACTTACCACACTCTATACCTTGATCTGTCCACCCACCATCTCCCACTTCTATGTCAATCAACAATACTCCCTCAGCCTCAACAGCCTATACCCCTCAGCAACCTCACCCACCACCCTCGCCCCCTCCTCCGCAACCTGGATCATCCACCCGCCACTCCCCAACGTCGCCGTCTGAACCTCCCCAAACTTGCCCGCCAACATCTCGACATACGACCCCGACAGGCTGGTGGTATCCATCGCCAGCGCTTGATCCCCCAAATCCCAGCCAACCAGCTTCTCCTTGACAGCCGCGGCATGGTCCTCGAGCCGTTGGAGAAAAGGCTTGAGTTCCTGCTCCATGGAGATGACCTCCATGTTTCCCAGCTTGTCCGCTAACTGGTCCAGCCTACCTGGGCAGAGGAGGGAAGGGTCGATAGTTCCTGGGGGGGATTGTGACAAGGCGCCGAGGGACATGACGGCGAGGCGGATGTGGGAGGCGAGCGTGGTGGTGATGAATTTGGAGAGTTGGGTGACGGCGTGGCGGAGGAGGATGGAATTCTTGATGAGGGTGAAGTAATGGTCGTGTGGGGGTCTGGTGTTGGACTGGTTGGTGATGCCCGGGAAGGGGCAGCGGTAATCGGTTTCGTCGACTGGTTTGAAGGTGAAGGGGAGGTTAGGGGGGATTTGGACTCCGTGGCTCTCCGAGATGTGGATTAGGATTCCCAAGAGGAAGGAGAGGGCGGCGGAGAAGGCGGTGATTTTTCTGGAGACGGATTTGATGTGGGTGCTGAGGTCCTTGAGGGTGGTGCGGAGGGTGTGGAGGTTGTAGGACAAGGTGATGAGGTTGAGGAAGGTGGTCAGCTCGGCTTGGGAGTAGGAGTTGTCCAAGGGGGAGGCCCAGGAGAAGCCGGGGGGGAAGGCGTGGACTACCCATTTGTGAAAGACCTGGTCGACTGCGTAGATTGCGGAGGCTAGCTTGGCAATGGGCCCGCTTTCACGATTGATGAGGGCGGTCATGTTAGCGTTTGGGCAGGTGGTTCCAGTGCCCTGACATCTCGGGCAGCCGAAGTATTCGGGAACAAGGCCTGAAGATATACGCAAGCGGGAATGCCGCTGCCGGCTGATGTGTGGCTGGCATTGGCGGCCTTTGTTGGTGCTGTAATGCAAGTTAGCAGGAGGAATCTCGTTGAGTGTTTTCGTGCCGAAGTCAATACCTCGGCGCTTTCTTTTCTCCGGAATGGGGTCACGAAGACCGTTGGAGATGGTGTTGAGGAAGGTGCTGAGGGTAAGGGGCAATTCTTCGCGCTCGATATCGTCAAGTTGGATCCCGGCTTCCGCGTAGCGGGTGGCTACAAAGGAGCAGAGAGCAACAAAGTATGTGGAATTGGTTGCCATTTTGACCGAGATGACTCACTGTTATCTGAACTAGATGACCTGTGACTGATTAAGGTTGCTCTGTGATTGATCAGATAGATTCAGTGAAGTGTATAATGTATGAATGTCGGTCCGTTACAGAGTCAGGGATTGGGAGCAACTTATATACTGCCAATTCCAATTGGCCGTCCGGTGCGACAAAGCTATTGTCTTCAATCACAATAGACCAGGTGAACAAAGGTGAATAAAGCCCCGCTGCAGCATAGAGTGCCGGGGCCGCTGGATGATGTCATAAATAGCAATCTCTTTTATTGTCCCTCGACTCTTTACTTCTTTTGTTCACAAACGCCACGAGGATTGTTTTCTTCGTCTCGCTTCATCGCCTTCACCCAACTTACACACCAATCCGTCACTCCTACCGCCAAGATGTGCACCTTCACCCTCTGCCACTACGCCTGCAAGGACTGCGGCGCTGCCATCGACTCGCAGGAGATCGACCTCAGGCCTTGCAACAAGCAGCGCAAGAACTGGGACGAGTGCCGCGGCCCCAAGAAGAGAGGCACAACCTACCACTATCTCAAGCCTTCCGAGTGCTTCTACTGCGGCGACACAACCTTCACCGAAGAGGATCTAATGGAGGAGGCCGTGCTGAACATTGACCTCCGCCACCAACCGGCCGACAAGCGGCCTTCGCCAGAGTCGTACAAAGCCAAGGTTACTGTCCACTTCACCAACGATCCTACCTTTGATCCTTGGCATCATTACGCCACCGATAGAGAGATCGCCCTTTTCAAGCCTCTCTTGGACAGCGACAAGGGGCAAGGTGCTGGAGAGCAGGACAGCGACTCCAAAACCAATGTTGACTGCGCCGGCGAGTCCAATGCTTCAGCTGCTTACGATCCGTGGGGACAATACGCCTTCACAGTGGCCGCTGTGAAGAGCAAGGGAGAGAACTAGAGAATCACAGAGTGATGAAGCAACGTGGAAGGGTACATAAAGGGTCACCAAAAGCTTCGGCAATCGCATTGGTATGTTTACGTTTCGGCCATCTGGATCCGGTCACGTTCTCAAGCTCACCACTCGAATGACAGGTACATATGGGATCCGCAACATAGGCGCACCATCAAAGCCATGGCTTGGACCCAAAATCAACCTTGGTGTATAGCGGCGTGGCCTTTCGTATCTTAGACACCCAATCGCTTTCCTGGTAGGTTGCTATATTCTGTCTATACGCTTGGAGGTGAGACATTGCTAACTCATGTTAGGCTGGAGTTTATCTCAGTTGCTCTTGCTGTGGTTAGATACTGGCTCTTCTCTCGACATCAAATGTTGATAACAACCATGGGCTGATTCCAGTTTTTGGAGAGAAAGGGAGAAAACATTCACTCTGACCAAGGCCGGAATAAGACGGTTGGTAACCCATTTTATTTTATTAACGAGTCTATCAAACCCCTCATGCTACATGTAAATCCCCGGAAGCTCCGGATTGTGAACGAGGTAATCAACGCGCTCAACACTTGGCAACATGTGGTGGTCAAGGTCATCAGGGCCGCCAGGTGCAGTTTGTGATAGATGTTCCGAATATCTTAGGCGAACTCGTTATGCTTTTGCACCATGAGCACTATTTGCGCCCTGTACTCCTCAACCCTTGCATACCGCATCAAATGGTGACATAGCTTTCTGTGAAGCATGCCCTTTTTTCTCTCGAGATGGGCGGCAGTGTTGAATAAAGTGGATCGATCATCGAAACTAGTATCTTTCCAACCCATTGGACAAATTCAGATGAATGTTCCATCCTTTGGTGTCTATCTGACGCTCAGTCTGGGTGTGAGAGAAGAGAGCCGAACTCATGAAAGCGGACTGCGGCAAGGGTACAAAGCTTTTGGATTCCACACAGGATATACATCTACGGTGAGATCCAAAGGCCCTCTCTGATACGGTCCGGGGAAAGTCCACGATTAGGATAACCCGAACCCGTGAGACGCTCACTGATGTCGGGAGTCGTGAAAGCAGTGGGCAGCTCGGTCTGATCAAAACCATGGAGTAATTGGTCCTTTGTGAGGAGCGTGGAGCAGCTATTGTCATCGCGATTGACATCACCGTCGCCTTTGGTCGTGTGTTGATAGGTCGAATATTCTCCAGTGTAGATGAACTCCACGAGATGGTCAATCATCCAAGGGGCGTGAGTCGACATGTCGATGGTGTTGTCTTGTGCTTCCTGGATGACAATTCTTGTCAGAAGCTTCAACAACACCCTTCACAGCTTCTACAACTTACCTTCCAGTCTCCAGCCAACGCCTTTTCAAACAGCGGACAAGCGCGATAGACGATTGCTTGGTGCACCTTCCAGCTTTGGGTGCCACAGGAGATGGTCATATCGGAGTACCTGTCTGAAGTCAAAAGACCCTTCATCCTCGAGACAACCAGTCATCATCATCATCATCATCATCATCATCATCATCATCATCATCATCTAGCTTCTCGTCAGACTTTTCGAGAGTACATTTACCTATACAGTCACACCCGACAATATCTTGGGGCTCTGTCCGTATTAGTCTTAGAAGGTGAGCAAAAGGTGAGCGTAGATAGCATTACCCTAAGCTAAAGTATGCCTAAGGACAGTTCGGCTATACTTACCGTAACTAAAATTAATTATAACCTCCGTTTTCTCCATACGCGTGTGCACAGATAAGCCAACAAGTAGGTCAAACAGTGTGAGCGGCGCAGGGCGCGCTTAGCTAATCGTTATATTAGATAGGAAGTAGCTAATCAGGATATAATCAGGGTGTGACGAGCCCCTATCCAGAACCTCTGAAAGGGATACTGGTTGAGGGCATTTCTGAACAATCCTGGTTCGGTACAGCTAAACAGTGTACAACAATGGCTTGTCTCGATCACAACAGTCTAGATACCAACGATTGTGACTATTGCATACTGCGAAACTGCCTATCTACACCAGCCAGTTCCTACGTATATATAGACCTGGGAAACGTGGACCGTTAACTTACAGACGCTCCTCGGTCCACTCCTTATTGGCCGATACTGGACCGTGGGCCGTGATCCCCGCCGCGGTCCCCGGTCCCAATCTTACTGGTCCGTTTGTCTACCTGGACCGTGAGCCCCGCTCGATCGCCCGGTCCAGCCCTGATTGGTTCCTTGTGTCCCCACTGTCTTCCAAAACCGTGACATATAGGCGGTAAAATCGAAAAAGTAAAGTTAATAACGTTAGTAGAAATATTAAAGGTTAATAAATACGCCTATTATAATAACGTAGAGAAAGGTAAAAAAAAGGCGGCACCGGTGGAATTTCGAAAATACCGGCCGGTGCCGTGATATTTATATTTTTGTATTTCAAAACGAATGTACGGCCGCGAACTGTGATCCATTAAGATTCACATTAACTGTCTGGAAAGTAAATGGAAAACGCAACGCAACGTGTAGATTATAGAACAATTATTAAATTTTGTATAGCTACGCTAACACTGCTTCAGTCCTTCGTCTTCCTGCTTACCGTCGTAAAACTACCCAAATCCTGTCCAATTTTTCCTTCAGTCGATCCCCTTGCAGAGTTGATAAGAGCAAGACTAGAATCACAACTGGCAGTGCAGTAGCAAAATATACCCAAAAGCTCTTGTGTCCTGGAGAGTAATCTTCTGACATGCTGAAAAGGCTGGCGACCCAAGACAGCGGCACAAACACCAGCGCAATAAAAGTGAGCCGGCTAATGTTGGCAGCCTCTTGTATCGACCGCCGCGAGTCGAGCAGCTGTACCATCGATGTTGCTACTGGGACCGTAAGCTCGAGCGAGCGGCTGTAATGCTCTAGCTGTGACGATACATGCTTGATATCTTTCAGTATAAAATCCCACGGCTGCTTGTTGGATTCCTGTTGTAACCAATAATCGATGAACTCAGAGAGAAGAGTTAGTTTGTGTCGGCTTTGCATGCTCCGCCGCCGCCAACGTTGAAGGTCGATAATATCGCTATCGTGCAGTCGATTCTCGATGTCGTGCAGAGTATATTCATAATATTTCAAGTAACGACTCGTCAGGAGCGTGTAAAGAATCCACTCAGCTAAGACCATGCGTATCGGGTAGTAGCCAAGGCTCAAGATGCTAGGCTCGGCTATCATGAACCCAGGTGGTTGGTGGCGGAAGTAGCGGAGCAGGTTGCTGAGCATCGACTTCTTATCTGGTAAACGATCGCTCGTGGTAGATCCGAAAGACGCGAAAGACGTCGGTTGCTCAAATTCCTCGAATCCTCCATGCAACATCATACTTGGATATGACTTTCGGCCGCCTAACCTCAACGTCTCAAGAACCATATTTACAGGGGGATCCACCAGGATTAGGCCTACTATTGTTAGAGATGCCGTCAAGATGCACCGAATATCTGAGCAAGACTTACAAATCCATATGCTTTTGATCTTTTTCACTAGAATAGAACAGCACGCTCGAGCCAAAGCAAGCTGTCGGCCTGATAGATGCGGTAGGCGTCTAACATTTCGAGGAACGTTGGAGTCCGATTTCAGACTGTACGAAGATGTGAACACGTCTGCGCTTCCCAGGTCCAATACCTGCTGATAGTGGAGATGGAGATAGCCATTCTCAGCAATCTGGGATGGAAATAACGCAAGTGAAGGGGGAGGTGGTGCTTTTTCGATGTCTTTGAAGTCGGTGGTGACGTGGCCGGCAAAGAAGATTGGATCCACATCCAAAATCTCGCCGAGAAAACTGACCAGATGGGGTTGAATGTTTTCAACGAGCACAATCCGGGCAGCGGTTGTAGAGGTGGCACCCATCAGCCTGGCCAGATCAACCTCGGATACCGTTAGAGGATTCGGTACCGATTGTCCGTCCCGGGAGTAGTCGAGAGTAACGATGGTACTGGCAGCTCCAGGCCCACATCTCAAATAGTCGGCTAATCCAGTGACGCAAGGGTTGGTTTGACATCGAGATCGGACAAAATCTCTGTATGATCCTTTTTCGTAGTTCATCCTCCTCGTCCAACCTGTATAAGGATAGCGATCTGAAGGAGAGGGAAGAAGTGTGCGTAAGAACCAGCTTGAGGTTTGTAGATACCCGTTACAAGTTCATAAGCGTTGAAGTCTCCAAACCTCAGATTGCAGTTCTGTTAAGAACTCTCAGTGTCCAACGATTGAGACTAATGCACCTTGTTCGACTGCCTTATGTAGTGCCATATGCATGTCGCTAATATCACGTGCAGCTTGAAGTTGTGGCGCAGTAGGCCCTCCGCCCTCGGCTGCCTTGCAAAGTGCCTCGTTGCAGGCTGGCCATGTGCGTCGCGTAGCACGGCATGATTCAAACCCAGCACAGGCCTTATCTTCGTCGTGTGGGCACGGTGTGATTCGCTCATGTAGGCCGATAGACACAGGTAGCTGCAGGAATTGCAGCATTAGCTTGATGCCCAATGCAATGGCGGAACAGCTGCCTGGCTCCTTGTCGTCGCTCCAGGAGCCTTTGACTGCAAATTATCTCCCTTATCCAACTTCTGTACTGCCTACCTACGAGTTCGTCAACCTTTGAGACAAGGCCCGATCGCAGTTTGAACACTGCCCTTCGCACCCTCTGCTAGTGTATTTACTGCTTCCTTTCTATTTATCCTGCCTGTACAGGCGGCTATGCGAGCCCCATCACCTCCACGATCAGCACTTCATTTGGTCGATTGGTAGAACACTACGCCGCCAGCATACCATGGATGCACATTCGCAAGCTCCGCCTCAAGCCGGTGACGGTGATGCTCCAAATCAATCACTACGGGTGAAAATCAATCAATTGACCGAGGGGCCTGTTAGCCCAGATCCTAAAAGCGCTTTCGTCAACCACGTCTGGCCTAAATTGCTAAATGAGTACGACGCTATGAGGGAGAGACTGGAGGAATTTTGCAAAAGTGCTCTCGAGCGCAGAGCTATTGACTGCCAAGTCAAAAGCAGAACTAAGCAGGTCGATTCAATCAGAAAGTCACTCGATCGGCGCGAGAAAGCGCTCTTGGATCGCAGCCAAAAGCAATTCGAGAGCTTCTCTGACATATTGATTAACATTCATGATCTTGTCGGACTCAGGATCATCCTCGAATTTGCTGACGATATGGAGAGAGCCGTTTGCTTCATCAACGAAAGTTTTCGGAAGGAAGAGGAGCCAGTTATTTTCGTCCGTGACCGTGAGGTTGGCCGGTCCTGGAAAACACGGTTCGGTGCCTACGAGACTCGCAACTATCGCGTCAGCTTGGAAAAAGCGAAATGCGGAGCCCTTTCTCAGTTCTGCGACGTGATGTTCGAGATACAAGTCACGACTATCGCGGAAGATCTTTACAACAAGCTTGCACACCCGCTCTTGTACAAGGGTTCATCTCTTACTCGCCAGGATGAGATCGTGATAGACATGGCGCATGGCAACGCTCTTTGTTATGCGCTCTGCTTGGCTTACATGGAGGATAAACTGAAGAAGCGCGCAAATAATATTGGGGGTAGAGCTGAGTTGGCAACGGCAACCGAAGAAATTGCAAGAGATGGCACTAGGTTCAGGAAGAGTTTGACGAAAGGGGCGTCTTTTGACACCCCCGTCTCCCCACACGGTCTTCTGGAAGCGCTTGAGATTCCGCCGGAGGGATATAACTCCATTGACGATCTTAAACAGTGGATTAACAGGAAGTTGACGTATGGTCTACCCCCAATTCCGAGTTCTAAGGTTTCTAACTATCAGTAGTGGTGTGCTTGACGAGATACGCTCGAATTCACAGACGATCCGCGATGCCATCCTTTCCAAGCTCCCCATTGTGAACGGTGCTACCTTTGACTCCCACACGGACGAGCACGACGCGCGATGTCACCCTGATACCCGAGTTGGCCTCCAGCGGGACATAATGGCATGGGCGGACGATCCGCAGGGCGAATGCATCTTCTGGCTAAACGGCATGGCAGGAACTGGGAAGTCCACCATATCACGTACAGTCGCGCAATTGTTTGCGGACCAAAATCTTCTCGGTGCCAGCTTCTTCTTTAAGAGAGGCGAGAAAGACCGGAGCAATGCCGCCCTGCTGTTTACAACTATTGCGACTCAGCTTATTGTCAAAGAGCCTAGTTTGGTATCGTATATTAAGGCTGCTATTGAGGCTGACCCTTACGTCACGAGCAAAAGGTTGGAGGAGCAGTTTAAGAAGCTGATCCTAAAGCCGTTGGAAAACCTAAAGGGCAGTTTGGACGATATCAAGACAATTGTCCTGGTGATTGATGCCCTTGATGAGTGCGAACGGGACGATGATATCAGGGTTATCATTTCCCTGTTGTCACAAGCAAAGAGTCTGATTTCCGTACGGCTAAGAGCTTTCCTCACAAGCCGGCCTGAGTTGCCAATCCGACTTGGCTTCAATAAGATCAAGGGAAAATACCAGGATCTAGTCTTGCATGAAATCCCAGAGTCAATTATCGAGCACGACATCACTACATATCTGGACTCTGAGCTTACAAAAATCCGAAACGACTATAATGATCTGTCTCCTGGTGGCCGGCAACTTCCGCACGATTGGCCTGGTCCCCAGATTGTCCAAGACTTGGTCAAGATGGCCGTTCCCCTCTTTATCTTTGCAGCTACTGTTTGCCGTTTTATCCGGGACCCAGCATGGTGTGATCCCGGTGACCAATTAGCAAAGATCCTGGAATATCAGTCAGGAACACAGCAATCCGAGATCGACAAGCTAGACGCAACATATCGCCCAGTCCTTGATCGGTTGCTTGTCGGTTCCGAGGAATCTAAGAGATCCCTTCTTTATGAATTCCGGATGGTCGTGGGCCCGATTGTGCTTTTAGCCGAACCACTCCCGACGTGCTCTTTAGCCCGACTTCTTGGGATACAAGAGAAGGTCGTTATTCGCAGACTTGAACCACTTCACTCCGTCCTTAGCGTACCGGACTCTCCTACATCCCCGGTTAGGATGTTTCATTTGTCATTCCATGACTTTCTCGTTGATCCCAACAAACAGGGCACCAACTCGTTCTGGATAGACAGGTGTGCAACCCACGAAAAAATTGCGATTAGATGCTTGGAGCTTCTTTCTGGTTACTTGAAGAAGGACATCTGCGATCTGAGAATGCCTGGAACAGCTCGTGCCGACATTGAGTCGTCAGTCATCGACTCACATTTGCCATCAGATGTCCGGTATGCGTGCCTATATTGGGTCTATCACGTTCAGCAAAGCAGTTCTCGTATAAGCGATAACCATCAAGTATATACCTTCCTCGAACGTCATTTCCTCCACTGGCTGGAAGCTCTAAGTCTCCTTGGGAAAGTATCTACAAGTGTTGGAATGATTAGGGATTTACAGGGTCTCCTTAGTGTAAGGCGTACTAAAGTAGATTTATAAATATTCGCTAACACGAAATATATAGCCCGGTATTAGTTCCACGATCTCCGCGTTTTTACACGATGCAACACGATTTATTCTTAACTTCCGCCAGATTATCGACATTTGCCCCCTTCAGACTTATACTTCCGCAATTATTTTTGCGCCAATGAAAAGCATAATCAGGGGAATATTCTGTGGTTATATTCCTGAATGGATTCCAGTATTGCCAATAGTTGACTTAGAGTGGAACGCGTGTCTGCAGACCCTTGAGGGGCATAGCGATTCTGTTACAGCGGTAGCGTTCTCGCCGGATGGTGCCACACTGGCGTCAGCTTCATACGATGCGACGGTACGGCTCTGGGATGTGGCGACCGGCGAGCACCGGCGGACCCTCAGGGGGCATAGCACTTTTAATCGTCTATCGTTTTTGGATAATGACAACCTTGAAACAAATCGAGGATTGCTGAGGATAACCCCGAGTTCAGCAAATAACTTTACCGACCAAGAACCGGGCAGCGGTCTTCTCTTTGTCAGTGATAAGTGGATTACACGAGATGGGAAGAACCTTGTCTGGCTTCCTCCTAACTATCGGCCAACATGTACAGCTGTATACAATTGTACCATCGCCCTAGGATATGCTTCTGGCCAGGTTTTGCTCTTTCGATTTGCTTTTAATGGGAAGGGTGGACGTCATAGTGTCTTATAACATTATATGTTTCAATATTTTGGCTTAAGTGAAGGGTTTCGGCGACGTTGTTGCTTTAGAATATTTTGTTTTTTCGCTACATATATAGTTTAAATCTACTACTATAAATAATTCGACGTTATTGTGGTCGAACTACATTAAGCAGCAGAAGATTACATTGTACAACGCAGCAGATATTCGCTTTAACAGGTTTAGACCTTTCTCTCCATCGCACTGTGGGACAAATTATATAAACATATGGCTGGTCTATTTACCTGGTGGCTACGGTGTCGTACATTTGACAGGCTGTCAACACGCAAACGCCGGCAAATGTCAGCACTATTGGCAATTCATTTGGTACCTCGATGCTCCTCAAGTACGGCTGGTCCGTGGCCAAACACTTCAAAGAGTGCAAGAGCGGACGCCGGTTTCGCTCTTAGCTATAAATCCAAATCTTAAATATAACTCTTATTTCCTGGGGAAGCTGCGGACTCTGCTTGACGGGCTGTGGAGGGGAAGAAAGTGTGGACTTTTCCTTGGTAGGTGGCAAGGAAGTGCGTTTTCTGGAGCGCAAGTGTGCGTTTTTTAGAGAGCAAGGGTATGCGTCTCTTCGTGAGATCTGACGACTTAATAATTCGCTCCCCCTACTTTTTTTCGCTGAACGTGAGTGATCCGGGAGCCGTCAACGAGATCCTCGTCTGGTGTTGGGGCGAGCATATTAGCCCCCCTCTAAAATTATCATCGTACTGCTCTGAACCTGACTCCACTATACAACGCTATTTCCCCTCCTCGTTTTTGTGGGAAGTAGGAATAATCATTATCCTCGCCCGCTTTTTAGCTAACCGAGATAATAGTTCTATTACCGTTCGTCTCTTATATTGAGTTATAGTACTGATATGGGATACCCGCTACATCACCTTTAATAACGCCCTCTTCTTTATCAGCTTCGAAATCGTTTTGCTGGCCGCATTAGTTTGGATATAGATATATATTAAGGCTTTCCAGACCTTATTGCGAGTTATAAAGTCGTCGGTGCCAAATTCATAATTAGCTCCACGAAACGGTGGGCCGAATAGTGTTAGTCAGGTTATGTCGAGCTGATAATAGGATGAGAATCGAGTGCGAGCGAGTAGGAAGTGTATATGCTGGATAGGTGAGCGAAGGGAGATGATAAACTAGGATGAAAGGAGATATGCCAAGCTTGCGATTGAATAGCACATATTTGAGTAGGGGCTAATTGGTACCTTCACTTGTCATTGCGCTATGAGAAACATCACGTAGGCGCCCAGCTGCCTTAGTCAGCATCTCCAATGATAGTAATAATAATAATTTATTAACGCCCGGCGGCTAAGCCGAAAGGGCAACTATTACCGATTAAAACATACATTTCCCAAAATATACCCTAATCTCCTTAAAGCCCATGCAAATTTCATTCTAGCTTATGTACTCTGTTTTATCATTTCTCTACGGATTCTCATCAATTAGTAAGATTGTTAGTAGGCTGGCTTGAAGTTGGTTCTTTAAGTGTTTAACGTCCTATCTTCGGCGGCTGAAGCAGTACCTGCTGTCCGTGGCACGAGGTGATAGGTTTAGGGTCGGTGGAGAGTGGTGGTTGGCCGGACAGGTATTTTAGTCGGCCCGTGGTCATTGCGAACCGAATCGTTGCCCAAACGGCCTCGACATTCGGAGTCCAGTCTTCGTCATCCGATGACAATTTCCCTCCCAGATAGAACGAAACACTGCCTCTGTGGGTATGCTCCATCGTTTCGTTCTCTTACACCTTAGCTTCTCAGCCCCTTACCGCCGGTATCCCAAAAGCCGTCCAGATCTTACAGGATTATAGCATATCGCCCCGATATCAAAGATCCCAAGACCCGAGATTTGTGGCTGGGCCAGAGGGAGCAAAATAGCTATATACCTGAGGTGGCTGACCTGGGCTGTGCCCACAGTGATGAGCCAAGTCCAGTACAAACGCGCACGGACATCCAAGCGCGATCCAGCTGTTTAGCTGAATCCTCAGCAAAACGGATTCCTTGCGATGGCAAATAGATAATCATGATTTCGGCTACAGAGATTGGAATAGTAAGTGTCCAGAAATGTAAAGAGCTATACTTTATAATTCCGCCTAGGAGCTTAAAATAACAAGCTCGATGTACCGACGTACCTACATCTTTTTACCGCCCGTTGTATTTTCGGTTTTTATTTTCTTTGACGCTTACATACTTTAGGTTTATTGGAAGACTGAGGGGTGTGAGTGTAGAAGAGAGGGAGAGGAATCTTCCTCAGCTTTTGGCAGTATGACATCCGAAATCTGCGTTGGATTTCCCTGGAAATGACAGTCTGGGTGCATAACCTATTACGTCCTCCTGCCCATCACTAAACGCATTTCCATTCTCTAAACCTCATCCCACATCACCTTCATGGTAACAGGGAAAGGCGTCAAAGCACCCCAGTCCTCCCTGAGGTAATCCACCCCGTTCCCATCCGCCCTCGGCACCTTCTTTAGCTCTCCCTGCGGACCAGGCGCGCGCCGGACATTCTTCCTCTTGAACAGAGCACGGAACATCTCTGTGAGGGCAATCTGGCTGATCTCCTTGCCCAGAAAGGCATGGGGACCGGCGTCAAAGTGGATGTACTTGTCCAGTGGACGGCGGGGGTTGACGGTTTCTGGCTCAGGGAAGTAAGCTGCGTCGCGGGAGGCGGTTGACTAGAAACAAGAGAGGTTAGTATTGGAGGGGACAAAAAGGGTAAAAGAGGGGCATACAGAGTTGATGGTAACCTTGCTGCCGGGCTGGATTTGCAGCTCCGTGCCATTGGACGCCGTGACAGTGCCGGCGGTTGTGGCTTCAAAGTGAGACCGAGCTGAACCTGACAGGCGGATGCCTTCCAGGACGTAACCCAAGAGGAGAGCGTCGTTTTGGGAAGATGAAGGCTGGGAGGCAATGGCGGTAATGTCCGCTACGTGCGCGGCACCCTCGGGGGAGAGGTAGTAATCCACTGCTTGGGTGAACAGCTCCCCTTGGCTCGAGGCGAGGGCCGCAGCGGTGGGGAGGACATGGTTCCAAGTGATGTCGTGCGTGGCCAAACCGGCCTTCTTAAGCTCCTTGATAAAGTTGACGCCGAAGGTGTTGAGGACGCTGTTCTTGGCTGCCTTGGGGCTCTTGACCGTCTTGTCGACGAGGGTGCCGAGCTGACCAGCCACCGTCTTGGCTGCTTCCACCACGGGGAAGAGCTTAACAGGCTCCGAGTCGACGAAGAGGGCAGAGGCGATAATCTGGAGGACGGCGTAAAGCTCGTGCTCGGTGTAGATGCCCTTTCTGTTTTCCTTGGTTGTCAACGGAAGGCCGAAGACACTGGCGGCAAAGTGGGTTGGCACGATATTGGCAATGTCGCGGACAAGGTCAGCAAACTTGCTGCCGGGTACCAAAGTGTAGCTTTTGGTGGTGAGCAGTTTGTCGGTCAAGCTCTCGTAGAAGGCCTTGATCTGGGTGCCCAGCTCAGGGGTGAACAGCGACCGAGATGCAGTGGTGCGGTGCCTGTCGTGGACAGCAGCATCGCCAGAAAGCTCAGGGCTCGCCTTGGCGCGGATGCCAGCGACACCAGCATTCCAGGTGCTCTTGAACTTGTCCTCAGCAGCAAAGATGCGCTGGGCACCATCGTACGAGGTGACCTCGGTGGGTGTGGCGATCCTGCCTGGCCGGGAGAAGTCAAAGAGATGAGCGCGCTTGAGGTCCTTGAGAATCTTGCTGTTCTCCGACGGGGTCACCATGGGGTAGTGCGCGTAGACCGAGTTGTACTTGAAGTGGTTGGGGAAAGCCCGGAGGAAGAGCTTGTAAAAGACGCAACCGTGGTTGATGTTCAAGTCATACTGAACTTCGTTGAAACCCCAGTTGGTGAGGTTTCGTGGCGTGTAGTCGATGGTGTAGTGGCGGTCACCTCTCACCAGACACACAGCATCCGACAAGACGACACGGGAGATGGTGTAGGTAGGCGCAATGCCGACACCAGGAACCATGGGCTCCTTCCTCTCCTCCGCCACGAGACCAGGGTACAGCTCCACAAAGTCGGGGTGATCATACAGGCGACGAAGAGACTCAGCAACACCCGGGTCGGAGTTGATGTCCTCGAACTTCTCGTAGGGCTTCAGGCCGAAGTGCTTGCGGAATTCGTTCAAGCCAGCAACATTCCATCTGCGGCCTTGAATGATCCCGAGAATCTCAACCGCCCGCATCGACTCGGGCACGTTTCGGGCGCCAAAAGATCCAGCGGGGTCCTCAATGGCGTCTGAGATGCAGTTGACAAGGTCATCGTCGTTGAACTTGCCATCCGGCCCTCTCTGGAACTTGTTGAAGGGACGCTCCGCAGGGTCATCTGGGATCATGCCCTCGAACTTGCCGAAGCCCATGATGAGCTCATGAATAGAGAGGTCCTTGCCCGGCTTCTTGAAGAGATCATAGTAGAAATCCTGAATCCACTTGTCATCCTTGGCCGAGATGCACGAGTGCCAGCGGTAGCAGAGGTTGAACTCGGCCGAGCACACGTTGCCGGTACCACGCTCGGCACCCTCCTTGGTGTCAACGTTTATGCCAGTCTCGACACGGGGGTCAAGAGTCCAGGTGGTATCAACACGGTTGAGGTTGACAATGTTTCGGACGTAATCCAGCAGTGTGATGTTGATGTACAGACCAGAGGTGATCAACCGAGCATGCTGGAACAGGTCATTGTCGTACTTCTTCCACGCAGCCTCCTTCTTCTCGCCCTCAAGGTTGGGGCTGGGGGGAGAAAACCTGCCATCCTCGTTGATGCGGGCCAAGTTCTCAGCCACATGGTTGTGGACGCGGTTGAACATGATCAAAAACACACCGACACCGGGTGGCATGCCCAGGAGGCGCTTGTCAGCAAAGCAGTCAGGCTTGATCTTGCCGTCCTTGAAGGTGCGGATGGTGTCCTGCATGTCCTGGTTGCTGCCGTACAGAGGAGACAGGTCCAGGTACGAAGAGGTCTTGGACTTGCTCATGTCCCTGTAGTCTGTCCAGAACAGATCTGCACAGTGCGTTAGTGATTATGTCGACAACCGGCAGCTGACAGGAACACCTACCGTGAATGATGATACTGGCCCAGTACCATAGAATGCTAGAGACATTGTTCGGATGTTCTGTGTACTCCGTCCGCTTCATGACTGACTCGAAGATGAGATTGGGGTCTGGAAGAGCGCCCTGCCGAACGACATTGGCAGCCACCGATCTGGAGTACGAAGTGCCAGCGGCACCAAGCTGGGGAAACATAACATTCTGGAAAGGCGTCAGCATGAGGATGAGCAATCGAGTGATATGACAAACCCAAACTCACATTATATGACCCATCAGCCTGGCGATACTGGAACTTCTCACCCACATACATCGAAGGGGGATGCTCAAGGGTGTACCACAGCTCGCTCAAAAACGAGTTGGTGAGCTCTGTGCGTGTCTTGGAGTTGCTAGGCAAGTTGGACACAAGCTGGATGACCTTTTCCATGGCCATAGTCTTGTCATCCTTGATCTTCTCGCCCTTGACCTTGGCCTTGACCACACCAAGAAGGGTCTTGTAGTCTGTCTCGAGGTCAGTAACGGTGTTCCGACCGGACCAGTCACCACATCATCACATGACACTTACCAGCAAGCCGCAGTTGCTTGACATCGTCTCTGAGTTTGCCCCATTTCTTCGATCGGCTGAATGTGTCGGCGCCATGCTGATTTGGCAACGGAGCAACTGATGACTGCATCACTTGGCCATACCGCTCAAAGGCATTGGCAACGCCAGCTCTGTTTGCACCCGTGGGCTTCAAGTCAAGAGGAGTAGGCCTTGGCTTTGCTTGACTGGCGACAAGTTCCATTCCCTCGCGTGATTGGTGGGCAGACGAGCTCCCGTGGCTCGAGCTTGAGCCATTGAGAGCAGTAACTCCCGTGCCGTTCGAGGCCTTGTGCCCGTTGCCGTTGTAATCTGACATGATGAAAGCTTGTAAGGGGTATAATGGGTATAAAATGAAACAACAAAAGTACTAGATGGGATTGATAACAATGGTAGCTTTCCCAAACGTCATGAGGAGATGTGAGATGAAGCAATGGAAGCACAGAGTGCTGCAGACAGGCCGGTTAAGAAGGGATGTCGAGAGCTCGAGGAGAGGCCCGGTCTCCCTGAGCTCGTGAGACTGTGTTGTGTGATGTCACCCTAGCTGGGATCGACCCGCCCCCCCATGCCGCCTCTCGCGCACTTTTTTTGTCTTGGAGATCGAATGGTTGGAAAAGGGAAAATCTTCAGGTGAGACAAACCCCGCCGGGCTTGCTTGGTGGCTTGACTTGAACAACAGGGGAGCTATCTGGCCAACCTATTCAGGTGCACAGCACTCGGGTGCTCGCCGAATTCAGAGTGGCTTGAAGGGGTTCAACCCAGACGCGGACATCAACCTTGCAGCACGAGAGACCCTTAACGAAGCACCGCATATCAAAGTACTACACTACCTACATGGTTATTGCTGTGCGGACCGACGTGTCGGCCAGGGGAACGGTAGCTCTTGGGCCCAGGCGGTGACAGCAAATGGCTGAGGAACTTTGACCTCTGCCGATGGACCGCGGAATACAATTACTAATAGTTGGTGGACATTGATGGCCGATGAGTGGTGGATAGGGGAAGGCAGGCCATGCCACTGGAGCATGCAGGTCTGTCAAGTGAGGTCGTCGAAATGGCTGCAGGGTTGTGCATCTGCCAATTACCGACGAGGGTGACCTTGTGGGACGGCGGGTCACTGTGGTCGATCAAGACGCTACCCAAGCCCGCTACAAGGTGATTATCGCTGTCCAAGACGGTTTAGCGTCGAGCCCAAGACACCATGATCCGCTAAGATCGCCGTACCGTTCCTCCTCCCGGGAACGATCCGAGCACCCAGGGTGCGGGCCGGGATTGAAAAAGCTTTTAGTATCGATCTGGTGCATGGAGAGGCTGAAACCCAGCCAATGATAGCCGTCTGCTTCGGCTTGAAGACCGCAATTGCCGCCGTGGTTCGGCGTCCTGACTTCCCCATCCGGCCCCCTTGCGCAGACCGCATAGCAGCTGAAGGCCGGGGTCATTGCTGCACTCTAACTACCCATCTCGTCGTGATAGGCCATCAAGAACCGCTACCCACGGACTAATGCCCGACCTGCCATCCTTCTGCCACATCGACCAATGGCAAATGAGCCGACAACCGGCATCGTGGACATCAGTGCCTCCTTTTTTGATAGGACGACTGGTTTCTCCTCGCAGAGTGTCTCACCTCTCACAGCGATCGGCATCAGTGCGTCGGGGAAAAAGATTGGGAGGTTCAAAGAGTCATGAAGGGAGGTGAATGTGTCAAGAGCGGGGGCTCTCGTTCAAATGACGGAATCCTGCAGAAGGGGGTGGTAGGCTGGCGTCGTGGATTGGTCCTCGAGAAAGTGGCATTGATAAAAGGGGAATGCTGGTGTTGTCCCAGAACATTGGTGATGCGATCACGGGTTCTTGCGCCGTCTTGATTCACTTTCTGTGTCACCACCCCAGCGTCGGAATTTTGTGAGGTCAGCCCACTGTAGAGAAATGGATAAGTCGCACCTCATGCCCGAGAGGCCGGGCAACCGTGTCAGAGTCTCCAGTCCAGATCGGGAGTCCCACATTGACGCACACGAAGACTTTTTCTCAACACATCTGCCATCTCGTCCTGTTACTCCAATGGGTCCAGACAGAGACCATCAGTCTCGCCACCGGAAGCCGAGCAAGATTGTGTTGTGCTTCGATGGCACAGGCAATAAGTTCCATGGCGACGACAGCGACAGCAACATTTTGAAGATATTTCGAATGCTCGACAGGACAGCGAGGGATCAATGTAAGTATTTCGATACCGTCTATTATCTGACTGGAGTGCTGACAACCTGATTAGTTCATTATTATCAACGTGAGTGATAAAGAATTGTGTTACATTGTGTTGTAGGGCGTCGTACTAAACTGTATCCTGAAGCCGGAATTGGCACCTATGTTGTCTCGAGCAGCTTGACTCGCACGGGAACGGTGGCGCGTATCAAGTCTTGGTACATGAAAGCCAAAGACAGTGCCATTGGGTCCTCGTTCGATCATCATGTTGTGGGAGGCTATCGGTTCCTGATGAGGTTCTACAACCCTGGAGATGAGATCTACATCTTTGGCTTCTCGCGTGGGGCGTACATTGCGCGATTCTTGGCCGAGATGTTGGATTATGTCGGACTGCTGTCGCACGGTAACGAGGAGATGGTGGTGTTTGCGTGGAAAGCCTTCTCCAACTGGCAGAGCAGGCAGGGAGACAACACTCCAGAAGGGAACCAGAAGAAGAGGGAGATGTACACCTTCATGAAGGGATTTCGTGAGACCTTCTCCCGCCCTGTCCGCCGCATCCGCTTTCTCGGCCTCTTCGACACAGTCAACAGTGTACCTCAGTTTGAGGCAGCCTGGATGCAAAGGAGCAAGTTTCCTTACACGGCGCGCACCTCGGCAAAGGTTGTCCGTCACGCCGTGAGTATTGATGAGCGCCGCGCCAAGTTCCGGCAGGACTTGGTGTACCAGAGCAAGAGCGGCAAGAAGCAGCACCACCATCACCCAGTGTCCGATGGTCTCCACAATCTCCACGAGAAGTACAGACGAAAATTCGCTGCCGCTCCCGCCCACCAAGGTAAACAGGGCCAGGACGACAGAGGGCGACGGCCCACGTTGGGCGTGCCCACGGATCCAGAACCATATCGCAGGCGCTCCCACTCGACACGATCACGGCACTCCAACAAGACCGAGGCTTCGGCGCGCCCGACGGAGAACGACGTCAAATCCGAGGTATCAATCGAGCCCCATCCTCATCTGGAGGACGCCGAATCATTTGCCGAGAGTGAGGAAAGCGACGAGGAGGAAAGCCATCAGGACATCGACGAAGTGTGGTTCTCAGGAGGCCATGCGGATATTGGTGGTGGGTGGGAGGAAACCTTTGAGGACTCCAAGGTCGCCAGCCACGTTCCCTTGGTCTGGATGGTCCACGAAGCGATCAAGGCAGGCCTGACGTTTGACGAGGAGAAGGTCCGCGAGATGGGTTGCGTCGAGGCTCTCCATGACCACGACGAGCCCGACACCGAGGATCATGGGTATAGGCCGCCGTCGTCAGGACAGGAACAGCCCCTCAATGACGAGATTGCCCCTCACGAGACCTCGGGCGAGCCCAACCCACCGATTCCAAACATCATGATCCGCAGTTCGAGTATGAGCACACCCAAGTTGTTCCAGCAATCCAGCTTCAAGGACTCATTTTCTCAGGCCAACGGCGGGAGCAGTGGTGCCAAAAGGTCGGGCGAGAAGGAGGGTGACTGCAGCGGGCAGCAGAAGCCTTCGTCGTTCCGAGAAATGATGCACAAAGCGCACACGGCTCGAATTCACGACTCCCTCGAGTTTGATTGCGGGCTGAGCAAGACTTCAGTGTTAGCTTGGAAGATTATGGAGTACGTAGCCACTATTTTCTGCCTTACCGTGTATGCCGGCCGGCTAACAGTTGCCCTCCCAGGTATCTCCCCTTCCGCCGTATGGACCTTCAAGAAGATGGCTCTTGGAAGCCCATTCGCTGGCCCCTCCCCTGCGGGGAAGTTCGTGACATTCCTGAGGATGCCCGTATCCATGGCAGTGTGATCCGCCGCATGAAGGCACACGAGAAATATCGGCCAGGAAATTTGATCATTGGTGGTGGTGGGAGAGGGGTGAGGCGTGCTGGAGAGGAGCATGGTATTGGCGATTGGGTCTGTGTTGAGAAGGATGGTTGTCCGATTGGGGAGATTTGGATGAAGAGGAGCGCTTGGGAGAAGATGCATGGGAATTGCAATGACAACGAGAAGAATGGCAATGCCCACTGATGAGGATACGTGGCTAGTGTAACACTTGAGGATATGCTCAGAAACAAGCAAAAAGCATACCATCTTCTTCACCTTTCATCACGGGACATGTGAGGCGGCCAATGAAGAATCGCCTTGTCCTGTGCCACTCATGCTGATAGCACTGCGGCCATTTGGGCTGAACTCCCCCGTGATCCCCTCACCCTTCATACCTTCCTAATCCCTCATCTGATCGGACGACTGAACCCCGACCACCGACTACCGTAGAACGTACCGCCTTGGTCCGTCCGTCCAGTATTCGTCAGGATGCGCCTGCTGCACACAACCACCCTAAAACTTGCGGAGTTTACAGACAATAATGTGCCCCCCTATACCATCTTGTTACACACCTGGGGCTACGAGGAAGTAACGTTTTGGGACATGGAAGTGGGCTGCGCCATAGAGAAATAAAGATACTGGAAGATCGAGGCCTTTTGCGCCCTCGCCAGAGAGCGATACCAATATGCTTGGGTCGACACCTGCTGCATCGATAAGACGAGCAGCGCCGAGCTCTCAGAAGCTATCAACTCCATGTAGCGCTGGTATCAAGAAGCCAAAGTCTGTCTCGCTTACCTGGCCGATGTACCGTCGCAAGCCCAGTTCTCCGATAGCAGGTGGTTTTCCATTCTAGGGCGTGGACCCTCCAGGAGCTCATTGCACCACGCAAAGTGAACTTTTTCGATGAAAACTGGACAAATCTGGGTGGAAAGCTGAGCCTACAATGAGCCGTGGCAAACCGCATCCGGATACCATCGGTGCTTTTTGCCGGGGAGAGTGATATTGATGGCTTCAGTGTCGCTCAGAAGATGATGTCATGGGCAGCTGGAAGGGAAACAACAAGAGTCGAGGATCGTGTCTACAGTTTATTGGGAATATTCGATATCAATATGCCGCTAATGTATGGAGAGAAGGAAAATGCTTTCATCCGACTACAATAGGAAATAATGAAGATCTCGGATGATCACAGTCTGTTCGTATGGAAGTCATTGGACACTCGCGGTGGACTTTTGGCAACTTCCCCGGACGCGTTTATTTAACTCTGGCAACATCGTTGGATTTATGCCGCCTGGAAGCCTAGGCAACACTCCCTTGACTGCCAGCGGCCGCGGAATTCACATAGAGCTTCGTTTTATCGGTATCGATCTTAATTGTCGACAAAAATAGGTCGAGGAGAAACCCATCGCTATCTATCTTCGAGATCGCCTGTTCGGTACGGTATGACACAGTTCGAGCGGGTTTTGAGTAACGATTTCGAGCCCGTCATCATGAGCAGACACTGACGGTCAATGTTTCCGCTTCGAAGGATGTGTATCCGCAAAGGGCGTCCGGCACGAGGCGACAAACTACCTAGTATGGTTTTCCGCGCCGTAGAACTGGGCCATGAGCAGGTGATGGAAATACTACTGGCTCGAGGCGCGATTGGTGTTGAGCCGCAGGATGAAGATGGACAAACTTTATCATCGAAGGCTGCGAAGGCTGCGAAGGCTGGCGATGTAGCCATTCTCAAACAACTTCTGACAAGCGAGAAGGCTGATGTCGAATCCAAAGACAACGATGGCAGAACCTGTTTATCGTGGACTACCGGAAGTGGGCATTTGGATGCGACACGGTTGTTGACTGAGCATGGTGTCAATATTGAATCGAAGGACACATCAGACCGTAGTCGAGGTGCTGCTCAAAAGAGGCGAGAGGTTGGTTAAAAAGAAGAGCCACTCTGAATTGCTAAGCAGTCATGTCCAAACGATTGACCTGGAAAGGAAGGACGCAAGTGGCCGCACGGCATTTTTCAGTGCCGTTGCAGATGGTCCTCATTCGGTAGTCGAACTTCTCCTCAAAAAGGGGGCCGATATTGAAACGATAGGTGCGGATGGATTGGCGCCGTTGCAACGCGCTCGTGCTGCCCCAGGGTTGAAAAACCTGAATCATATGATTCTCCTACTGCTGAGAAACAGAGGCTCTCACCCGTTAATAATCCATGTTGAATGCAAAACGTACGACAGAAGTTGTTGTCCCCGACTGCAGAATTCTGTAGGCTATTTTATTCCTTTAACTTAAACCGAAGAAATGAGAAAATATTACAAACTTGTCCTCTCTGTCAAGCTGACATGATAAGGTTCCTTCTGCCAAAGCTCAAACGCCTTCTGATCTGTCCACTGGTTAAAAGATGGAAACTTCTCCTCCCTGACCACCTCCATGTCAAAATTCCACAGCATCCGAGCCAACACAACGCGAAACTCGACCCATGAGAGGTTTTGTCCGATGCAGTCGCGGCCGCCGACCACGAACGGACGAACAACGCTGCGCACATCCCCCGAAAACTGCTCGACATCTTGCGCAAGAGCGCTGTCGCCAATCTTTTCACCAATCTGCCCCGCCTGCTCCACTGACAACCATCTCTCGGGCACAAAGTCGTTGGGGCGAGTGAAGTTCGACGTCTGGCGGTTTGCCGCAAACTGAGTAACACCAACAGCGGTCCCTTCCGGTACAGGGAACCCAGCAATCATGGTGCCAGGCCTGTTGACCACACGAGCAGGCCCATTCGCGACCGGTGGACACAGCCTCTGCGTCTCCTTGAGCACAGCATTGAGGTAAGGCATGTTCTCAGTGATGAACCCAAAGGTAAGCTGCTCCTCGGATGTGACGGTTGCCCTAACCTCGGCCGTCATCCGACGCAAGACGGCGGGGTTTTCACACAGGTAATGTGTAGCCCCCAGCAGCGACGTCGTCATGGTTTCGCTCCCGGCCAACAGAAGCAAGATGCAATTCGCCTCGAGCTCGTCCTTCGTCAGCCCCTTTTCAACCCCCTTGCCCAGAGCAGCAGTGACGAAATCATCGTTGTCGTCAGGCGGAAGAGTGCGGCTCATTCGACGCTCAATCTTCTCCCGCACAAGCCTGATAAAAGTATCTCTCATCTCCATAAGTCTGGCCGGTGCTAGGGTGAAAAGCAAGGAAGACGAAGGAGGATAAAACCGCGAGATCATCAACAACGCTGACAGTTTAAAGTGTGTCAATACCATCTCGATCCAAGGGTGATACGTCCTTTTCTCCAGACAGCCAAAATCCTCGCTGAGCGTCACCCTCGCCGCCACGTCAAACGTCAAGAAGTTGTACCACTCGCGCATGTCTGCCGGCTGCTTGGTCTTGACATATTGCTTGCGCAGCTGGCTGATCATCAGAGTGGTGTACTCCTGCACGATGCGTTCTTGGCGACGGGCAGAGTTTAGCGAGAAGAACTCCTTGCCGAGGAGGTTGCGAAGGCGTGTGTGGTTCTCATCGTCGGCGTCGAAGAGTGAGACAAAGGTCTGGGCGTTGCGGTAGGCGTCGTGCTTGGGGAAGCCCTTGTTGCCGTAGCCGCCGCAGTAGATGTCGTGCCAGGCCCCGTCGAGGGTGAAGGACAGCTCGTCGGGGGCTATCCGCACCACCGGGCCGTACTGGTCGTGCAGTTGCTTGATCCGGTGATGCAGCCGGCCGCGAACGAGGTTGGCGGCATATGGTACGCGAGACGAGGCCCACAGCCGTGGTCCTGGGAACACGGCTAGCGGGTGGAAGAAGGCGTTGTACAGCGCTCGACCGACGACGAAGCACTGTCGAGAGTGGTCAGCAAGCTTATCTTTTGTTGTTGGAGTGGGGGAGACTCACAACCGCAGCAACAACGGCCGCTTGGGAAAGCGTGACGAGTCCAAGAATGGACATGATGCTTGGAATCAGAGTAGGTATCAAAGGTGGAAAAGAAAGAATGAGGCAAAGCTGAGCGAACAATCTTTCCAAAATTCGGTACTGACTTGCGTGTGGTAACAGTCTGGTCTAATGATGATAGGGATTTCAAGCATCCGCTCGAGAGGAAAGCCAACGACGCATACAAGAACCACCGCTACCCGGCGATGGCAACCCAGCACCGCAAAAATCTGCCCGCTTGCTCATTGCCTGCCTACCTGTGCCTTGTTTCCAAACAAAGCGTCACCATCGTGTCACCCAGAACCGAACTAAGCCGTCGCAGCAGCGAACACCTCCTGCGCCGCCTCAGCAAACCATCACCAACTGACGGACGAATGGAGACACTGCCGTCCATTTATGGAACCAAGTTCGTCTCGATGACCTGACCTTGGCCCGTGATGGTTGAAAGGATTCTAGGGATCGATCTGGCTGTGCCTAGATGAACGCGGCAACCTGGGTAGGTACAGGCAGCACAAGTCACGGTACTTGGGGGCCTGGGTGCCCTGCTACGCCCCCCGGGATTTGGTTTCCGGCTAGGCTTCGCAAACCGTTGGATGCTACAGTGTACCACCGGTGAACAAGCCACGGATAAACCTCAGAAGCCACGCACACCGGGTTTCACGGCTGACGGTGCCAACAACCGCAAACCAAGCAAAGATGAGACACACGAACCCGCCGACGTGATATCGACTCCCCTCCCTCCGAACGCAACACCGGTAGCCGTTCGTCCCAGTGTCACCCTTCCATCACAGAAGCCCATCACCAACAAGCTCGCTGTCTCGCTCGGTTGCAGCCTGCGATCAATTCTGCTCGAGAGTTTCATTCCCAGTCCACCACCCGACACTCCGGCAACATCCACCGCAACGTCTCAAGAGGCACAGTCTACTACAACCTGCCCCATAAGGCTCTTCCTCCCTCTCCCCCCTGGCCAACGCAGATCCTTCCGGCAGTTATGGCGCCACTCCCGCTTTCTTGTCAGGGGGGAAAAACACGCGCTTCAGGGAATTCGGACCGTTTGGTGGCGCAGTCTTGTTGTGGGATTTTGTGAACAGTGACCGGTGCGGTGCGGGCAGCAGAGATCCCCCCGGGGCCCCTCCTCCTCCCAACAAGCGATCCCGAAGACCCCGAGATTTGCACCTGTACGCGTTCGGGGATCAACGGACGGGCTGTGCCGCAGTGGTGCTTAGGCGCCCGGGAATTACGGTGGGTCCTACAGCGTATGTTTGGTGGGAGAGGATGGGCGCACGGGAAATAGAGAGGGAGAAGAAGAAAGGATGCGATTGGATGACGTGAAGAGGTAAAGCAATATACATCACAGCATGTGGTGGGAATGGATGGAGGGTGTTGGTTTGGGAGGTGCCCGGCTCACCGGGGGGTGTCCCCCTTCCATTCTCGTTGCAACACAGTAAGCTAGGTACCTGGATGGGTAAATTTGACTGATGTGATGTGGGTGTCATTTTCGCGTGCGCCACGGGGGATAATGTTTGAGATTGAGACGAGAGGATGGCTGCAGTGTTGATTGAGGTACCGTGATGAATGGGGAAAGAGCACGGGGAAGTGATCGAGGGGGAGGGGGCGGGACAGATCTCCAAGATGAACCCGGGGGGAGAGCAAAGATCAGCCAAGAGGGATGCCACATGGCTTCCACCTGCACGGATGGTGGCCGCTGCTGATCGGCACTGGAACAAGAACTGGTCGGGGCACACCCTGTTTTTACGACCGTGTGTTGGAGATTGATTCCACGTGTTTCACGAGGAGCAAAACGATTTGACAAGATCACGCGGTAGATTTACTGCTAGCTACGAAGAGAATCTCATCATGAACAGCTCAACGCCCAGCTGTCACAATCATCAGGAACCCAACATCAGGACCCAGAGACAGACTTGTAGAAAGACGCGTGACGATAGATCTCAAGGACAATGTGTTTTTTATTTGGCATCATCAAATACTCATAAACCCGAGCGTGACCAAAGCTCCTATCCAATCCCACAGTGACCGGATATATCCAATTCCATCAAATCACCCTTCTTCACCTCCCCTCAGTAACCGCATACCCCTTCTTCACCTCAATCCCCCCTTTGACCCCCTCCCCGCTCTCCCCGTCACTCCCCACCCTCGTCTCCGTCTGCGTCTGCAACGTCGGATCCATTCTAAACATCTCCCCCCTCACCTTCCTCTCCTTGCTCCTCTCATCCCCGTACAGCCCCGGCATGGAATCAATCACGTCAATCGTGTCCAACCCCACCTCCTGCGTGGTGTTCTTGCTGCTGCTCTTGCCCGTGGGCGGTCGGAGGGAAGCAGTACCGCCAAGCTCGGGGTCGATCTCCCCGCTTGCGTTGCGGTCCTTGGAGTTGCCGTAGTAAGCGTAGTCGTTGGCCGAGGGGTGGGAGCGGTTGCCTCGGGAGCCGCGGGAGCCGGCCGAGAGGATGCGGTCGCGGAGGGATTTGAGCGAGATCATCCAGTCGGCCGTGATGGGGGACTTTTTGGCGAGGGCGGGCAGGAAGGGGACGCAGGCGCAGATTATGCCGACGCAGCATTCGATCGTGCTGGGCGGGGTTAGATGAGATGAGATAGAAAGGAGAGATAAGGGGGGCTTACTTGACTAGGTAGACGTTGGAAAGGACCCAGGTGAAGTCGGGGTCGTCGGCGGCGCGGAAGCGGTAGACTGCGCCGACGATGCTGAGGATGCAGGCGCTTTTTTGGTTTGTCAGTGAGCGGTTCAATGGTACCTTGATATGGGGAGATGACATACAGGAAACCACTGGAGAAAATAACAATGAGACCAATCTTCTTTCTGCGCTCCATGCGAAGCCACACCACGGCAGTGAGAGGCAACACGAGAAGGTAGAAATCGGTGACGATGTTGAACACGGCCATGGCCTTGTTCGCCTTCCACGCCGAGGCCTCATCCATAAAGACAAAGACGAAAAAGAGCGCCGTGTACAGCGGCACGACGACAGCCATGCCCACGAGCGAGCCGATTCTGGTGAGGTCATTCACGGCGAAGAGCTTGTAGTAGAAGAGCAAGAGACCAAGCTTGGTGAAACCGATGGCGGGCTCGGTGACATCGCCAATGGCTCGACCAGGCTCGATGAGCTTCATGACGCTCGCGACGGAGACATCCCACATGTGTCTGCCCACGCCGTGGAGGGAGACTGTCTGATGGTCAGCAAATCATCACTCAGATCATCTGCAGAAAAAAGGTATCAACAACGTACGCCAGATAGCCAACCCAATATAGGCACCTTGACACAACTTATCACATCACAGTCAGTCACTCCCATCATCACCAACAGCCTCGAACCAGCATCACTCACCAACGCCAAAAAGATAAACACTATCGCATTCGTCAGCCTCAATCCATCATGACTTGATCAGTAACAAAAACTCACAATCATCCCACCACGGCGCCCTCTGCACAAAAAACCGCGCCCAGAACCTCACACCAGCAAAAAACACCGTCAGGGCCATGAACACGGCCGCGACGGCGATGTACGCAGGCGCCTGGTTCACCGACGGGTTCTCAAAGTTGGGCACCTGACCCTCCGGCGGCGCCATCGCAGGTATGAGGTTAAGATCCATCGGCATCCCGTCTGGTCCATCCATCTTGGCGGTTGGCGGCGGCGTTGTTGTTGTGTTCGCCTTTTCCAACAATTAAAAAAAAAACCTTGGTTTGGGGGTGATGTCTAGGCTACCACGGCGGCAGCGGCGGCGGCGGTGGTTGTGGTGGTGAACGGGCTGTGCTCCCTCTTCACCTCACCGGAAAGCTCGGAAGAGAAAAAAAAGCACAGAAAAGAAAAAACAGAGTTTGTTGTGTGTGTGTAGCAGTCAGCTCGTCCGGTTAAAAAGAAGTTGTACACCCACGCAACTTTGTGAAGAATAAAAGGAGACGGACAACAGCTCGACGGTTGTTACAAGAGGCGAAATGCGGATGGCATGTGGAAAAAATCCCCAATACCACACCGACCCTCTCCTTTGATGGCGCTCCTGCCAGCGAGCGATAGAGAAACGCAATAGAAGGGCACGGCGTTGCAGGCAATGTCCTGAAAAGACAGACTGTAGAAGGTGGGAGCTGGAGGGTGTATGGAAGGATCGGACTCTTGTTTCCCCAGCGTCACAGTAATTATTCCCGTCCTTTGCAATGCATTTGTCAAATCAATACAAGCAGGCAGTCCTGTGGCGCAGCTGATAGCAACCAAGAGGGTTGAGTGGTTGTGTGCCGCCCAGCTGCACCCTCCACGACCAACAACCGTCCAATAATTCGTTCGGCTGGGTGGGTGGTATTGGTGTTGGTTGGTGTGTTGCACAGTACACACGGGGTCGGAAGCCTCCGCGGTGAACCCGGTACCCGTGCCGCTCTGGAGTGGAACAGAATTCGGTCGAGATAGGCCCGAATTGTGTCGCTATTTCGTTTCTCCGCTGTGTGGTTGCCAGTTGGTGTGGTGGTCTAAATGCAAGGATTTTTCATGCAGCAGTGGACGAAGCAAATATTGTAGGAACTCGGTGTCAGATTATTGCTTGGAGAGAAAATAGTTCTAGAAGGCCGCCCTGCATTCACCTCGTTACATCCAAGCGGTTACCCGCATATGTGCTGAAACTCTTCAGTTTCCAATGCCGTATTCCTTCTTGATAAGGTCAGCAGCTCTCTCTGCGACCGCGTACACTGTCGTCTGGGTGTTGCCACGCGTGGCTAGAGGAATGATACTGGAATCGACAATGCGAAGGCCCTCGACGCCGTGAACATGCAGCCGAGCATCCACAACACCTCCCCGCTCACGGGGAAGCATGGCACAGGTGCTCGTGGGATGCCAGCAGCTGAGCGCCGACAGCTTGGAGTATTGCTTTGCCACATCCAGATCACTGAGGTCAGCGGGAGCCCCCGCGTTCCGGCGTCCACCTCGCTTGATGAACTTGCTCAGGGGCTCGGTGCGCACAATGGTCTCTGCGTACCGCAGAAGACGGGCCTGGACTTCCAGATCCAGAGGGTGCTCCAGATATCTGGGGTCAATGACCGACAGGTCCGCGGCGTTGGAAGACGTGATGTGGGCGCTGCCACGTGAAAGTGGGTAGCACAGCGCCGCGCAGATTGTAACAAAGTTGGCCGGGGACGCATCCTTTACAATAATGTCGGCGCCCACGCTGTCAGGATTCACATTGGCGCAGGCCGCATACATGAATAGGTTTCCGGCACCTTCTGCTCGGTTTGCCAGGACCGAGTGCACAAACTCGGTGTGATGAGGCGTAAAATCGCCAGATGACGGGCTGGGGTTCGAAGCCGTTATCTGCTTGATGACCTGGTCAAGGGTAGACTTTCCATCAGGCCCGACAAAGTCGGCCACGGGTAGAAGTGACCCGGTGAAGTTGCCCACAGCAAAGGGGCCTGACTTGTTGGTCATGTATTCTTGCATCGCGGCACCGACGGCTTCGGGATCCTGTCGGGTCAGAGCATCGATAGTCTTGACGCCCTCCTCAACCTCAAAGCTCACGCTGGAAACGGGGTGATCTTGCAGATTCTCGCCCACATTGGGGTTATCCACAACTACCGGAATGTTTAGCTTCTCAAGAAGCTCTCTGTTACCAACGCCCGACAGCTCCAGAAGCTTTGGCGACCCAAAGACTCCGGCGGCGAGGATGACCTCCTTCTTGGCGGCGAGAGTGACAGTCTTGCCGTCCTTTTGGATTTGGACCCCAACGGCCTTCGGACTCGCGCCAGCAGTGTCGAACAAAATCTTTTCTGCGAGGGCACTGGTCACAACATGGAGGTTGGGACGGGATTTGGCAGGCTCGAAATAGGCCGTCGCCGCATCACTGCGTGTGCGTGACTCGGGGTCAACGCTCAAGGCGTTGACATAACCGCCAGAGAATTTCCCACTGAAGGGATCTCCAGAGGCTGGGAAGCCCAGGGCCCCGATGGTGTCGACCCAGGCGTTTGGAAGAGGATCTTTGGATTCTTCGGGGAAGGATGCCTTGATGGGGCCGTCGCAGCCACGGACGCTTTCATCGACATAGGAAAGACGGAGGTGTTTGCCAGCAGTGTCGGATGGGTGTGCTAAAGTGTGGAACTTCTTGTAGTAGGGGCCCAAGGTCTCCCAGTCCCAGCCTGGGTTGCCGAAAGCACCCCAGGCATCAACGGCAGCTTTGGAGTTGGCCACAAACGCCAGGCCGTTGATAGCACTTGAGCCACCGATGAGCTTGCCCTGCGACAGGGGGATGACTTTGCCATCAAGTCCTTTCTAGGCGACAGTTAGTGGCTGCTGACGATGAGGAGGATGATTGGGGCGTTCGCACCTGGGGGACGGTCTTGTAAGCCCAGTCAAAGTCAGGTGATCCCAAAACAGAAAGCCAAAAGGCCGGTGTCCGGATGCGTGGGTCGTTGGTGTGCTCGGTGCCGGCTTCAACGACAAGAACCGAAGTGTTTGGATCCTCTGTGAGCCGGGCCGCAACCACCAGCCCAGACGTGCCGCCGCCGACAATGATGAAATCGTGCTCAGAGTCCATGGTGGTTCAGGTAGGTGTGTGGAACTGGGAACTAGAGCAGAGGTAGAATGCCGAATATGGAGAAGGTGATGACCGGTAGGGAAATGGTTGGGAGGATAGCAAAATGCACAAGCAACGGGATCCGGTGGGAGGAAAAGTGATGCTTTCAACTTTGATGTCCTGCCACCAGGAGGTGGTGATGCCAGGTGACGATGGAGGGGCGGTACACTGGCATCCACTGGCAGCAGGTGTCCAGTTGGCGGGTGTCCCATCCCCGGTGCCTGTGTAACGTCAGCAAGGGCCCTTCTGCAGGGGTACTGTGTCGGGCACGGTGACATGGGCAGCCGCTCCAATCTGTTGGTTGTTTGCAGCGGTCCATTCAATCTACACAAGGCAACGCAACAGGCGGCGGAGCCAGTAGCCGATAATGCCCTTAGCACTGCCGGCCGTGCAGGATTGCGGCGCGGCGCGAGACGGGAGGAGGAGTTCTGGACGGACCGCTGAGACTAAGGTAGGTGGGTGAGAAATGACATCTGATCAATTTGTTGCTGACTTCATGTTCTGACTAGCTACCTCACAGCGGATAGCTCGGGCTTAGACGCCGATACCACCAGCGAGTACTACCTACTCTTTTGTTTGATGTCTCTGCCGCAGGTAGACACGACTGGCCGGATTATGGAACGCAAGCTCCAGCAGCTGTATCTTTTGAGGTCTGACACCCCCCTTTCCACTCGGATGAAAGCTTACTTCGTACCGTTCCAGCATAGCCGCAAGCACCATTTTCATCTCCAGGGACGCCACGAACCGTCCGGGACAGGCCAGTCTGCCGTGCCCAAATGTCAAATGGTCGCGGTCCGTCGAAGTGTACTGGTACTTGGTCATGAACCCGGGGTCCTGGCGCATCCCTGCGTACCGGAACCCATCGAACTTGTCCGGCCCCCTCCCGATCGCCGATTGATCGATCATGCACACGTACGCCCCAGCCGGCAGCTTCAACCCGTCCGACAGCGTAAGCTCCTCCTTGACGATCCGTTTCTGGCTGAAGGGACTCGGCGCGTTCGTCCGCAGTGACTCCTTCATGAAGCTGTCCATCTTTACCAGTTTGGCTGCTGTGCCCCTTTCCCACTTCCCGCCGCTCTCTGCCATCACCTGCCTGAGCTCTTGGCGTAACGGCTCGACATGCTCGGGATGCTCGGCCAGGTCGAGCAGGCAGTCAGTCAGGGCACCCGAAACCGTGTACAGGGACCCAATCACCGAGTACACGTAACGCTCGGTCAGGTTCTCGGCAGATGACTCCTCCTCGCTTGCGCCGTCCATCAGCCACTGGAGAACATCCTCCTCCTCCTCAGGCACCGTCCCAAGTTCCGCCTGACGACGCCGCCTCTCCTCGATGAGCGGCACAAGGTATGACTGCACCTTTTTGATGCCTTCGCGAATGCGTCCGCGCGTGGGCAGAAGCGCCCCCACGATTGGGTGCAAAGCTGGCGGCACAAACCTGAGCACTATCGCCGTCATGAAGATATTCTCAACCGTCCGGATATTGTCGGTGTGCCAGCCGTCGTTGCGGCTGAGCTCTTTACCCACCCACACACGTGTCGTCAATCTTGACACGAAACGGGTGAAGACATTGCCGAGATCAACGGCCACCCACTCTTTGGAGTCCGGTAGCTCTATCTTCAAGGCATCCTCCAGCTCCTCCATAAGCGGAGTGATAATAGCGGGCATTTTGGGGGTCAACTTGTTGCGAACAACATTGAAGGTCAAATGAGTGCCCGTGAGGATTGAGATTCCGCTGTACTCGTCACCCATGTCCTGCGGTGGTTGTCAGTCTCGATTTTGCAACCATCAACGGGTAAAAAAATATACATACCGCAGCGAGCGCTTCAATACCATTGAGCTTGGTATCCGGCAGATTCTGAAGCTCATCCAGGTACCGCGGTGGGAGCACCGTGACGTTGGAATCAGGACGGGCAATCGTGAAGATGCGATCGCCATACTGAAAACCCGATTAGCATTGCATCCAGAAGGAGTAGCTAACAACAGAAGTGCTCACCTGATCCCATCCTGCCTGGGTGACCGACCAGCCGTTGAGAAGAAAACGATATCTTGTAAGAATCAGGGGTTCAAACCACCACTTTCGACCAGCGACTGGCGAACCAGACACAGTGCAGTACTTGGTGCTCCAGAACAATATGTTCAAAACGAAAACAAGGGCGACCAAGCCAACAATGGCTCGTCCACTCCCAGATGGCGCGTGATCCAGCAAGTCAACAAGCAAGGCCATGGTGGTTGGATAGATCTCGCATTGACCGTCACAGTCCGGTGAACCGGCAAGATTGTTGGAAGCAAGATGCCGGGTGGACCTTTTGATGTACCTGTACCCCAGCTGCGCCGCACAGGGTGCATGTGACTGGGCGGCAGGGGTGAGTGAAAAAGGTACTCGACAGCTTTGTAGAGACCATATGCCGGCAAGGAACGGGTCTTTTTGTTCTCCAGTCTCCAGGCACGATACGCATCTTGAGTGGCTTGGACCAGAGCGGTGGGTATGATGGAATGCGACTCTGAAAGCGGCAAGGCAGCAATCATGCCGTGTGTTAGCCTTACGTGTGATCCGGGCCTTCCTGCCTAGCTGTAACTACCTGCGCAGCCCCTGGGGGTTTTATTTGGACTGCCTCGGTTTGATTCGGTTTGAGGTAGCACCAACCGCCAGTGCGATAACCTCGTCTTGGTTTTCACACTTGCGCCGCCTCCGGCCCACCTGGAGCCAACTCACATGCCGGTTTGTGCCATGGCAAGAGAGGAGCCTGGAGGGAAGAGATGTGAGTCTGCCTCGATGTATTGCTATGTTGTCATCACGTCCGTTTAATCCCCGTGCCGATAGAGTTATGTACATGTAGACATCTCCCGAGTGTTCTTGCATCTGACGAGTCCGCTGCACATTCTTTGCAGACGCCATCGACATCACCATGCTTATCGACGCGGCAGCAGAGCTCGTTGAGGGTCTCGCCCGAGGCCATCACCCCACCTATGGCGTCGGGTCCATGACCTGTTCCATCTATGACACAGCATGGATCTCTATGATCACCAAGGTCGTCGGCGACCAGACAGAGTGGCTATTTCCATCCAGTCTCACCCTGATTCTCGACCAGCAGCACGAGAATGGCGGGTGGATTGGTCACGGCACTGAGACAGATGTCATCCTCAACACGGCAGCGGCCATTCTTGCCCTTTGCAAGCATCGGGGAGAGTCCAACACTGCTGACCTCAATGATCGGATCTCACGGGCAACCCAATTCTTGGACAGGGAGCTGAAAGCCTTTTGGCTTGACGCTTCAACCACTTTGCCTGTGGGATTCGAGATGCTACTACCGAAACTGCTCCAGCTTCTCGCCAAGGAGGGAATCAACCTGGAGTTCCCAGCACGCGCCATGTTGGAAAAGATTCGGGCCATGAAGATGGCACGAGTCAGGCTGGACAAGCTATACGAAGGGCACAAATCAACACTCCTACACTCACTCGAGGCCTTTGTTGGAGATGTCGACTTTGACCGTCTCAGTCAGCACAAGCAAATGGGTAGCATGATGGCCTCGCCTGCGTCGACCGCAGCATACCTCATGAACTGTTCGACATGGGATGACGAAGCTGAGGCCTATCTTCAACATGTTGTTCTCTACGGTGCTGGGCATGGTAGTGGTGGTGTTCCAAGCGCTTTTCCTTCGACGTATTTCGAATACACTTGGGTCGTGGCCACTCTGTTGGAAAACGGCTTCACTCGGGAGGACCTGGGGACCGAGAGTCTGGAAAAGATTGGTCAGACTCTTGAAGGGGCGTTTGAGGCAGGATCTGGGTTCATTGGATTCGGTGAGTTGCCCTTTCGACACGCATGGCAAGAATGACTGCTAACCCCGGTAGCTGAGGGAATGGAGCTGGATGCAGACGATACAGCCAAAGGTATCACCACTTTGAACCTAATGGGATCACCAACCCCAGCGTCCAAATTGGTCACCCTGGTTGACAGGAAAGCCAAGGAAGCTCACTTCAGGACATATGCCGGTGAAAGAGACGCCAGCATCACCACTAACTGCAACTGCTTGACCTCATTGTGTGCAAGCCCCGATGCCAGTCAGCATGTTGATGTTATTGAGATGGCAATGCGATACCTCTGCAACAAGTGGAATACCGAACCTGTTGGCATAAGAGACAAATGGGTAAGTCTACCTTGCTTCCAAAACAGTTTGGACACAAACAGAAGTGCTAACTGGTTACCTTGGTCACAGCATCTATCTTCGCTGTATCCAATGATGCTCATGACACAAGGACTCATGAGCGGGTTAGACAGCTGGGGACGAGGGGTTCTACCCAACCTACCAACAGAGGTTGTTGTTGATGCCGTTACCGTCGCCCACCAGATTATGGGCCATCTTCTGCGGTTTCAACGAGACGATGGTTCTTGGGATGGAGAACGCGAATGCACAGCCTACGCCGTCATTGCCATTACCCGCATTGCCTCACTTCCTACCGTCAAGCCGATTCTTTCCCACATAAATGCAGCCCTTGAACGTGCGAAGGGTTTCCTTAGACAGTATCTCAACTGCGACCTCGAGCCCGAACATCTTTGGATCGAAAAGGTGACATACGGGTCACGCAACCTGTCTCAGGCATTTCTCCTCGCTGCCATGAAGTGCACAATCCTGCCCGCTCCGCCCCGTCTGCAAGAGCTCGTTCCTCCCAACCTCGAAGCCACACTCAAGTCAGCCAAATTGTTCCGGCAGTTGCCCATGTTTTCCGAGGTCTCCACCTCCAGGATTGATATCTCCCTCATCGAAAGCTCTCTTTTCGTCTCTCGCCTACGCGAGCGTTGTCTGGAGATATTCCCCGGTCGAACAGCCACCAAAGAGAAGCACCTCGCCTACATCCCCTTCACCTGGGTAGCAGGCAACGAGCTCCACGGCCGGCCTCTCGGCTCCCACATCCTTCTCGAGATGATGGTCATCTCAGCCCTAGCCTACCAAGTAGACGAGTTCATCGAGACCTCTGTCTCCCAGCTCCCACCCGAAGCCATCGCCAGACTCCATTCAGAGCTCGACACTCTTTTCCATCTCCCGGCTACACCACCCACCACCACCCCATCCCTCTTCAGCTCCATCCCCCTTTTGGGCAACCTATTCACCCCTCCACCAACCCCCCTCCTCGCCACCATCAAGCAGACACTCTCCCACTTCCTCACCACCATCTCCGTCCTCCCTTATGTCCAGACCGCCCCACCCATCCTCCAGTCTAACCTCCGCCTCCAGCTGAAAGCCTACCTCTCCGCCCACCTAACCCAAATGGAATACAACCACGCCCTCTCCCTCCAACCAAACAAACACACCCTTGTATCACCCCCCTCCCCACTCTACGACTGGCTCCACACCACCTCAGGCACCCACACCGCCGGCCCCCTCGCCATATCCCTCTTCCAATGCCTCCTCTCCCCTTTTTTCATTCCCACACCGAAAGTCCAGCACCTGTTTAATTCCATCTCCCGGCATTTATCCGCCATCTGCAGGATCTACAACGACTTGGGCAGCCTGAACAGAGACAGGGAGGAGAACAACGTCAACGCGGTCAACTTCCCCGAGTTTGAGGGCGCGGTAGATATAAAAGAGCAAATGATGGGGATCGCCGGGGTTGAAAGGAAAATGTTGGATCTGGCACTCAAAGAGCTGGAAAAGGAGCTGGGGGGGACAAAGGGGGGGAAGGTGATGAAGGGGTTGGGGGTTTTTGTGAGCAGTGCTGACGTTTACGGGGAGATGTATGTGGTTAGGGATATGACGCCCAGGGTTAAGCAGACCTGAAAGCGGCCGGGGGAGGGGGGAGGTAAAGGGGTTCTTTTGTTGTGGCGTTTTAGCGGGGTGGTGGCGCGTTTGTTTGGGTTTTGGTTGTCTTTCTATCGGTCTGTCAATGGTGGCTGTTGTGTTTTGCTTGTTCACGAGTTTCAGAGCTGTCTGATTGTTTTGAGAGATATCACTTTGTTTGTTTATTTGACAGTTCGCTACAGGCTGCTCTGTGTCGTCCTTCGTAGACAATAAATCTTAGATTTATATTCTGTTCTACTCTGCGCTATTTGACCCATTAGGTACGCCGCACCCGAAACAGATAGTCAATGCTAAATTTGTAAGAAAAAATCAGCATCACAAGCTCAGACTACCTTGGAACCATGCCCCCCCCCTCCTCCCCTCTTGCTCCGCACCAAGCTCTTTCTCTCTAACGCCTCCCCGTGGCCAAAATACTAAACCCCCCCATAGTGTACTCGGCCCCCGCACTCGTCAGCAGCACATAAAAATCAAAATGCAACGACATCAACCCCCCTTCCACTGGCTGCGACCCCCCGAACCCAACACTGTAAGCAAACGTCTGCTTGTACTCAATCCACTCCCCCAGCGGCGGGATCTTGGGCGTGTCAAGGAACGGCACGTTGTAGTTCCCGATCCACACCCCTGGAATCCCATTCGGGTACACGTACCCCTCTGGCGCGATCGCCTCGTTCCGGATGCTGAACTTGATCTCGTACTGGACGCTAGGACACAAAATGGCGCGGGTTCGGAGGTGGAAGTCGTTTTGCGTGTTGGAAACGACGTGGACCGAGAAATCACCTGGCAGACCCGGTTGAGGACCGAGGCGGGTGAGGGTGTACTCGGGCATGTCGGGCTGGTATATTTCTGGGAGGGTGAGCCATTCGGATCGGATCGCCTGGCCTACTGAACAACCAGTGGGGGTTGGGGTAGCCGAAGTGATAGGCACTGGTGGCAGCGAGCTGGTCGGCTCAGGCTCGTAGCATCTTCCATCGTAGCAGTAGCCCGACTGGCAGACGTTGCCGCATGTCCCACAGTTCTTGGGGTGAGACTTGAGGTCAAGGCACAAGTTCCCACATTGGTCTTGCTCGCACTGGCACTTGTTGGGTGTTCCGATACACTTGGTATGCTCCGGACACTTGAAATCGCATCCTCCACACATCTCAGGGTCGTTCAGGTTGACATTCTGACAGGCCAAGTACGTCTCTTGCCCACCGCTAGGCCCACCAGCCTCGACAGGGCAGAGAGAATGCGTCGGCTTGTCACAAGCACATTCGCAGCGATCGGAATTCGCAGAGTTGAACGCCATCCACCCGATGGGCGAGCTGACAGCAGTGAAGTAAAACCCAGCCAGGTCAGCACAAGCCGGGAACTTCCAAACATCATGCCACCGAACAGTGGCATCCTTCCAGCACTGGTTCCGCATGCAGGTCCGGAACTCGGTGTTGCACTGCCAGAAGCTCTTGTCGCAGTTGTCGAAACAGTCATCGTGGTCGTTGCAGCATTCGCCCCAGTTGAAGTCAGGGACCAGGTCGACCGCGGCATCTGCTGCTCCACAGCCGTTGGGAGATTCGGGGCGGCGGCCAGGTTTCGGCACTGGAATGGCATCTGGGCCATATGGGCACCGGGGAAGAAGTGCAAACTCTCGACTTTGTAGACTTCGACGCAAGCTGATACCCGAGGTTTCAACTGGCCGTGGGGAGCGAAGATCTGGCCGTATAGCGACGATGCCGTGTAACTCTGCGTTTTCCGAGCCTTCGATAGCCAATGTGGTGCGGATTCCATCATCGGTAGTGTGCCAGTAACGAGGAATGCCCGCGCTTGTTTCCAGAAGTCTGCCACGACAGTCGACGGTGAACAGCAGAGGGTTGGTACTAGGCGACGACTGAAAGATGATTTCGCTGGACAGCGAGAAGGCAACCTCGTAGGTATCGGTACCTTCCACGAGTTCCAGGACATGGAAGGACCCGACTTGTCTTCCGAACCTGAACAGAGGGGGCTGCCATTCGTCGATTGTCACCAGGATGGCAAGGGCTTCTTCTTGCGTTTCGGGTGCTTGGGGGGTGCCAGGACGGCCGTCGCGGTTAATGATGTGCGCTCCAAGGGGATCGAGAAGGTGCTGGAAAGAAAACATGGGTTAGCAAGATGACTCCTGGGACAGTTGGCGAGTATTGCATAGGCAAAGTATACTTACGAATAGGGCCCCAGGCGTCTGGACTGGATCGAGCATGCAGCTGGACGAGGTGGGCAGAACAGTGGCAGGTGGAGCGACCTGGCTGGTATAGTTGTAGGCGGGCAGAGTGGCCTCGTAGTAGGTATAGTCGGAGGTCCATTCAGGGGAAGGCGGCCAAGAAGCAGAGGCTGTCGTAGTCAAAGAGCTGGTAGTCATGGAGGTGAGAGAGGGCGGCAGTGTAGCCGTTGCCGATGACTCGACAAGGTCTGTCGGCTCAGGGCTTGCGGGAGCCGTGATACTAGAACTAGCACTCGCTTCGTCACGCTGGCTAGAAGTTGATACTGCATCTTGCGAGAACGAGCCCGTCGTGCTGGCACCAGCTGTGCTCGTGTCAGCCGTTGACGATTCGTCCAGGCTTGAGGTTATTGTTGGTGATTGTGTCGAGGTTGCTGACGGAGGATCGTTTTCCGTCTGTGTGCTTGTTGCTGATGTTTCTGGGCTGCCTGATGCCGTACTGACAGGTATGTCGGTCGACTCCACTGGTGCAGAGGAACTAGAAGGCTCGATGCTGAGACCATGAAGACGAGCACCCCACACATGCGCAACTGCCGCAGGATTGTTCAGTGTACCCTTCAGGTAGCACTGGCCATTGGAATAAGCAACCCCTAAACAACCGCTGGCGGTATCACAGGCAGCAAGACAACCGCTGAACGTCGCCTGGGACGATGCTCCAATATCTCCTCCACCATAATCAACACCGCAAAGTATCTCGTAAGTCCTCCCCTCTGACGTCGTGTGCGTGGGTGTAGAAGCATGGCCACCAGCACAGGTCAGTGGCACCACCGTAGGTCCAGCATTAGGCGCGGTTGTCGTCCTCACACTAGCACTCTCACTGACACTAGGTTGAACAGGTGCCTCCAATATCTTCCTCGCCGTCCACACATGCCCAGCCTCAACCAACACCGTAACCTGCCCTTTTCTATAACACGCCTCCCCAACATACGAAACATCCACACACCCTACCAACTCCTCACAAGCCTCGATACACCCCTGAAAGGTCTTCGTATACACCATCTGAAGATCACCACCATAATACTCCCTCCCGCAAATAATCTCATAAACCGCCCCCGACTCCGCCAAATACGCCGTCGCATCACTTCTCCCCTCCACGCAACTCGGCGGGTCAGAACTCGGAACCAAACTCCCCGTCACAGCAGGAGGTGCTCCCGTCGTGGTGCTCGGCCCTGTAATCCTCCTCCCAGTCCAGACATGTCCCGCAGTATTCAACGGACCCAATGCCCTCTTCAAATAACACGACCCCCCCACAAAAGAAACATCCACACAGCCAGACGTCTCAGCACAAAGATCCATGCATCCTGCAAACGTCCCCGTCTGCGCAGCGCTCATGTCCCCTCCCCCATAGTCCACCCCGCACAGCACCAAGAACTCCACCCCCTTCGGCGATTCATAGACAGTCCCATTGCTGACGTTATCGGCACAGCTAACATCAACCCCAGCCTGAGATGAAACCGAAGAGGCAAGACCAAACAAAATGGCAGATATGCCAGCAGCCCATCCAAGCGGAGCCATCACCGCCGAAGTCTCCAAAGAACACGAATAGCCCTCCTCCTCATCGATCAACCCATTCCGGCGCGACGTGGCCAATATATACCATCCCCTCTCCCGCCCAATAGACCCTCCCCCCAAGGAGAATCCGCCTGCCGAAACCCATACGATCAAAACCCAAATCCATCGCGACCCAGACCTCGATAGTGTGGCGCGCTAGCCGTTGGCAATGCAGCGCCAAGAGGCCCCAAAAGGAAACGCGGAGACGAGGTTGGGAAATGCGGGAACAAGCTTTCGCGGTCACATCCCCGGAAATGAAATGCTTATCATCCTCTCACGAAGTAGCCTTGGACCCCTGGCTTCGTCAAGGCCGCAGTATCAATGTAACGGTGGCTGCTCACAGCCCCCATGCAAAGCAACCGTTGAAAATTTTCAGCTGGTGGGCTGCAGGATGAATCAAGACGATGAGGTTGTGCAATGGAAGAGACCATGGCAAGATTGGTGATGGCTGTCAGGGTGATCAGGGGTATTCAGGGGTGACATTGATCTGACAAGATGGCTATCTAGAAAAATCTCCACATGTGTCAAGGTGGAACCAAAAGCAAAGACAAACAAAACAACAAGACAGAAAAAGAAAACCCACATCATACACAAAGCAACATGGCATCGACATCTTATTCCACATTTTATTCCATCCCCTGCGCCCGCGACACCCCATCCACCAGCTCGTGATCCAAGCCCCCAATCCTAGCTCCACACTCCGGACAGCGGGCCACCTCCATGGGCATCCCGCATTCACCAATGGCAAACTGTTGAAAGGTCTCGTTAGTCACTGTTGTTCAAAGTTCGAGACAAGTCAAAACGTACCGGATGCCCATTCTGACAATTATACCAGTGTCCCGAATTCGTACTCATCCCCCCAAACCCACTCACCATAGCCAACTTGATAGCCTTGACCTCCTCCCTGCTGACCTTCTCGTATCTCGTTGACTTCAAAGCCTTCAGCGCCTCTTGAACATCCTCCCTAAAACTCTCGCCATCCTCAAACGTCCCACAAAGCTGCAGCGCCTCGATCAGCAGTTCTCCAGCAGTAGCACCGTAATCCCTCCACTCCACAGTACGAGCTCTGTACTGCGCAGAATATCGACCAGCCAGCTGGCTGGTTTGTGCGTAAAGCTGGCTGAGGGAGATCACAAGCCGTGGAAGCTTCCACTCCCTCGACTTCTTGATGCCCTCCATACAATCCTTCATAAGTCCTGGCACATCAGCCCCAGGGCGATCAGCATTCTTGAGACCTTCTTGCAATTCAGGAACCTTGGCCGCGATTCTCATCTTGTCTTGGAGGATTGCCGCCCGAACTTGCAAGTGGAGTGCCTCAGCCTCAAGGAGAACTTGAGAGTTGTACGCCGGAGGTGGTCCAGTCAAGCTGAGCTCAGGCAATCTCTGTTCCATGGACAATGTCTTCAGCTGGCGACGTCGAGAGCTGACGATGGCGTCAAACAGCTTTTTGGCCGGTTGATGTTCCGTGTCCATCTGTTGCTTTGCAATTCCCAGTGTCAAGTTGATGCGGTTTAACTCACGGTGCCTGTCGCGAAGGACCGACGAAGTACCGGACCTAGGGACTGTATCATCCCACTCCGGGATGTTGTCCAAGGATAGCTTGGCTGTTGCCGCAGCCAGTCTTTGCTGGAGCTCTTGGAGGCGTCGACGACCATCCACGAAGAATCGCTTGATCGTTTCGTCCATCACTGCCTTGTTCACCACCCGGTTGTAACGTCTGGTGGCGAATTGACGGATGGGGATGCGGCAATCCGGGCATGAAGGCACCCCAGATGTGGACAAGGTGCCTGCGATATCTCGAAGTCCGTTGTATTCACCGTTCGAATTGGTGGTGTATACTTGGGTCATTCCTAGCGAGCCGTCCAGCGTCTCGCCTGTAAAGAAGTGACCACAACTGAGAACAACGATTGAACTGTCGTCAAGATCAACTTCGCGATACAACTTCCACTCGAGAACATCAACACGACGTTGTCTCCGTTCGTCTTGACAGCACAGCTGACACAGATCCTCTGGGCACTCTTCTCCGCAGAAGCTAGGACACTGATGCCCGCACTTGAGCTTTCTTGAGCATCGCTTGTCACATGGCAGACGGTCGCATGGTGCAGCACATGGTAGCGAGCATTGTCCCATGTGCTCACAAGCCCAGCCGCATTTTTCGATGCAAGGGGCACAGGGCTTGTGACAAGGCTGGGGACAAGAAGAATGGGGGCATTGTACCTAAGCAAGTCAGATTTATCTGCCATGGGGACTGGGTTAAGCTAGGAAGTGTGACTTACTTGGCATGGCTGACAGCAGCTTCCACACAGCTCTCCGCTATGACACTTCCTGGCGCAGAGATGATTGCAGGTTGACGGTGGAAGCCTACAGATCCTCTGACATTCTTTATGGGAGTGCTGACACGTGCCACACTGACCAGTACATCTATCCCCACAAGCCAATGTCGCCTCGCAAGGTGTTGGGCAGTGATAGTACTGAGACACATCCGTCTCGCATGGTACCTTAACCTTGTGCTTACAATCAGGGACGATCTTCGTCACAGGGTGCAAACATCTGATCGTTTCCGGATGAGGTGTCTGACAACATTCCACCTCATCAGCGATGTGGCCACAGGGAAGTTCAACGTCCGTGACCGTGACACGACAAGGACCGCAGTCCTCGCCACAGAGCTTTGGGCAGGCGTGTTGACATGTTGTTCGGATACGGGGACATGGCTGTGAGCAGCTGAAGACGTCGTGGAGTGCCTGTGAATGGCACATTGCCGGACAACGATGGCCGCATGGGTCAAGACGCTGATCGCATCGAAGAGTGCAGCCCCCTTCCGGGCTGCGTCTAAGAAATTCGTCAGGATTGGAGCACACGATTGGGATATCAGGATGCCGACAACAAAGCGCAATCGAATCCCCGACCGCACCCCTCTCTGCAAGCTGTTGGTAGACGTCGTCCCAAATGTTGACCCCTCGGTAGGTTCTCGCGTTGCCGATAAGATACATCCCATGTTGGGCTCGACTGAGGAGTACGTTGACACGATTCTCTGTTCGGAGGAAGCCAATTTCGTTGTTGCTGTTGCTGCGAACCAGTGACACAATGATCACCTTAGCCTCTTCTCCCTGGAAGTTGTCCACTGTGGCAAGCTGGATAGCATTAACCAACGCTGTCTTCTGCAACATCCTGCCTCGGTTGTGCTCAATTCTCGGGGCGTCATCGACAGAGTCGACCGAGTCGGACTCGACTCCATCAGCATGTCCAAAGCCATCGTCTGCCAACTTTTCGAGGTCACGATCGCTGAGGAAGACCTCGAAATCGCCGCTCAATGCAGCCATAAGCTTCTGGAGCTGGCCAGTGTAGGGCGTCAAGAGTGCAATGTCTGTGCTTTTGTATTCTCCCTGTCGAACGAGGTGACGGACCAAGGCTGTTGACATGGAGACTTCCCAAGAGTTGCTGTGTGATTTCACCTTCGCGCCATCGTATCTGCCATCTTCAGGATGTTGGTGATTGAGCCAAAACAAATGCTCTCGCATCCCTGTTACCCCTGGGAAGTTCTGAACACAGTCATGGCCCTTCAAATCTGGATACACTGTTCGGATCAGTGACGAAATCTCAGGCCTCATTCTTCGCTGCACATTCAGTTGTGCCACGGGAAGGGGAGCCAGGCCCGGCTCCCCCTCGGCCCGACGTTCAAACTGGCTGCGATCAAGCTGAAATTTTTTGCCTCTTGAAGTTTCCACACTGAAACCGTAATTGTTGATCTGGGGCCGCAACTGTCGATGGTCGCCAATCTGAATGAGGTGCTCAATCCCAGGCATCATGGCGGAAATGAGGTGAGGTTCCATAACCTCGGCTGCCTCTTCGCAGATAACCACTTTAGCGCCAATACCGCGCAGCATGGCGATGTTCTTGGCTAGCCCTGTTGTTGTGATGCCGATCACATCGGCCTCCTCCAGTATTCGACTGTATTTCTTGAGATCATAGACAGAGTTATTGGAGGACGTCAGCACTCATACAGGAGTCAGCAAGCCACGTCCGAATATTAACACCTGAGGCGTCCAACTGCTTTCTATTGACTTGGCTGCTGTCATCGGCTGTTCTTCTCGGCAAACATGACGGAGACGAAACTCGCACCTCTATATATTGAGAAGGGAGGCAGAGTCTGTTGTTGTTAGTGTCATTATTTGCCAAGTCTCAAAGCTCGGGGGAATTTAGGGGTAAACTTAGCACGCCCTATGAATGTTGGCTGCAACGTTCTTGTAACATGAAGTATATATAACCTGATCAATGGCACAATTGAAACCACGAACTTGGAAATACTAGATACGTGAGAAATAGCCATTAAATAAGTTTTAGTATCTGAAAATGAACTGGAAATTGAACTCCCAATGGAGTAGGAATGTATCTGGGCGTGGTAGTTTAAAGACTCGTCGTCTTTTGATCATCAGAACTGCCAATTGATGTGATCAGAAAGTGCAAATCAAGTGATGAAGCTTGGGCTCCTCGATCCGTTATCAAGTGGGCCAATTTGAGAAGGAACATGGAAACCTAATGTGCCTTCCTTCCGAAAGTCGGGCAGATGAAACCTAGGCTTCAGGCACCCAGGCAGCAGCCAGCAAGTAGCAAGAAGGAGCAATCCAAAAACGCTGCCCTGAGTGACTTTCAGCTTGAAGTCTGGGAATTCAATTCTGCGGGGGAAGATTGGGCCTGAGTTGTAACCTCGGGCATATTTTCGATGGACTCGAATAATGCCGTGATCAACACGGGGAATCTTTCTTGGGAGTGATCTACGGATGTCTGCGATGGCAAGGCTGACTTTGAGAAGGCTGTTCTGGCGAGTTAAGCCCAAATGAAATTGCCGGCATAAGAGTTTCGCTGGGCCACTGCCTACGCCGCACGGCTAAAGCTGCAGTGTATCCTGCCCCACAGATTTTATCTTCTTTCACCATTATCATAGAGTCGTATTGTAGTCAGGATAAATCTTGCATGCAACACACCACGACCACCAAGGAGGAACTGGTGGCGAGAACCCAGCACATCCCAGCTTACAAAACCATGTTCTGGTATAAAAGCTTTGCTGATAGCAGCTGGTCTGTGTTCCGTGGACAGGCTGTAGCTCCTCCTCCATGTCCTAAATTCTCTTCGGCGCCGTGTCTCATCTATCCCAGTTACCCAAGCCTGTCATGGCGGTCTTCAAAGCTTACAGCCTACGGTTCTCCTGGGAAGAGCGGGGGCTCAAGAATAATATCCCGGACTTTAAGCCTCATTCACTAAAATTGCCTTTCTTGTCGCTTTTGTTTGTCTTCATCTGCGCCATCATTGGCTTGCTTGAGCATATGATCCGCACTCTTCCTGCAGAGGCTAATCGCACTAAGATACCACAGGACTTTGTATACAGGCCGCGACCTATTAGACATCGGACTGAGGAACCGACTGTCGCTGTTGATACCGCACCCCAAAAGCGCGAGCGCACAAACCTTTTGTCCCCCAAGCAAACTCATTTGAACCATGCAACGCATACCGCAATTATAGCAAGGACAACGCCCGAAACACGAGCCATCAAAGTCGCAGCTCCGGATCCAGATCCTCGACCACCCTCCAGTCACTATGCCAATAAAGAGCCAATCACCACATACGTCACATGGGTGAATAGCTGGTATTATGAATGGGGAGATCATCCTACAGTCGATTCCAGAACTCCTTTGTTTCCTGGCGAAGATCCAAACGGAAAATGCATTTACAACTACCAGGGCATTGTCATGACGACAAACAGCTCAGGCTGCAGGGCACTCCTTGGCCTTGGAGACCGCCAACCTCCCTCAGGATGGAAGCGAGGAACATGGATTATGGAAGACATCTGGTTCCCCAAAGGAGGTGGCTGTGACGAGAACTATGATGACTGGTACTCTGGCTGGCCGTCGAATCAGTCCTCTGCTTTTCCACAGCCTACTCGCTCGCTCGTCTACCCTTCTTATTTTGAGTCTCTCATGATTCCAATGGCAAGATGTACCTGGTACAACGGGGTTACTCCTACGATTTCACGGCCCCCATACACTGCGACAGTGAGACCCTCAAATCCGTGGTTCGATGCTGTCCTTCATCACTATGTCGCTGTGGACTTTCCGAGGGGACCAGATGGACGGATCATCTGGCCTGTGGTGGAAACTGGGACAGGTGGTGCTGTAGCATCCCAGACTGTCCAAAAGCTGACTCAGTTGCGAGCAATTCGTCCAGATAAGGGTATTTACCATACTGTGGGTGTGTATCTTGAGACGAGCACTGAGCGTACTACCTCAAGTGTCGGGATTAAAACAACGGAAGGATCTACCCAAGAGACCTCGGGAAATAAATTTGGAGAGGCAACTGAACAGATATCGAAAGAGACATTTCAAACCACCCATCATTCTCACTTTCAGGAGGCATCATCCGGAAAAGCCTTGGCCCAAACAACACCCGAGCTATCTCAGTCATCTTTACTAACATCTCATGAGACACCTATCCCAACGACCACAACGTTACTTCAAACGAAAACTACTGAAGAAGCAATCACAGAGACACCACGGCCATCTCAATCAACTGCCATATCGGTGAATGATCGGCCGCCTTCAGAACAAACCAGCAGCAAAATTGATCACTTAATGACGGCATCCGACTCACGATCTAGCATATTTGAGAACAAGTCTGGCGAAGAAATTACCACTACCCAAGTTCTGACCACCACGCCATACCACACAGCGATTACAGAGTCCAGTCAATTCTCCACTCAGCCCTACAGTACTGTCCAGCCACACGTACAAGAAGAGGTCAGAGGGCCAAACTTTCCGGATCGCTACTTCTATATCCCGGATACTAGATTCGGTACGCCTGGGGAAACAAGGACATTCCAGGCTGTTTTTTCGGCGTTTACCAGGGAAGGATCCACCCGCCCAGAATCTACTCTTGTTCAAATAACAACCCTCCCACAAGCCTGGCTCTTACCAGTTCCAGTCATCATGGCCACCGCCCAGATTTCGATGGTTCTAACCGACGCTCAAGGTCAAGCCACTGCCACAGTAACTGATTTCGGTGGTGATTTAGTGGAAGGCAGCACGACCATCACTACTTTGACAAATCCACAGGACGGGTCACCCACCGCAACCATCACAATTCAAATTCCCACTGGAGCATCAGTAGTCCTAACGAAAAACAACCCAAATGATGGCAAGCCCACAGCAACAGTAACCCTCTTCCCCATCATACCCAACATCCCCAACGCCACGCTTGCCAACATTGTCGTGCCCACTGACAGTACCTACTTCCTGGTCTATTTCCTCCCCATCTTTCTTACAGCGTTGCTCCTCCTCCCCATGCAGGCTATCGATGCCGAGATCAAGCTATTCATGCCTTTTAGACTCCTGACAAGACCAGACGGAAGGTAAAGTTCAGATTGACTTGCTCCATCCTCGCGACGTCACTCACACAACGCGAAACAGCACCGACGCCCTCCCCATGCGAACAGGAGGCGTTATTGGTCGCTACAACGGCCTCCGCCTTCTCCTATTCCGGTACAAGGACCCCCTCTCCCTCCTCGGCGACCTGATGATTCTCTGCACCACCGCCATAGTTTCCCTCTCCGGCGAAACCATCGGCCTAAAACTCCGCGGCACTTGCATACAGCACAACCTCAACACATGCTTCACCACCGTGGCGGTATTCCCTCCCATGGCAAGAGCCGCACAGGGGCTTCTAAGCGCTCTCCTGGTTCTTATACTAGTGCTAGCCATAATGCTGAGCAGATGGAGGACGGGCATCCCTGCTCACCCCACCAGCATAGCGGCGGTCTGCGCTTTACTCCAGGTCCCAGGAACGAGGGGGTTGATTCAAGCGGCTCAACTCACTACCATCGATTCAAACGGCGGGAGATTAGATAAGGAGATTGCTGAGCGGTACAGAAAGATCCGGTTTCGTCTGGGGAGGGTGGCATGTGAACGAAATGGTGGGCGGAGGACGACTGAGTATGGCCTTGTTGGTGTACGAGATGGTGATGACGGTGATACGCCTGTTGCAGCGAGGATAGGCGCCAGGACTTTGATGGATGGATCACCAGAGACGCCCGAAAGGATGAAACAACACGTTCCGTTTTGGGAACGAGTGGACCAAGGGCTGTATCTCTTCTTTCTCTGTGGGCTGCTGGCACTCATACTGTACTATGAGCTCACCGTGTTTGAGGACCCGGCGGAGACACCATTTGAGTGGTTTATGGACAGCCAATTGCCGGGGCCACGGGTGCTGTTTACAGGTTTTGGTGTTTTGGTGTCGTTTATGTGGGACCATTTGTTTTCGAGTAAGTGAACTTTCTCCATACCAGATACCCTCAGTCTTGTACAAGTCATAATCTCAGACCTTATAAACTTTGCCAACTCATCAACACAAACCAGACTTCACCAAAAAAGCCACCTACCGTCTCATGGCCCAAAGGAACCAACCTGCCGCCCTCTCCATCCTCCAAACACGCCCAACAAACGTCTTCACCGGCCTCTGGCGAGCCATCCGACAGAGGGACTCCCTGATGGGGTCCATAGCCATCGCAGGCATCCTTTCTAAATTCCTCCCCCTGTTTCTCGCCAGTATCCCATTCGCAGCAGCGCAGACCTGGGTCACTCACGAGATCTGCACATGGGGCGCGGTCTCAATCCTGATTGTCATGATCATCGTTCTGCTAAGCCACGCGGTGATTGTCAAGTGGCCTTACATGCCGGCCGCTGCGCCGGACTCGCTTGCGTGCTGTGTTTATTACGTTTGTGACTCGGCCATGCTGAGAGATTTCGAGGAGATGTCAATGCTGGCGCGGCGCGAGCGTGATAGTAGGGTTGAGCGGATGGGGCGGATGTATCGGTTTGGGTGGATGACGGGAGTGTCAGGGGAGAAGAGAATCGGGGTTGATTACCCGGTGGGGGAGCAAGGGTTTAGGCTGAGGTCGCTTGGGGTGGTGGGTTTTGGAGTGTCTGGGGGGAAGAAGTGGTGATCTTTTGTATTGCAACAAGGCTGACAAGTTTCACTTAACCATGGATTGGAGGTCTTAGGTATCTTGAACCAGAAGCCCACTAAAGAAACCTCATGAACCCTGAATAAAGAAACTATAACGCCACTTCACCGACTGTAAAGCCATGTGTCCACCAACCTGAGTGACTCCAACCTTAAATCAACCGCACGACCTCACCGTACCTACTTTCCAAAAACCATCAAACCTTTAGCCCCTCCAACACACTACAGTCCCGTCATCATCTACATACCCACCCAGAGCAGAACCAACCATGCCCAACCGTCTCCTCCCCAAACCAAGCAACGGCTTCACCAACCCCGACGACACCATCAAAGACCTCTTTCTAGGCTGGTACCTCAACTCCATCTCCAACCTCGTCACAAAGCTCGTCATCCCCCGCAGCGCCTCCATCATCCGTCTCGGCCAGCGCGTCGAGTCTGCTCTTTGCATTCCAAAATCCATCTGGGTTTTCCACCCGCCACCCATCGAGCCGGGCATGACGGATGAAGAGCTCGGACTCGCTGTCGAAGGCTTTGTGTCCTTCGGCACACTTGCTCCGTCGCCTGGGTTTGCGTTGACGATTTTGAATTAGTTTGACGATTATGAGAATGAGCCAGGGTGTGGAACGTTGTTGTTGGTGATTACGTTGATGCCGCTGGTGTCGATTTGGCTCTTGATGTGGGTTGTTGTTGTGCGAAGGGCGAGGAGGGCGAGGAGGGGTTTGGTGCGGGACGAGGAGGCGGGAAGGAGTATGGAACTGGGGGAGAACGGGTCGCTTGAGAAGATGCCTCCCCCAACCAAGCCGAGGGGAAGACCTTAGAAGCACAAGTAACAGGGATGCAGTCGAACGCTGTGGCTGTGGTGCCAGATCATACGTGGATTCAATGCGCAAAGTTCTGCGCCAAATATACTGAATACTTTTCCATGACTGCAAATCATGCCTGGCAGGGAACCCGACGCCTCCATCGTATTTTCCACATCATCTGCCAGCTATTGCTCATCTCCTCCGGTAAACCCATACCCCCTCTCCCTCCTCTACCGCACCCTCCCCCCTATACTCTCCCTTCTTCCCACCGGCCCACTCCTCAAACACCGGCGCAAACATCTCCAAGTCGGCCCTTGGTCCAATCCAGACCACCACCGCCTCTCCTTTTTCGCCGCCCTGCCACTTGTCCAGATAAGCCCTGACCAGAGAAGGCTGTCGTGGGTAAACGAACACCAAACCCCCGGTCTTGTCCAGTAGCTCCTCATCCACTACAGCCCATGTTCCATTCACGGTCAGGATGTTCTCTTCCGGGAGGAAAATATTGACCGGTTTCCGGTTTAGTTGTGTAGACGAGACCGCCACCTCGACGCCGTAGAAGCCGTGAGAGCGAGCTGGGTGGTGCCGCAGAAGGAGGGCTTCGAAAAGGCCGGGACCGGATCCGATTGATAGAGTGAGGTGTGGTGGGGCGGGTAGGAGGGAGTTGAGGGTGGACAGGAGTGGTAATGAGAGGGAGCAGCAGGAGAGGGGTTGGCGGGTGGGGGTGGCGAGGAGTTCTGGAAGGGGGGTTGGTGTCATTTTCTTTTGGCCGAAGCTATTTCGCAGACAGCAGTGAAGAATGGTGCAGGTGAGAGGAATGATTGTTGTTGCTGAGGTTGAGAAATCTGTGAACAATGGCAGGGGGACAGTTTGCTCTGCTCTGTGCGAGATTGCATAAAATTTGGCCAAAAGATCCTCAAAATTGCTCGAGAACGCTAACCTCTCGTTCGACCTTACCAATGGGCCCAATTTTATATTTCAATATGGCAGTGCTTTTAGCTTTGACTATACCCGTCCAGAAAAAATGACACTCTGTCAATTGTTACGGTAGAGCCCATTTGTTTAACGATGTCAAGAAACCAGCTCCTTGCTATCTAGTCTCTTTATCTACCTAATTGATACCGAGAGTGGTCCAAAACAAACATGCTCCGAGCAACTCGGACTAAAAATTTCAAAACGTGAGCCCCTCTGTGTTATTAATAGCGTGATCAACATGAAACTTCGTAAAAGCGTGTTCAAGTACCGTCTGAGCCTTGATAAGCTGACCATCCTGAAATCGCACATTTATATTCCTAAACTTCTCTAAGCTCAGATAGCAATCTGATCCCGGTACTACTATGGCCTGTAGGTATTTCTGAACTACTTTCCTCCTAAACACCTTCCCTTGTTCCTTTTGGTTGCTATGATCAGGAATGCTTTGCTCCCAACCTGGGTTGTTCAGACTAACGCAAGACAGAATGAGAGAGCTCAGGCCCGATGCTATGGCGGTGGTAACCGAACTGCCAGAGATACGCTCACTTGAGTTAAGAAACGGAACTGACCCGGCGGCAATGTTGAGGGCGTTGAGCTTATATTTGAAGCCGTTTTTATCCTTTACTTCCCGAAGCAGCGCGCCATATTCGTCACATGCAGCAATAGTGAGTGTCTCATCGTAACTTGCTGGAAAGCTCTTTGGCGCGACCACCCCCTCATCATGGCTGCTACACATCAAGATAATCCCCCTAGAATGAGCCTGAATGATAACCGCGTCGAACTTATTCGTAGTTTCCACTATAGAGAAGCTCATTGAGATAATGTCGACATCATTATCGACTGCCCAGACGATGGCTTTAGCCACGCGTTGCGGTGTGATGCCGTACTTGTTACTGTCGGTTACTTTGGTAATATAGAGCTTGCATAACGGGTCGATGGCGCAAATAAGATTGGCCATCTGGGTGCCGTGGGGGTCGGAGGCGAACATCCAGGGGCTCACTTGACCTTCGTCGTCGACAAACGACCGCCCGCTCTGTACGCGGGACCACAGGGTACGGGCCTGTTTCTCTCCATCCTCGGGGTTTTCGTCATCGCCAGGTTTGATACCTGCACCATTGATCGATCTCAGCTGGTCGCTAGCGCGAATCTTCCCTGCGGTTACATCTGTTCTTCTCTTCATGTTTTCGCTCGTTCCTTTTGGCTCTCGGGATCTGATCCCGTTTCGGCGAGGTTTGCTGCTGACGATGGTGTTTGGAGGTGCAGGTGTTACGCTCATGATACCGTTATCAATAACTGCGATCTTTATAGGTCGATGTCCCAATCGCTTTTTGTGGGACACTGAAGGGCCTGGGTTTTCCCAGACCCACACCGGTTTGCTCTTGGGGCTGGATTTTCTTACTGTTTTCTTCTTGACAAACAACCAACTACAGTAATACTAATTTGTTTACCATTTTTTCTGGCCAATTTTGGCCTCATTTTCGCAGCCAGTGACTTTCCTAGGTCACCAGCCCAACACTTTTCCTCAGAAATTGCAGTCCCCGTCGCATAGTCTCGATAACTTAGGATAAACCGTGATAATTTGGGAAAAGCTCTCTGGGCTCTAATGTAGGCGGATCCATGGGTCAGTTGAATTCTGTGACAAATAGATGAGGATTGTACTTACATATCTTCTAGGCTGGGCAATTTCTCCTGTGTCGGATTCCAAGGTCGAGCCGGAGGGACTATCCAACCTGGTTTATTAAAAGCGCTGAGCTTCTTTTTGATGTAGTTTCGAGTCGCAAAATATTTCTCCTTTGTCATCATGTCCTGAACAACATGTATCCAAACAAATTCAAGCTATAATACCGTCAGTTCAAATCAGGCAGACGACGTCCGCACATGAGTACCCAGACTCTGGCCATTCCCCGACGTCACACGGCATCCGTTCATGTGGTGACTTACATTCTCAAAAGTCCTCAACCCATCTTTCTCATTCAGCCAGTGACTGATCGCTGCCATCTTCCCGCTGGAGTACAAATGGAGACCACGAATTCTCTTCTTCGTCTCATCACTGAAAACGGAAAGCGACATGTCCAGAAAGCGCCAATCGAGGATTTCAACCCCGAAATCCTGGACATATTGTGCAATATCGCGTTCGCTGTGTGGGTTGATAAGTCGGTCAAGAACCTTGAGATCCAAAATCGTTCTGACATGCTTGGTTCGATATAACCAGTCCAGTATGTCAAACACCTCACTGTGCTCTTCTCGGATTGGAAGCAGGATGGTGTTGCTACTGTCCGGGTAGGTATCAAGGGCTGGGAACCTGGCGTATTTAATGGTTTCTTCGTAGCTTAGAAGTTCTTGATGCTCCTGGTGCATGGTTAAGGAATGGACGAAGTCCCGTACGCGATACGATTTGAAATCGAACTGTGACATGTCGAAGCAAAGTTCCTTAACTATTAGTAGGAAAAAGAAATAGTTAAAACTCGATCAAACTAGGTACCTCGCTTGTGGTGTCCTGGTGTTACTTACTGGGTTTTAAGGGCAAGGGGAAACGTTAACTAAACTCAACTTCAAGCATTCACACCGCGATCGCTGGGAAAATATACCTTCTGAACTTTCCAATATTTCCAACAACTTCTGCATTGTTTGGGTCTTCTTGATGGTCTCCATAACCAGTTCGCGCCGGATTTCAGCTTGGGTCCCTTGGCCATCAGCAGTGCGCTTCATCCATCCTGTCTGTGACCAAGTTCTGTTGTTGTACCATAGCGGGTAATGTGAACCGTTTCTTGGTTCCTGGATGTTCGCATCGTTGGTGGTTCCCAATGCCACTTTTCTCGTAGATTTTAACACTGCATGTAGGCATAAGGAGTCGTATATATGGGCCGTCGAAAGAACAGAATCCGGATAATTTTTAATAAAATGCTTCACGAACTGAAGGTTCTGATAAGATACTGCGAGATGGAGCAGCCATGATGTGTCAAGCTCAGAATCCAGCACCGTTTCCCATATTCCTGCCCAGATATCCATGGCATCGAGCTCCACGATCTTATGAATCACCCCGGGGGTGTATTTGTCTTTATCTGCAGATTCTAGCAGGAGACGTAGGATCTCGGTTTGACCATCGAACATACTCTGTTGGGGGTCTTGTTAGTGAACTTAGTCCTCGTCCTCAACGTTATCCTCCTTCCCGCTATCCTGGTTATCGAGGTCACGATAACTGATAGACCCGCCTTCCCAGGATCCAAGATTTTTATTCCTGTCGCCCAGGGCCCCGTTTTCCGGCTCCCCACGGTCGGGTAACTTTAGTTTGATAGGTTAAGGTTATAAGTCATGTTATATATCTAGGGCTTTAATAATATTGTCCGCTGTAATAAATTTCTGAACCAGATCGGGTATCTTAAGAAACTCCCTTACAATAGTCACTCTTCCCGCTAGCAATGCATCCGTAAAAGTTGTGTCGGGACTATCAGCGATCTCAGGCTATTTCAGGAGCTCAGTGAGGGTTTCGAGCTTCGCAGGTGTATCTACGTCTCTAGTTGCTAAGTTGAGAGCGGTTTTCTCATGATCGTGCTCGACGCTTCTTAAAATGTTGGTTAGGAGTTGGGTGTGAGATGGTCCCGGCGGAGCGGGCTGCTTCCGTTAGTAGGCGTCCAAAAAGCCTATTATAATAGGGATAACAATAGAGTTGCCGATGTAAGCGGTGCGGTAAAACGGCGTTGTTCTTAGCTTTTGGTTTTCCAATGTAACATTTTGCACTTTTTTGTGAGAGAACCCTTGCTGGTGTTTGACGATGTCTAACCTGGATCCTCAAAAGAAAGGTATACCTCCTCGTTAGCAATGATCTTAACGAATTCTCTCAACGCCTTACTCCCAATGGGCTCCGTAGTTATGTTAGACGACTAAACTAGTTGGAGATTGGCGGCGTGGTGGGCGGCAGACTGATCATCTGGCGCGGGGGTCTCCCTACGTGGAAGAGGCAGTTTGGGATGGAGGAATTGGGGTTGTAAAGCAATGCGCAACTGAATGGGACTGGTGGCATTGCATTCTCAACGGATAGCAAAAGCCTTATGCTGGCGGTGAGTGCAGGAGACGTAGTGAGTGTGGTGAGTCTCCCGTCGTATAGCGTAGTGCATTCGTGGAAGCTGCCATCCTGCATCATGGTAATATGCTTTACACCTGGAGGTGATCTTGTGGTGGCTTACGGTATTGGCCGTTTGCACGCCGGACAACGGTCAGGAACGATACACGATGGAAGCGACCGAAAAGCTGAGGAGTGTCTGTTGCTCTCCCAACTCGCAATGGATTGCTGCAGGTTCAGAGGATGGTCATATTTTCCTTTGACAATTAGGCGTTAGAGGAGCACCGGTAAAGACGTTTTCTGGTCACAAGGATGCAGTAGTCAGTCTGTCGTTTGCAGGGTACCGGCCCTGTCTTGTTTCGGCATCTGACGACAGAATACTGAAGATGTGGGATCTGAACGAGCCTGACAACAAGCAGGGGTGGACAATTCAGAATGAATCGCGCATCAAGTGTGTGGTTTGTTCTCCTGACGGATCGACAGCGTTGTCAAGTTCAGCTGACAACACCGTACGTCTCTGGGATCTCGAAGCAGCCAGGCAGTATGATCAACGACGGCCTGGAAGCAATGTAGCTAGTGACAAACCCGAGTATGTTGAGGAACACTCAGGCCGTATCGACATTGTCCGATTCTCCCTCGACGGACAGCACTTGGCCTCCGGAGACTCACGCGGAAGAATCTGTTTGTGGGATGGGAATACGGGAGAGCTCAAAAGTTCAATGCAAGGTCATCATGGTCAAATCCAGTGGCTTGTCTTTCTGAAGACGGCAAATGGTTCAGTTCGGCATCAAATGATTATTGCGTCAAAGTGTGGGACACAAGAACGGCAGCATGTACCCATAGGTTCTCGGATCACGATGACAGGGTGCGCAGTGCTGCTTTCTCCTCAGACAGCCGGCAACTAGCCTCTGCGTGTGATGACGGTACGGTACGTGTGTGGGACCTTGATTAAGGGAACTGTGATCAGGATGGCAGCGACTCGGACAGCAACAGCGACTCGGACAGCAACAGCGACTCGGATAGCAGTGATTCGGACAGCAGTGACTCGAGCAGCAGTGACTCGGACGACAGGAACTCGGACTACGGTGATACTATCAAAGTAGAGGCAAACAAGACTGCTCCTGAGAAGAGGGCAGAGAGAATCGTCATCAGAACCAAGCGTTTTAAGGGCGACACCGACTATATTCGCAAAGTTTGTTTCTCGCCCACCGGTTATCTCCTCGCATCATGCGGCGACGATGTTACAATTCACCTTTGGCAGCTGACTTTGACGACAAATACTATCACAACAGGTCAAGACAGCAGCTCCAATGAGGAGCCAGAGTCCGAAAACGGAACCAATAAGGCTTACAAGGTCTTAACATATAAAGAGGCTTTCTTGGAAGTTACCTTCTATCCAGATGGTTTGCGTTTACTCTCCTCGTCCTTGGATGGCATCAGGATTTGGCATATCGAGAGCGGCGAGTGTCAGGCCGTCATTAGTGTCGGGCCCTTTCGCTCTCTTCAAGTCTATCCATCAGTAAATAATCGCTCTCTTTAACCCAATCCCTCGTCCAGCAACTAGGTTCTGATAGAGAGGAGGCCTTAGTATATCGACACGAATAACAAGATAGCTAGCAACACCGCACAACGTCCGCCACCAAACGAATTCCCGATATCATTAAACACTTCAGGATGGATCATGTGGAGGGACAAAGGCATCCTATGTCTCCCTGAGCAATACAGGCCGGGTCCTAAAGCCCTGAGCGCCTGGGTCCAAGGAAACCGGGTAGCTATCGGGTCTCGGTCAGGAGAAGTCTTGCTATTTAGGTTCGCCGACGGAGTGACGCTAACGTAGGGGAGAAAAGTCGATGCATAATTAGCTGCTAGCACGATATTAAAGTCCATCACAAAAGTCTAGACCTTGCCACCCCCACAGCTCTTAAAGTGGGTAGGTACCTATACCGCAGTGAGAGAGCATAGAAACCAAAAGGACAGGGGCTAAGTCTAAGTAGTACAAAAGGATCATGGACAGTGTACGATATGCGTTTAATGGTGGTGTTTAGCTAGTCTTATCTTTCTATTCTCAATAGCTTAGTTTCTTTTGTTAGCCCTCATATTATTTTCTCTTTATCTCTAGTGTGGTGGACGAGTCATCTATAACGAATCCCCTTTTTACGTACCTGGGGTACAGCCCACTTTAACGCTTCTATCGATCTTCTCGGGTCTTACACAGGTTTAATATATGTGTCCTGTTATTTACCAGGTAGTTAAAAAAGAAACAACATATCTTATAGATTTTCCGTGGAAAAACTTATAATGGATGGTGAGGTGCCTTAGTTACCTAGTTCAACCACAACATTTTAACTCTAGATCCACTTTCACTCAGGGGTATTCTTGGCAGCCCCTTTTTATTGTTGGTTAACACACCTCTTGTGTCCAGTGTAAGAATCGCTAAATAAAAGAAATTGATAGAAATTCTGAAAGGTCATATTACCTTTCATTCTAAATACCTAGTCTAGCCTCGAAATGATCAAAAACTTGTCATCACTTCGTAAATCATAACCCGCCCCCTTGGCCCCAGTATAATCTGCTTTTCCTCTTCACAAGAAAAGAGGAAAAGACAAACCAGATATCAAAATGACCTTCCATTTCCTTCTTATAGCTCCGGAAATAAAACCAAGCAAAAAACTTTCCTTCTAAAGCACTCTAAGAAAAAATGAAAAAACACATAACAGAATAGAGAAAGTCACCCCACAACCTGCTGCTGCCCACCCTGACCGCCTCCCTATGCATTATTCCCCTGCTACTGACTCTCCTCCTTCTTCAGCAACCTTTTCCGGTTGTACAGGTCCGTACTTAACACATTTACATACCCCCTCCTCCTCCTCAGCTCTTCTTGGATCTGGCTCACCAACCTCCCCTCCCTCAGCCAGCCGTCCACCTCTGCACTCACAAAATCAGGCAGCTTCCTCGCTCGTGGATCGCTGGTATCCGTGCTCGGCCCGTGGTTGTGTACCTTGTGCTCTTCGTTCGGATAGTGTAGCACCTAGACGTCACTATCCTTCGCCGTCTCGATGACCTCAAACTTGAAGAGACAACCGCACTTCTTGGAGGTTCTGTCGGTGGTGGGCTTCCGACGGCCTTCTTCTTTAGCTTTGACAAACACCGAGGGGTCGACGGGGGGTCGGTGGTGGCGGGCTTCGCCCCCGCGGAAGCAGACCCAGCGGACTTTTCGCTTGCCGGTGACTTTGGCGCCGGCGATGCGCATGGAGTAGCCCCGGGAGAGGGTCCAGGCGTCGAGGGTAGCTTGCATGGCTGCGCGGGAGTTGATGACGAAGTTGGGGGGTGGGGGCTCGAGGGGGATTATGGGCTGTTGGGGTTGCTGTGGGATGGCATGTTGCTGGTATGCGAGCTCTGCTGCTGCTGCTGCTGCTGTGTGGGTTGCGGTTGATTCTGTTGTGGCTGCTGCTGCTGTGGTGGTTGTTGTTGACCCCCCTGTGATAGTGATTGCGGTGGTGGTGGAGGCGGTGGTTGGATGGGTGTCTGAGACAGTGTGGTATTGGTGACAGGACATACTGGGACAATGATCTCTGCAGGTAAACAAAAGGAGCAAATGAAACAGCTTTCAGAGATAATTGTCGACTCTTTGATCTTGAGCAGTTGTTCTGTCAGTTGGGGGTAATACAAGGCGATGCGACCACCCGCACTCAAGTCTGGCGTTGGTTGTGAGGAGAGAGCCAGTCACGTCTTCTCATCTGTTTGTTGTGGTGGGGCACGCTGTAGGCCTCACCCTGCCGGCTGGCTTGGTTGGCAAATGTCCTTCGACACTGCAGATGACCAGTCATGCCAGGCTTGTATTCTCTCTGTTTCCCTACCGCCTCGTCTCGATTACAGGCAAATGTTAACTCATGTAAAGGCCGAGAACTCGGGTCCAACTTGCTATTCATTGCCTTGCTCTTCATGCTTTTCATCAACAACAACCCCAGCTCCCCATAGGTGGGAGGCTGCATGTTTTGAATTTTCATGACGATGAATGGTCCCGATGAGCAAATCACAACATGCTTGGTATTCCGTTTGTCTCCTGCCGGGAGGTGGTTACATCGGACTGAAGTGGCGGCCAAGCACAGGCGAGGCAAAATATCAGCTTTTCTTCCCCATTGTATCCTCAAATCACTTGATATTACTGCGACTTCACTCAGATCTTCCCTACTCCCGCGCCAAACTTCACCAACGGAGACACCAACAGCAGCGGCGTCAACTTGTACTTGTACGGCGCCTTCAAAAAGTCTCCCACCTGCGTGATGTTGACCGTCGCCCCGCCCCAGTCATTTCCTAAACACAACTCCTGTCAGCAACCATATTCCCACCCCACAACAAGACGGAAACACTTACTGGCCCCCAAATTCGCAAACCCATCCAGCTCCTCATCCCCACAAACACACGTGTTCGGCGAATCCTCCGGGATCACCAACCCATACGTACTCAACGCCTCCCTTGTCTTACCCCTAAAGACATTCCCCTCCACCAGCACCTGATTATCCGACCTCGAGTGAATAGCCTGGTACAAAAAGTCCTCATACAAGTTGTTGTAGACGTGCTGATGACCAAACCGTCCGGCCGGACCGCGAGTCCCCTCGTTGCGCCAGTGGTTGTGGTGGTAGGTGATGTGCAGGTGGCCAAAGTCAATGTCACGGAAGTTGGCGTCGTTGCCGACGAGGGAGGACTTCCAGTGGTCGTGGAAGTAGTTCCACGAGACGGTGATCCAGTCGGAGCCGCGGATGATGTCGACCTGGCCGTCCTACGGAGCATCAGCAAGTTGGGCTCAGGGAAAGGGAACAGGAAAACCACCCACGTATTCATCTGGCCCCTTGGAGATATCGCTCGTAAACTCGTTGTGGTCTACCCACACCCTCGTCGAGTTTCTTATCGTGATGCAGTCGTTATCCAGAATAAAACTAATCTTCAGATTCTGGATAATCACATTCGTCGCGTTGACGATATCCAACCCTGACCCGGTTATCTGCGCTGTCTTGCCCACCCCGATCACTGACTTGTTGGACCCGATTTTGGGCCTCGAAGGGAAGTTTAGTTCTCCACTGACGAGGACAATCTTTGGTTCATCACCGGTGACTGCTGCTTTGAAGTCTGCGACGGTGGACACGGTGACAGTGGAACCGCCTTTGCCGCCGGTGGTAGGGCCGAGGGGGTTATCTCTCGCGAAGCCTTCCACGTCCCAGGAGGCGAGGCCGAAGAGGGAGGTGGGGAGGAGGGGGAGAGCCCCTGATAAGGGAGCAAACAGTAAGAGAAGGTTGAACCGCATTTTGTGGGTGATGGCTCAAACTAGTCGTGAGCGACCAGCCCTGTGTAAATTGCGGTGATTGCTTAAGCTCTTATAGTAGAGGGCCAGTGTTGTCATGACGCGACGTGACGGTGAATAAGCTCAATGGGTTACCATCCCAGCGGGGAACCCTGCCTAGAAAAACACGATGGCTTGCGGCGTGAGACCTCCTTCCAGACATGGTGGTGGTGATTTTATCCGTCTTGGCCAAGAGATCGCGCCAAGGCCACCCCTGAAATCGCCCCTGAGTGGTGGAAATATGTCTTCCGATCGGATCAGCGTTGCGAGAATGCTACTTTGATGTGAGAACTTGGGTCAAGTCGGAAAAGGGATTAGCACTAAAGTTTACTCATGGATACTGTTGTGCTGTTGTGAAAATCAGTCTTGAGACTTGATCGCGGGGAAGTTGGTGATGGCGACAAACCCACACACCATTGTGGGTTGTCGGGATGCAGACGGCCCATATCTAGGGTGATACAGCAATAATTACCATGGTGACACAGCATATATACGACCATTTAACATCGACTAATAGGGTCGCTAGAGTAGTAAGTTGCAATCGTTCAGCATGAATGCCATTGCCTCTTTTTGGATACGACTGCGAGTCAAGAACGGTATCAAAACCAGATCGTCATGTAAGGTATGGGAAGATATGAGCAGAACAAAAAACGGCATTACCACCAAGATGAACCTACATTGAGGTATCAAGGCATCCCCATCACAACCCTCCTCGCCTTCCCCCTCAACTTCGCCTGCTTCCCAAACTGCTCTTCTCTCTCCCTCTTGATCTTGATCTCCATTTCCAACCGCCTGATGATCCCCTCTATCGCCTGCAGCTTCTCCTGCCCAAACTTCCCCGGCACCCCAAACCCATCAATCTCCCTCTTCACTTTAAGAGTATACTCCAACGCCTTGTCCAGGTTGCCAACGTGGTAGTACATCCTGGCTGGATACTCATACATGTCAGACATCTGGTCGGTGAGACCCTCCTCCTCGACGAGCTGGAACATGTGCTCCGCTTGCTGGAGCGCTTCTTCAAACTTTTCCTCTTGGGCGAGTTGGGGGATGGAGGCTTGGTAGGAGCGGATTTGGGCGCGGTTATCATCAGACTTTTTGAGAACTTCGGGGGGCGAGGTGCAGAGGGCGCATGAGCTGGGATAGGTTAGCAGCTGAGTTGTGGGGATGGAGGGGAAAAGGAGGGGGCTGACCATTTGAAACCCCAGATATTTTCGAGGGCTTGTTGTCTTTCTTTGGACAGAAGACCGGCGGTGGAATCTGTGAGATAGGTATGTTAGTGTGTATTGAGGTAATCAAGGGTACGGTGGTGCGGCTTACATGTAATGGAGATTTCCTCCCCAGGTTCAATGTCTCTTGAGGCCCAGACTGTCATGGCCAGGGTTGTCTCGGAGAAGTAGATGAAAGCACTGCAATATGTCAGTGGTGGTCCAGTTATGGTTCCCTTTCACACTCACTTTGGCTTGCAATCGTGGTTAAACCTCTGTTCAATGTTAGCATCTCGAGGCACCATCCTTCCAAAACCATCAAACTCACCGACAGATCCGCAAACAAAGCCATAAACTCCTTCCCCTGAATCAACACCGTAAAGCTGTTCGTCAACAACAAATCCTCAATCTCGGTTGCCTCGTCACCCCTCCCCTTCTTCGACAGTCCCAGCACCTTTTCTGGCTCTCCCAACCGGTGCACCGCCGTCTCCAACAAGTCCTGCACTTCCTCCCTCATCACATCAGCAGGGTACTCGACCGCTGCAATAAGCGACGCATGATCCACCAGAATAGCCTTCCCCTTCTCAATCTTTTGCGTGGAAATCACTCCCTTTCCTTTGCCAGGAATGTCAACAACCTTGTATGGTCTTGGCAGGTAGATCTTCTCGGGGGCGAAGAATTTCTGGTCAAAGGGGTGCTCGAGAATGTTCAAGGTAGTTCCGGCAATCTCAGGGGTAGTGATGATGCTGATGCCGTGGCCTTTTGGAGAGGCAGCATTGGTGTAGACACACCATGGCTCTTCGTTAGCCTCGAGGCAGTAGGGCCTATGTGTCCAGGGGCTCCAGGCTGCTGGGTCGTAGGAGTAGGGTCCAATGGTGGTCAGGACAGTGCGGTTGAAGGGGGTGGTTGGGAGACCGCGGCCGCATAGCTCATCGTCATCTGGCAGTTCTGATGTGGCTCTTGTGCCTGTGGTAAAGTGGGAGAGGGTGAGAGCGGACGTGAGGAAAGTTGTCAGGGCAAGGCAAGCCATCGTGAAAGTGAATGCTTGTGGAGGCTCACGTTGTAAAATGGTGCTTGTAACTTTCTGTCATGAATCGAAGACCCGATACTAGAAGTCGACATGTTGACAGCTTGCATTGTTGCTGTCGCCACGGTAGAGTGTGCATTTAGCCGACCACAGTTGTGTAGTCTCATTGGAGCAGCCAGGTGTCTTCCCGATGGAAGCGCGATTGGTACCGGATGATTTACCCGAGACGTTGTAACCAGGTTTTGATCAGTAGATGCGAAATGTCTTCTCTGACGGATTAGTATCGAGAAACTTGCCATACATCAATCCATCGATGTATGCATCTCCCCGAGAATAGTAGCCCTCACCAACGCTGTCACGCCTGCGAAGAATGATGGGAGTTCTACCGCCCCAGAGTATCGTCACAATATCACCCTTCTGAAGACCGGAGCGGCCAAGCCCCAACATTCCTTTTCTGGTCTTGAACAGCCTTCGATTTACGTGTCTAAAACGATCCTTCTGTCGCGCATGGAAGGCAAAGGATGCGATTTGTCGGCTGGTCAATGCTATCGGGTTTGGCGACTCTGATCTGAGCCGTTCCAGCACGTCCAGCTCGGCTTTTGTCAAGCTTTTACTCTTGATCTTCTTTCCCCGCATCATTCTCAGCCAGAGAGAGAGGCCATCTTCCTGAATGAGTGGCAATCTTCGTCCTTCCATGTCTGCTGGATAATGACCCCGATGGTGACATGTAACAGTACGCCAAATCTGTTCCTCTTCAGCTCTGGACCTAGATCCAAGCTCAATAAACCTAGCCATCTGCACAAGATGCCGATTCCATTCATTGTCGAATCCTTCGAACGGTGGACACTCCATGACAGCTTCGATTTCATCCACGTCACATCCGCTCAAAAAAAGAACCCCGTCATCTTCCCAAACGCCAGTCGAGACCTCAAAGGACGGGGGCTTTGAGCCACTCGCCTTGAATGAATAAACCTGGTTAATGGGAAACGGTGTGAGACCTTGGGTTCCGATGTCACTCCAATCGGGGACCCATGTAGGCAGTCCTTGTGAGCCATCGGGCTCATTAGGGGGGGCATTGATCCGAAGAAGAATAGTCCCAAAGGGGTTTCCCCAATATGATGCGTGAAGACTGCATATGAAGCAAAGATCCGTGTCAAAGTCGTAAACACGTCAGCAACCGACCGATGGTAGTCCGCCTGTATATCCAAACTGCGTTTCCCTAGAATCTGACGTGCAAGCCCCAATACACCGCAGAGAATATCTCTCGGGCCTGTGGCCATGTAATGCGGTTCACCGACCATGATGATCGGGAGGTGGGCAAGGACCACCTCCTGAATGATCCATATTCGGTGCCAGTACTCCATTGACACAATGTATGATAGGCCCTGTCCATCGCCCCGTGTAAGTTTATGTAGTCCCCAATGAAGTCATACCAAAACGCACCCAGCTTAGAGTCCGGGCAGCTAAGCGTTTCTGCTGAGCTTGTGGCCAATTCTCTGAACGTGAGATATTCTTCAACCTCTCTCCTCAGCTCTCCATTGCGAGGATTAGGAATGTATAGCTGACTGAGTTCAGATCTGAGCAATATAGCTTGCGGTGCGTGCGTTGCAAAGTGATCCATGACAGCATCTGTGGACATAGTTCCACGTCCCGACCAAAGATAAACTCAGTTGGCAAGACTGCAGATAGTGTGCATATTTGTCACCTGACGTATTCTTTCCAGATGATCCGCCATGTCGATGCATAGGGCGTCCAATCCAGAGCCACCCGGTGTCGATTTAACGGGGTTGTTGAAGAGCAGCATTGAGGTTCTTGGTGGCTGCAAACGTAGAGTTGTCCACGGTGATGTTGATCGGAAACCAAAAAAAGAGGTCAGAGGTTGAGGTAGGTCAGGTAATACTGTGGGGAGAAGTTGCCGGCGGTCTCCTGCCTGTCTCCCGTCTCTCCGAAGACCACTCGGTCCCACGGCCCCACCAGAACGCCATGCCGTGCCGAGCCAGCGGCTTCCGCAACGGCCCCACAAAAACCCAAGATAGTGACGACATCACTCTAGAGCATTACGGTGACAGCATAGATTCCTGACATTTCCACATAAAACAGCTGCACCTGCAGTTCATCCGATCTCGAGCAATCTCGTAGGCCACAATCATCCCAACTGCATACAACAACACCCAGATCATTCCCATCTACCTATCCACCATGACACGAACCGACCGCGTGTTCCAGCTCGTCGGAAGCTGCAACAACTACCCCTGGGGCAAGCAGGGCGAGAAATCACTTGCCGTCCAACTCCACAAGAAGACCGACCCCAATTTTGAAATTAAGAACGACGAATTCTACTCTGAGCTCTGGTTCGGGGATTATCCAGACTTTCCTGCTCGAGTGCTGGAAACAGGCGAGCTTCTCCAGGATGTCCTCCAGAAGCACAAGGACGAACTCCTCGGCAAGAAGGTTATCGAGGAGCTAGGTGGACAGCTGCCTTTTCTGCCCAAAATTCTCTCCATCGCCAAAGCCTTACCTCTTCAGATTCACCCCAACAAGGAGCTCGCCGCCAAGCTTCATAAAGAAGATCCAGAGAACTTCACCGATCCGAACCACAAGCCCGAGATTGCAGTGGCGCTTTCCAAGTTCGAGGTCTTTGCTGGGTGGAAGCCGCTGGAGGAGGTTCAGTTACTTTTCAAGCGCCTCGGGGTCCTGCGCCAATTTGTCCCTGCTGGCATCGAAGACTGGTCGGAGTTGACCCTCCGCGAAGTCACCCGGTCCCTTCTCCAGGCCGATGAGAAGACCGTCAAGTCCGTTGAGGAAGCCTTGGCCAAGGCATCCAAGGAAGAGCTTGGCAAGCAGACATACATCCTCGATTTGCTGCCTCGTCTCCAAGACCAGTATGGCGCTACTGATAACGGATCTCTGGTTGCGTTACTCTGCATGAACTTCCTCGTGTTGGACGCGGGTGACGCGATTTACATTCCGGCAGACGGCATCCACGCCTACTTGAGTGGTGATATTGTCGAGTGCATGGCTCGCAGCAACAATGTCCTCAACGCTGGCTTCTGTCCTCCGGCGGATCGCAACAATATCGACATGTTTGCCGACACGCTCACATTCAAGCCAAGCACGAGATCAAAAGACAGCGTCATCCTGCCGTCGCAGGACCAAGGAAAGGTCAAGATCTACAAGCCACCGATGAGCGAGTTCGACATGCTCAGGCTCAGCCTGTTCCAGGGAGAGGGAGAAGACATTGAGGCGCACCGAGGGCCGGGTGTTATGATTATCACACACGGCAACGGAACAATGCTAGCGGACGGCAAGACGTTTAGACTGAAGGAAGGGTCGATTTTCTTTGTCGCACCGGGGGTGAAGGTTCGGATCGATAGTCCTGGTGGATTGGAGGCGCATATGGCTGTTGTTGCTTGAGTGGGCGTTTTTGACTTGCCGACGGAGAGTCTGGGAGATTGCGCTGTTACGTCCTGAAGTCTGGCGAGCAGCTGTTGGCAACGTCGCACTTCTTTACAAGACCGAGTTCCACGTCTACACCTCAAATGATAGGTCAGCAATTCTTGTGCTTTGGTTATGCCTGCCACCAACAACATGAACGAGGCGGAATGCAAGCTCCGCCACAGTGACTTCACCACTGGCCGGGCCTCGACATGAGAACACGCAGTGTCTGCAACGAGGCACTCGTGGCTGTGTAAAATTATCCTTGACCATCAGATACCATCCCATTCAATAAAGCAAAACAGCCCATCCAGCCTCCGCAGAAATTCATATTTACCTACTTATCACTGTCAGGTGTCAAACATACTTCCAACCAGTCTGCCTAACCTTTTGCTGCCTTTTCAAGCTCAGATTACTACAACAATATCAAGTTTTACTATCCTTCTTACGCCCCATGGTACAAGATGTCATCTGGTTACTCCGTGGGTGACTTTGTCGCTGGCGCCGGGATGGCCCAGAAACTGTACATCCTCGTGAAGACTTCAGCAGACGCTCCCTCCGAATATGAAGCTGCAATGAAGAAACTTGTCCTGACCCAACAGGCCTTCATCACTGTGAGCCAACTCAGCCAAAACCAGGTTTTTCTGCCCCGAGACACAATCAACTCGGCGTCATTTCTCATCTCATCGTCACTGGACACGATCTCGAAATTCCTCAAACGAACCGAATCCCTGAAAAAGAGTATGTCCAGTAACGGGCCGCCAACTATTCGAGATAGTGGGTGCAGAATTGGGTGGGAGTTGTACGGGAAAGACGAACTGAGAGAGCTACGCGAGAAGTTGCATAACTGTCTCGCTGCGCTGAATCTTCTGCTCTCCGCAGCGAACCTGTATGGATATTAATACCTGGACAGAATTATTTTGGAAATTTGGCTAACTGTTGTGCAGTGGACATCGCTCTATTCTCCCTCCATCCACCCCATCGCACGCTCCGACCCTCGATCAAAATGATGGATATACCTCAGAATCTACATGTGTGGATTTGGAAGTCGTCGATCTCATAGGGGAAGAACTGGGTTCGACGCGTTCGGATCACCAGACTGTCAATGAGTCCCCAAAAACTTCAGCCAAGCCCTCGCAGCTGAAGACTGAACTTGGAGGCAGGCTTGAGGCTGCCAAATCCCCTGCTTCTTCACTCGAGAAACCCAAAACGCTGAGCAGCACCGGTGGCCCCGACCATGCATTGTTGGAGCGGCTTGCAGTCCTGTAGAAGCCAGCAGCAGAGAAGAAGGATTGGGAATCTAGTCAAGCCGAGCGGAGAAAGAATGCCGACTTTCTGATCCGCCACGCATAATCTGCATTTGGGTCCATACTTCAAGGCAAAAGCATTCCCAAAAGAATCTGAAGACTTGACGACAGACGTACCTATTTCGTTCAAGGATGCAGTAGGAAGAAAGTTTCATTCCCGTACGATGTTTGCAAGAGCTGGATGGACCTTGAGGAGCTCATAAAGCAGGCATTTGTGAATATGGAGGTCGTTGGTTCTCGTGTCCATGAGGGTCACTACGACTTGATCAATAAACGAGGGTAATATTGTCCGGCCAAGTCTCTGCGAAAGGTCGGTGCAACCTGGATGGAAAGTCTCTATGCACATGTGACCTATGGAAAAACATCCTATGAAAATTCGTCACCCCGGAAGCCACCTGGACTCGACGAAACCTCCTTTACAGTCCCCCGAGTCCTCGGAAATCCCATGGAGACCTCTGACACCTCCGCCACGACCATCGGCCCCGCCCCCCAGAATTTCTCCATCCAACAAGTCATGGGGTTTTCGACACCACGATTTCCCAACTTCCCATTGAATGCCAAACGTGACAACCACCCATTCTACCCCAGTCTTCAACAATTCCGGCAGATGAATTGGAATAGGGACCGGCCACCCAGCTTCACGGCGGAAGGAAAACCAGCATCATCGCAAGATGATTCCTCGACATGTAGTGATGAGGGTTTAAGAGGGTACAAATGACTTTGTGCTATAAAATCTTGTTTCGTTGGGGATGTAGTGATCTTCCAATCTCCTTGATGAAGCGTAACTGATTTGGCTTGGTGTTGTTGGTATCATGCCAAGACCTGTGTAAGTCCTGCCAGCTGGCGCGCAACTGCCTCCCGCAACCACATCCGGGTTCCACAAAACGTCATCGATTCCGGAGCGTCCATTCCACAAAAAAGTCGATGATCCTGTTCGTGTTTGGCAAGACCAAGAGATTCTCGAATCTGAGATTGGGCCGTCACTCAAAATGGAATGGCACCCAAACGACGCTCCCCCAGCAGGTTCGAACCATGGCTCTGGCACACCTGCGTCACCGACTCCATCTTTATCCGCCCGCTGATTGGCAGCCATTGATGTCATTGCCGTCTTTCAGCCCAGCACCAGGAGCATCAATAAAACCACTGGCGACAATGTCTATGACCCCCCATCCACCACCTGCCTGCTCTCAACTTACGTAGAATAAAGCTCTTTTCGTCGTCCACTTGGCCCCAGGCCCGGCCACCATCCTACCTTATCATACTAACTACCCTTTTGCACCCCTACCTAGACTGGACAGACCTTAACCTACACGGTCATGGCTTCATCCCAGCCAACGGCACCGGACGTGCCGTCCAAGAACGAAAATGAAAACAGCCTAGGATCTGAAATCGTCGACTTCTTACCCATCCCCGCCGTCAACCCTACCACCTCTGTCGAAGGCCCTCACAAGCCCGAGCCCAGTGACAAACTGGGAAACCAACAAACTCTCTCGCACGCCTTGGCTACCGAGGGCACCACCGAACACCCTCAAGGCATCGCCCAACTCGACCACGACGAAGAGGTTCGCGACCTAGGATGGAACGAGCCCAAGCAAGAGATTCCAGCCCCTCTGGTAGGTGGTATGGACAACGACGAGCTCTGGATGCTCGTGCGCCGGTTCAACAAGGTATGTCGACGTCAGAAATGGTCTCTGCGCATTATGTCAGGTCTCAAGCTAACTCAACCGCTCTGACAGCAAATCTTCCACACCAAAGCCACCCCCTACCCCCCGCCCGGCGGTCTCGATCTCAACATTGCGGAACAGGAAGAGTTCTCGCCGGACAAGATGCGCGGCAACTTTGAGCGCCTCTATATGACGGTTGGCGTAGGGATGCTAGCGGCAGTTAAGCACATTGCTCGTCTCCGTTCCTGGAAGGAAACCCGGCGCACAGCAGCGTTTTGCAGTGCTTATTTCCTTGCGTGGCTGTTTGACTTCCTCACACCGTTGCTGATTAGTGTTCTCGTGGCGCTGATCGCGGTGCCGTGGACGAGAGAGTATCTCTTCCCCCCTGCGCCAGTGTCGCTTGTCGACAGCAAAACAGGCGGGATACAGAAACCCAAGGCTGGTGTGCTAGGTAGCCACGACAGCGCTACGGGCGCGCCAGAGAACCACAAGGGTGAGGCGGTCGAGCAGGAAGCCAGCAATTTTGTGAGCGGGATCGCGACGGTGGCGGTGAGCGGCGCTGTCGGGCAACATGCTCAGGGGGATCAGGAGTCGGCAGAGCAGTCCACGACCGAGATGCACAAAGCTATTGGGTCGAAGCCGGGGACCAAGAGGGACAAGACGGAGGTGCCGATGCAGACAGCTATGTGGTCGAAGCTTCAGCCCATTATGCATGCGCTGGGGGATTTTGTGGATACCTGGGAGAGGTTTGCAAAGTGAGTTTCGTTGCTGGTGAAGTTGAGAGAGAGGACTGATGCTAACAGAGTGCTGTAGCGCGTTGTCTCCTACGCCGCCGTTTCCCACCGATGTTCACCGTCTGAGATTTGTCGCGCTCATCCTGCCTCTTCTCGCCTTGTCGTTCGTCGTCACTTCGTACATGTTTGTCAAAGGTGTCACCTTTGGCATTGGGTTCGGGTTCTTCGGTGACCCTATTATCTCTCGTGGTCTGGACTGGCTCAACAGAACTATCCCCGACTGGAAGAAGTTGCTGGAGTTGCGAAAGTATGTCTTGATTTCTGTCATCCTTGAAAGGCTCAGTACACTGACTATCTTACCTTTAGTACTCTCCTCAAAGGCGTTCCCACCAATGCTCAGCTCACCATCACTCTCCTCCGTATTGGGGAGGCGAACCATGCACCCCTCCCACCACCACCCCGTATCAACGAAGTACCTCCCAACAAACCTGCCCAGCTTACCTCCAATGACCTTTCCGCTGTCGGTGCCGATGCTCCCATGAACGCAAGCGCGGGTGAACTCCAGGAAGCGATCCACTACGATCCCAGCATCAAGCACGACAAGGGCGGCAACCAAGGCGGGCACAGTGTCATGGTCAAGGGTCAGGACAAGGAGCAAAACAAGAAGAGCAACAAGTTCCTCAACTTTTTCAGGGGCACTGCAAAGACTGCTGTCAAGACTGCCGTGGGCGCTGATACTATCAGGGGCAAGATGGGCATCAGCCATCACGCCAAGGACAGACTAGGAGTTGTCCCCCCCGCCGAAAAGGTGCCCATCAGTGGACCGGTAGAGTTCGAGGCGAGATACGACGGCAAGAAGGGCAATGTTTATTTGTCGACGGCAGCAACAATTCCGGTCGTGGCGTTTGGAACGAAGAAGACAAAGGAAAAGATTGGGCCGGATGGGGAGGAGAAGGAGGATTTACATGCCATGTGGAGCGTGCCCGTGTCGGAGATTGTCGAGTTGAAGAAGCTTGGCGGATATGGGTGGAAGGCGAAGTTGGTGGTGGGGTGGAGTTTGGAGAGGGAGGTGAGCGATGGGGTGGAGCTGAGGACGAGTAGGGGGGAGGTGTACAAGATTACGGCTATTCCGCTGAGGGATGAGTTGTTTAATCGGTTGATTGCTGTTGGGGGACAAAAGTGGGAGGCGTGGTGATAATACCCTTTGGTCATGTCGTGGTGTTGGGAATATGGAGGAGGGTAGGGATTGGAAAAAGGAGGTTGTTGCAGTGATACCTGTTTTAGCTTTGTAATGACTGATCAACAACACCACTATTACTACCGATTTTGTTTTGCTGTCTTATCTCAGCGAGGCGTGTCAGTCCCCAACGGCGACCACCGTCCCGCCTTGACATCTTCCCTCACCCGCCTAACGCTCTCCTCGTCCGCCTCGGCAAAGTGGTTGATCTCCTCCAACCACTTTTCTTCTCCGTCGTTTGCGTCCCGCCCGGTTATCCCATTGAGATAGGGGTACCTCCCAAACCGGTCGATGATCGGCTTGTGGACGTCGAACAACATGCCCATCCACCACGTGAAGCTCTCTCTCGTCACCTGATCCCCCCGCGGCGGTCCGGCGTTGTAGACCCTGGGAAAAGCGTACGAGTCGCCTAGTATCTCGTCGCGTTCCTGGCGGTAAGGGTCAGCCGACCCGGTTTCTTTCTCCACTGTCGCGCGGGTTTCTTCTGTGAGGGTTATGGCGATTTCCTGCAGTTCTGGCTTTTCGGAATGGACGAATGGTGTAGCGAACCATAACCGGACAGCGATCCAGTAGTCCAGGGCGACGTTCTGCTCGTGCTTCCAGCGGGCGTAGGAGTCGGGGCGGAGGTGGTGC